CCCTGACATTCCCTTTGTACGTCAAGAGACACACGCACAAACACTCAAGAGTCTAGCTACACGCACAATGTTGTCAATGCATTCTCACCACGTACGCAAATGTGCAAAATGGCTGCACTGCTAAAAATCTATATATAAGCGTGTAAAGCGCAAAGAAATAACTCAAGCTCTGTTAAAAGCCATGGTGTCTTATATGAATATTAGCAAAGAAAAATAAAATCACGCTCTCTGTATTGTTCATCTGTCGTTAAATGGGCCATGCGTACAGAAGGGCCGTTCCGTTTAAACAGACCAGTCGGGCAATGTCGACCGGTAATGCTTTTAAGCTGGACGACCCCCTATGTGTATATGGTGTTGTCGTGGCGATCTAATATAACAATTAGACGAGGACGAAGGAGTATCTCGAAAATCAGTGTAAATTAAAAGAAAAACAAAAACAAAAAATTTGGCCTAAATCATCCCCAATGGCTATTTCGTTTTCTTCTCGACCTTACCCTCTGGTTCCCAGGGAAACCCAAGGGAACGTTACGAGAAAACGAAACACCTGGGTCTGACAGGTTATCGTTTGACTTATTAAGAAAGAGGACACGTGCTCCTCCGTTGAGAGCAATATAAATATTATCGATAGGAGATACGAATATTATTTGGCTTTGTGGAGTCCAAAGCGAGGCTGCATAACGTGAGATGAAAATTATTAATCCAAGTGTGCTTTCTCTTTTATAGGGGTAGGGCGTCCCAAAAGTAAGTTGATTTCGAGGTGTTACACGTCAATAATACTTCTTGTTCTTCAACCCTGACACCAATGTTCCAAGACCTACAACTACTATTACCCTCTCTCTCTCTCTCTCTCTCTCTCTCTCTCTCTCTCTCTCTCTCTCTCTCTCTCTATCTATCTCTATCTCCACATCCCTTTCTCTTTCTGTCTCTACAAACTGCATCAGAAAATTTTACTCACTTGGATTTGCCTATAAAACATTCTTTTTTTATCCCTTAATCTTTTCCCTGTACACGTGAGTATATGCACTTGTCCAAAAATATTTCCCCTCTCTCTCACTTTCTCGTTCTATTCCGTTCTACTCGAATCCAGCCCCTACTGTCTCTCCAAATTATTAATCATTAATGAATCACACAGACTCTGTACATATCCATGTCCACGTTATCGTCAGCGTTACTTTTTCTTTTCTTTTTCACGTGATCGTCCTACATGTATATGTCACACGTGCCTCTATCTCTCTCTCACTGTGTCTCTATCTTAATCACAGCCTGTGATTCAAGATGTTGTCAGGTGTGTCATTACTTATCAAAATCTCACACGTGTCTTCTTGCATAATACAAAATGATCGTGATGTATTGTTTTTCAATTTTTTTTTTCTTTTTTTTTTTCCTTTTTTCTTTTCGATCCCTCTCGCTGTTTATCAACCTGTTCGCTTCGTCAACGCCTTGCACCCACTTGTTACGTGTCTTCAAAGATTATGTAATATGAAAAAAAAAAAAAAAAAAAAAATGAAATATCAGAAGAAAAAAATTATAACAATCCCTTCGAGACGATCATGACGATGATGATACTTTTTAATTTACGCAAGAGAGCATAACAGTTACGACCTTTTGATTATCAGCCTTGTGCCTGTCTGCACTTTCGTGACCTTTTATCACTAATTCACCCGTACGCGTGTTAAACCCTACGAGGGCCAAGCTGGATAGAATTCGCTTATTCCACTGGCTGAAATTCCTTGTGCAAAAATAAGGGGGGAAAAAATATTGTACAAAAAAAAAAGATTTACGAACTAAATGGACTTTACCACTTACTCTTCGCTTCCCCCCGCCCCCGCCCCCCATTCATACCCAATGCAAATAAAAAACACTACACGAACCTGTTCACCCCTTATGATACCGCAAGAGCCACAAATTGTCTATGCGCATTAGCACGGCCTCAGCCTGTGTAAAACTGATTAATACCAGCCTAGACTGTATAATATATGTACGTGTACGTGTTTGTCCGTCATTGTCATTTGCCTGTCTGTCCGTTTTTATTTGTTCTGTACGTGTTACGTGACACGAAAATAATACGTGATTCGCGAGATGACCTGTGGTCGCTACTTGGATGATGATAATAATGATAATGATGAACGTGAGAGAGTATGCACGTGAAAAGGCGTGATGATGATCAGGAGGAGGAAAAGTCGAAGGAGGATTAAGGAGCGAATCAACTAAAGAGAATTACTTTTGTTTCCGTTCCGGCTATCCGCAGGGAATCCGCCGAGAATCCCGAGTTCATGAAGGTAAGAAATTTTTTGTGGAAAGAAAAAAAAACAAAAATTTGTTTAAGATGCTGATACAGATTTTTTGTTCTCGACTTTCAGAGGCAGGAACAGAAGAGGAGCGATCTCGATGAACAGCTCAAGGAATACATCGCCGAATGGAGAAAGCAGAGGGCCAAGGAGGAGGATGAACTCAAACGACTGAAGGTCTTTGTTGCTTGATTAGTAACGAGTCCAATGAGTATACGCAGGTGTAATAATTGTGGTAGTTCGCTCACCGGGGATGAATAACGTTGCAGGAGAAGCAAGCCAAGCGCAAGATCACCCGCGCAGATGAAGAGAAGCGATTGGCCCAGAAGAAGAAGGAGGAGGAAGAGCGTCGCCAGCGTGAAATCGGTAAGATCGTCGTTCAAGTATTAAATGATCCTCGCGTATCCTGTAAAGAGAAATGGACGGTCAGATTAATAAGGAGAATCAATGATGTTTCAGAGGAGAAGAAACAGCGAGACATCGAGGAGAAGAGAAGGTGAGGTTATTGATTTTGATGATCCAATCGCGAGGGACAGGTATAAGATAATAATCTGATGCATATTAAAATTGGATTAATTATAACAGGCGCCTCGAGGAATCCGAGAAGAAGCGCCAGGCTATGATGCAGGCGATGAAGGATCAGAGCAAGAAGGGACCCAACTTCACCATCACCAAGAAAGACCTGGCCGGCAATCTCTCTTCGGCACAGCTGGAACGCAACAAGACGAAAGAGCAGCTCGAAGAGGAGAAGAAGATCTCTCTCAGCTTCCGTATCAAGCCTCTGGAGATCGAAGGTCTGTCAATTGACAAGTTGCGCGTAAAGGCCCACGAGCTTTGGGAAGCCATCGTGAAGCTCGAGACGGAGAAGTACGATCTTGAGGAGCGTCAGAAGCGTCAGGATTATGACGTAAGTATCAGGACTATGTGGGGATGATGAAGGATCGGTGGCCTTTATCTAATCGAACGTAAAAATACTCATGACGCTTTAACTTGATCCTCAGCTTAAAGAACTGAAGGAGAGGCAGAAGCAGCAGCTGAGGCACAAGGCTCTCAAGAAGGGTCTCGACCCTGAAGCTCTCACCGGCAAGTACCCAGTAAGTATAGAAAGATATTCAAGCATCACAGTGTAGTGCTCAGGGGATGGATCCTTGCTCGAGATATAATTAATATACTTTTTTAATTCTTTACAGCCCAAGATCCAGGTTGCCTCCAAGTACGAGCGTCGTGTGGATACCAGGTCCTACGATGACAAGAAGAAATTATTTGAGGGTGTAAGTATGAAGTTTACCGGTAGGCAATGAGAAAAGGGCGTAGATAACGGGACATTAGGATTAGACTTAGGAACGATCACGTGGGCATTAATTAGAAGTCAGATGTGGCGAATAGTTGGTAGAATCAATCAATGAGTCTTGAATTGAATCGCAGGGCTATGACACGCTCTTAGCGGAGTTCAACGAGAAACTATGGAAACAGAAAACAGAACAGTTCATGAAGCGCAACAAAAGTGAGTCAGAGATAATGATGATTAAGTGATATGAACTGTCAAAAGATTACCCATGATTTACCTGCTTGCCGATTATTGCCCTTGCCCTGTATGAACTTTCACGTTAGATTATCATAATCTTGTCAATTACCTGGGATGTTTTTGTGTTATCACTTATCACTTTGTCACTGAGGACGTTATATTGTGTCTGACCCATATCAAGAAATTATTTACAACCCCTATCCATTATTGTTATCACCGGTGGCCCGTTTATCATTAGCATGTACCAGTGGTGACTGTCAGCGAAGAATCGAAGGAATTTTACCCCATGCGATTTCGATTATCCCTAAAATTCTTAAAAAACAAAAAAATAAGTAAAGGGTTCGAAGCAGCCCCTCTATGTGTGTGCGATCCCAGCATGGCATCTTTTTCCATTGGTGTTACAGGGTCTGACCGACTTAATCAAGGAAACCACGGAGAAACAATGGTCGGAACAGAAGCAACAGTTCTTGGGCCGTCAAAAGGGTGTGTATTGTCCTTTCAAGAAGAAAAGAAGAAAGAGTCACTATGAGTCGAGGAAAAATATGAAAAAAATAACACAATTCTTTTTCAAACGATAACAATAGACATGGTGATAACATTTTTTTCTTTTTTTACCTTCACAGCGAAGCTGCCCAAGTGGTTCGGCGAGAGGCCAGGAAAGAAAGCTGGAGATCCAGAGTCTCCTGAGGGTGAGGAAGACGTTAAGGCAGCAGCCGATGACGACCTCGAGGAACCTCAGTTGGAGGCAGACGAGGATGAGGAGGTTGAGGAGGAGGAAGTCGAGGAGGAGGAGGAAGAAGAGGAGGAAGAGGAAGAGGAGGAAGAAGAGGAAGAGGAGGAAGAAGAGGAGGAGGAGGAGGAATAAATTAATCAAAACCAAAATATTCCAAATCCACCACCTCATTCACCTCATAATCGACCTCATTCGTAACAAAACCTCACTTATGCACCTCGCGTGCGTGTAATCTCTCGCTCTCTTTCACAAACTTTCAATTTATCTCTCTCTCTCTCTCTCCCTCCCTCCCTTATCTTTAATTCGCGCACTGAAGTGAGCAGAACAACAAGAATCAAAGAAACATCAAGGATTCGCAACAATCTTTCACGCCACATCTTCATTAACTTATATAAAAGTAATTGAATAGATATTAAAAAAAAAAAGAATACTAAGCACACAGTTTAGCTAATCACGTACGTTCACCGGTTTTTTAACAATCCAGAGCACGTACGCAACACTGTCAGATTATGCAGAAAATCTACACTACTTATGTTACGCAACGAGAAACTACGCTACTATTATTACGATAATATTATACAATATGATTATTAAAATAAAACGGTTTATCGTATAAACTGCAGCAGCACAACTTGTTTCTTATTCACTTTCCTTCTAACACTTTAAAATCGTTAAGCATTTTGCATTAATTACCATATGTATTTTCGGTTCTCCATTATCGTCCATGTATACAGCCTCATTGGCAATTCCTTCAGCATTTTTCACTAGTTCGCTTCAACACAGTGAACTGTCAATACTTTTTTCTCCTTTTTTTTTCACTTCATCATCCACAGCATCACCGAGTCTCGTTTTAGTCGCGTGCTTAACCTCGACCCGACGTACACTCGAGTACTCTCATTCAGAAGTACATGCTTCTACGTTATCCCGGATAGCACCAGCCCCGCCAGCATCAGGCTGGTGAAAATAATGAGAACATATTAAGTTTAAATAATAGAGAATACAAATTTTAAAGATCTTTTTTTTTCATAAATTTTGAATCGTATAATAAATAGGGGAGGAATTCAGTGGTTTACAGTATTCTTTGTAGCAATCAATTTAGTGTACGGTTATCGGTCGTAAGATTGCCAGCACACTGTCTGTTCTTACCTTACTAACGTAAACGCCCATACGACTCTCTCTTTCTTTCTTTCTCTCGCACTTACGGTTGGTATATGAAAATACCGAAAATTATCGAAGGATTTACTTCAACTTGGTTAGCTTGACGGTCATGTACCTTTCTATCTAAATACAAGGAATTATTACTTGAAAACTCTTTTATATTCTTGAAGAATATCTTTATTTCTATAAGAAATATCTTTTAAAGAGCAATGTCTCACCTTATTTTCCGCGCAGCGGCCTTTTATAATTCGATGAACGGTACGATATGCATTTCAATTTTCTGTTGCAATTTCATCCGGCCCAGTACGTCTCTTCGTACATTTCACACATATCAATTATTTATTTCCAGCCATTTATTCTCCACCGACATTACCATCGATCGAGTAATCCAGAACGACATTAAAATCGACGAGCGCATTGTGAACTATCAAGCATCGTACCAACTGAATTATAATTCAAATCGGTTTAAGGTAAAAGACAGAAACAAAGCCAACGCGTTGAGATGCATAAATAATGATAAAAGACTTGTAAAGAGCAACGTAAGTGATTGAATTAAATAAGATAAGAGCTCTTGCTCTCAGGGCCAAGAAGACAATGCCGGCTTATGCCTATAGAGTATATGGTGTCAGTTTGAATGGCGGTTAGAGTAACGGACTTGGAGAAAGACATAGCCACGCGTCGTAATATAACCTTAAAGCGTCTACAAGTCCTGAAGCAGCGGTGGTAGTCATAGTTTAGTTAGTTCGTCAGTTAGTCTGGTATTGCAGTCGAATCTTTAGTGGCATATGAGCGTACACTCGGTGGCAACTATTTATAAGAGTAGCTGCGGGTTTAGAGTGAGTGAGTAGGTGAGGAATGAAGCGGGGTGGAGTGAAGGAGGAGAGACAGTTACTCGAGAGGTGGCTGGCACAGTCGAGAGTGCGAGTGAGCGAGAGTCTCTTAAGCGTCGTAATAGTGTCACCAAGCTGCCGGTCCGGGCTAGACCGAGGTCTCTCCCACTTTTATCGTGTTCACACCGAAAATATCGTGGCACAAAGCCTATAAGCCCGTCCGAAAATAATAAGGAACGTCTCAGCGCCGTGAAGGACTGCAATAATAGCATGGATACGTGGGGAATATGAATTCAACCTGTTGCCGGTCCAGTTGGTTTTGCCATTAATAATAATCTGTGTGCCGTTGTTGCCTTAGGATCTACCAACGCTGCGATTTCGTTAACTTTCGTTATTCATGATCGGGAGTTAGTTTCATTTTCTATTACTTCAGTAATCGCGTTTCTTGTCACTCGAAGTATAACTTTGCTATTTCCTTCTAGTTTGTGTCGGTGTCAATCGAACGGCTTGAGTCTGTAAACTGTGTTCTCGCGAGATGCAACGTTTCATCGGATGTTTGTCAAGACTGAGGTGGTTTCCGGAGGATTGTGTCTGGTGGCGATGACGCTGCTAATAGCGACCGGGGAATACGAGTCACGTTGTGCATGGTGTGACACCCTGGTATACAAGTGCGAAGAATACCGGAGAGACTCCATGAAACGTAAGAAAGTCAGGATGAGAAGCTGACTACGGAGGACACTCCCGTCGAGGACGCCCATGCGGTGAATAAACGATAAATTTAATTATTTTATCTTTGACTGTCTCTAATGATACTCGAGAATCGACCATTTATGTTTAACCTCGCTCTTGGTAAAGGATTGATGTTTTCATCACGGTATCCGCTACTGATATGCCAAGGGAAGCTGTCTTTACGTCCGAATTTTATGCCAGTCTCCCCACCAGCTGATTTTGGTGAGAGGACGTCGTTACGCATGGCGCCTATGACTCGAACTGTGCGTCATCGTGTTTTGTCTCACAAGACAGCTGGACGACTTTCTAGTTCTACCTCTTTTCCTCCTCCGTTTGGCGTCTCCTTCTTTTCTCCAGTTCCTTCCCCATGCAACTAGAACTGAAATGTACGAAAGTGGGAGTGGTGGGAAGACAGGAAAGGTTTATATCATGGTGGCTTCACAGCGGGAAATTGACTGGAGATACGAGTCACGTCGTAGGCGGTTTTACTTTATGCATTTCTATTGTCTACTGTATAGAAGATTATCGAGTCGCCATTGAATTCGTTTAGCAAAGGAAATAATAGGATCTGCCAACGAATGGACAAGAGTGACAACCTTAATGGAATAGAATCGAATAGCACAAGTTATGTATATTCTGAAATTTTACATACTGGTTTGATTTTTTGTTATCGCGGTTACCCGCCAACGATAACTAGCACCTACCACAACGACTGTAATTACGTGACGATTACGAAACGCAAAGTCGCGACTTACGTACGATTCGCGTACAGGGCCGAGCGTCTCGCGTCGTGCAAAATTATCCGCGTCGCTTATCCTTGCCTTGAAATTTTCTTCGTCACGGATAGCAAACGGCGCGGCGTAGTTCGTAGACTTCCATTATACTCGGTTGGTGCATATTAATACGTTATTACCTATCTACCCGAATGGCATTCTGCTAGTGGGACGCCCACTAAATAATAAATAACAAAGCTAAAGAAGAATCGATTATCGAGTGCTTGGACCCTTGTTACATCCAAGGCTTTTAATCGGGTCGGATGTCTAATAAAGAAATTGAAGACGAACTAAGTGTGAATAGACACCAACCGTCGACGAGAGAAGCCCGTGATTCGTCAATAGATGAAACGAAGCATACAGAGCCTAGGACTCCTTCATGTGTCGGTCTATAGCTTCGATAATAGCATTATGGCATTAAACAAAATAGAATAGAGGCAGAGGCTTCAGAAGCCATTGAAGTGGCTCTAGGATGCGTCCGATGGAAGTGGATACCTTAGGTAACGTCAGTCTAGCGAAATTCAAACGCGACGTTGAAATAACCATCGGTTACATCCTCGTGTCAGTCGTTATTTGGCTTGTGGATGGTTAACGGTAACTTTCACGTAAGGAAGTTACGCGAGTATACTCTGATTTCAATCGGTTAATAACTTCCCGAGTCAAATTAGAAATGGCGGAAGAGGAGATTCCAGAGGAAGGTGACGAGCGTGCCGAAGAGGAGGAAGTTGTCAAAGAGGGGTAAGACCCTGGAAAGTCTTCTTCCTAGTATTTTTCCATAATTCACACGTTCGTTACATATTCTTTTTTTTTTTCACAAATTATCATACGCCCTCTTATGTCTACAGCAAATACTTGAGTATTATAACGATCCTTAGCGTATCAATGGCATTTCGTATTAAGTGTTGTATCATTCGCTTTAAACCCAGCATTCGGATCCACAATGTCGATACGTAATGACGATCCAGGAAACCGGTTGTTCGCCATGGCCTTTCGCCTTGAGGTTCTCACAGACGCGAGGAGCATATACGTGACTCCCTGTTAGTCTCATCGGGACCTACCTGAAGAATAGTAACATCAGTCGGAAGTAGTACCTGCCACGTAGGTAGACCGTGTCGCAGGAGTATTCCATAGACCGTAAAGGATTTCGAGGTTGTTGGTACCAGTGCTTTCGTAATATCGGCTTAGAGAATAGAAACTCAAGAGAGGGAAAGTTCGGTGGGGAATACGACGCCGTGGACCGCGACGTTTCAGGACCAGGACCGAGGAACATTTACAAGCTCAGGATCAGAAGTAGATTGATGATCGTCAGTGTACTTAGAACAGTACAGGATGATCATAGAGTGTACACCCTGGCTGAAGTGCATGGGTCATTCGAGGGGAAGTGGCAGAGAGTTCACGGATGGGATAGACTCAACAGAGGTCAAAGGTCACATACGAAGGATTTCGGATACCACGTAAGTGTATCAGGCGGACGTAGTACGGAGATGAGACATCCGAGTCTTCGGCGAGGAGGATACCGAGGATGATGAGACGGTGCGAGTTCGGATTAGAGACTTGAGTAGACGATCTTTAGGGCGGCGTCGAGACGGCAGATTGCCACGCTATAAATGCGTCGGAGTAATCGCCTCGACCTTCGCCAGGAACGAGTTTGCTACTTGGCTGGCTAACTTGCACTGTCTCCACATACTCTCGCTTGTAGTACGTTGCCATTGGCGATTACGTAGTTGACGATGAGACAAAAGGAAAAGGACGTTGGAATCTTTTCAGGATCAGGTATTATTATTATTTTTTTCATTCTTCTTTCATCTCCCCCTCCCCCCACTCCTCACCCCACAGTCATTCTCTCTCTTTAGGTTCGCGTTCTGAGTACTGCAAAGTACGTATCCAGGTATACGTCAGGTAGCCAGCTGACAACAATGGAAAATAAAAGGAGAGAAAAACAATGTGAAGGATGGAAAAATAAAAGAGGACTAGGAGCAGGTCAAGGAAAATAGAGCCAGGTTAATCTCCAATGTGCACGAGTGATCCTAAAAAAAGAAATGTTCTGTACCGTTTCACGATGGCCGACTGGTACCATTCGAGTACCTTGCGACACAATCAGAAACCAAAAGAATACCAAGTATCTGATAACGAACTCAGTTCTCAAGGTACTCCCAATGGACCCGTTTGCTGGACAGCGTGATGATGTACCGGTGTCTCGTGTGCATTGTAGGTTGCTCGGATTCTCACCTGGTCTGGGACAGCGCGTGCATTTCGAAGAGGGGACTGTCTTCCATGTGAAGTCCCAATCGGAGGACGCATTGGCCCTCGCGTGAGTCTCGAAGGAGGACCAGACGGTTTCATTATATCATCTTTCATCCCTTAGATCAGTTCTTACTACGGAGATGATTTAATCGTCATGCTCTGGCGAAGCCGATGCACGAAAATTCTTAGACGTACACAGCATCCACTCAATAGGTACCGTACACCAGGAGGAGAGACAGACCCCCGAAGGCTGTATGAGAACGTAGTACAGAGAGATCAGGAATGAGAAACTTGATGAGTACGTAAGCAGAGTCTATATCAATATATACGGGGATAACCGTGGCACGGTCTAAAGAGAATGGAACGGAATAGAATGGAACGAAGACGCCTGCTCCGTATCGTCACCACAGGTTATTCTGTCTACAGGGCCGAGAGTCGCACACCTTGGTAAGAGCGATCGTCTGGACGTGGATACCTCGGCTGTATATGCAGCTGGGTGTGGGTGTGTAGGTCGCGCACAGGAGAGTAAAATCGAGGAATGGCGCATGCCTCGCCGAGACCAGAGAGTCAGAGAGAGCCGAGACTCAGGAGTCTCTCCTAGCCATTGAGCCCAACTGGATCGGCGAACGTAGGAGCTCGGTCGCTCGCGTGACTGCGCCTCCTGGTCTGCTATAACGTTATGCGACGTGCTGTTATAACGCTCGACTGACAACACTTGTCAGGTGCTCGTGCGAGTCGATGAGGAGAGTGCGCCAGTGGGGATAAACGTTTGTGTCGAGAGTGCTGGTGATAAGTTTGTGTTGACATTGAGATAGAGCAGGGACAGCTTATAGTAGAATCACGTTCAGCCTCATGGAAGTCACCTGACTGTAGCAGGGCTTCAACCCCTAGTGTGCCTGGAAAGAAAGTTGAGCTTGTGCAGGGCGAAAGAGAGTTAGAGAGAGAGAGAAAGAGAGTAGAGAGGGAAAGCGTGTATAGAGGAGAGAGAAAGTTGTGGACGTACGGAAAGAGGCCGGTGGAGGGTAGCTAGGGGTTGAGCTGGGCTTGCAAGCCCAAGGGGTGGATCGATGCCGCTCGCTTGCTAGCACTTTCCCCGAGAGAGACCCTTGCTTGGTCTCCTCGGGCTGGCTCTCTAGAGCTGGCCCTGTCCAATAGAATTATTCAAATTTCAAAGCTTTTGCTGATAGAGACTTGGGGGCGGTGAGGTGGGGGGAGCGAGGGTTGGGGGATTGTAGGTCGCTAGAGAGGGAAGGTGATTTTTTTTTTTGAGAACCGCTAAACACTCGTCGCTCTAAATTGTATAGCGGGATCTCTGGTGTTATTTTTATTGAGTCTGTATACGTGGGTCAGGGTGTTCAACAGAGGTGAAGCATTGTAACAGGCGCAGGATTAGGACGGAAGTGGTAGGATAGTACGATGGGCTGCAGAGACGCAGCTTCCGGGTCGGTAGTGGTAGAGGTAGCGGATGAAGGTAGTGCTCGTGGGAGTGAAGTCGCTACGAAGAGAGAAGATCGGGTCTTCTTCGCGGCGAAGTTACCCCAGGTGGGTGAGGCACTGCCAGGTGAGGAGGAGGAGGACGACGAGGACGAAGAGGACACAGGGTTAGAGGTCGAGGTTATTGTACTGGCGGATTCGAGTTGGGAGTATACAACGCACGTGGGAACCTGGAGGACGGAGGATAATCGTCGGGTGGTAAGATCAGGGCTGGGTGGTAGGTAGCTGCCGAGAGTCGGCGAGGATGCAGCGACTGCGCTCGACGTTCAAGAGGTCGCGGACTCCCACAGGCGCAGAAATGAAGTCGCAGTCGAGCCTCGAGGTGCCCAAGCAGGTCAGGTCAGCCTCCTTCGACGAGATTCAGCTGGAGGCCAAGCGACACGACGAGGCCAAGGAGCGCGAGAAAGGTGGTAGGATGATGGATCTCAGGGCGTCCTCGTCTTCGTCCTCATCGTGCTCGTCGGCCAGGTCCCAGCAGGAGCAAACTGGAGCTGTAAGGAGATTCACCACCCTGAGAGTGCCGCAGCTCCAGAGTGGTCAGCGCTCCAAGAGTTTCGACGCCTGTGGTAGCGACAGGAGGTCCACTTCCGGTAGCGCTAGTTCTACACCCACGATTCAACTATCGGGGTGCTATCATTGCGCCTGCGTCGAGGAGTACAGGAGTCTTCACGCGAAGAAGGACGACGCCGGCGAGTCACCCTCAGGTTCATCCCGAGAAGACGGTGACGAGGAGGATGCGGAAGACCTTGACGCGGAGGGATACGAGGAGACCGACTTCGAGGATGAGGACGAGGAAGGAAGTGGGGAGTCGAAGAGAGACACCAGTCCTGAGATTCGAGTGACCTTAACGTCCACGGACAAGCCTCGGTCACCCGCTACCTCGGATAACGATATTCCCAATGAGACCCACTGTCAGCAAAGAAGACGCTCCATAGCGTCGCCGAAGCTCGCTCGGCAGGAAGCTTTGACCTCGTATCCCGTGGAGCTACCGGCAATCTTTGGCTCGGCGGATGACGAAGACGAGGAGGAGGAGGATGACGAGGAAGAAGATAATACCGCTGGCGGTAAAAGTAAACTCGTCGTTAGAGACATCTTTCTAACCGTACCGGAACTCAAGAGAGATCGTGCCGCTTCCGTTGACTCATGCTTCAATAATAACAAGGCTGACAAGAATGACAATCATGACTCCCTCGCGGTGCCCCAACAGAGTACCAGGTCGAAGAGCGTCGATATTGTTCTCCCTACCGATGCTCAAACAAGATACACTGCACTCTTACCCTCGAGCGACTCTCATTCCATACGAGGGTTGGTATCCTCCTTGGATTCACTCAGCATGACGAAAAAATCTTGTCGTTTTATAAAAGAATCATAAAATATCTTAAAAATATAAAAATATCTTAAACAGCCATCACTGGAATTTTTCAGGAGATGGTGCTAGAGCTTTTGAGACACGTGCAAAAGACAGAAACAAAGATTAGAGTACTGTAGGTTTTCCTGATTCATGTTTCGTGGGTGTATCAGAAATCTCTTTTACAAGTCTTGAAATAAGTCTTACGTCCTTCTACATCCCATGTATATAAGGCTTACTATTTTGTATACTCTTGATGCTTTTAAGTCATATGACTTCCCAAGATTACAAAGAAAGCTTGTGGCATTCTGAACTAGGGTTTCTTGCGTGCACTATTGTGCATTAAATATCAGGTTTATTTGATACTAAACTCTAGTGCGTAATTGAACATCCAAGTGGTACGGTACTATCTGGATATAATGATTTATTTGCAGAGGAAGAGAGGAGACTGGTCCAAGTGGAAGCCAACGAGAGCCGAGATCAACACCAGACTGGGGACCAGGTGCCCTAAATGGAGAACATCTTTGGGTGCCAACAGCAGCTTCTGGAGACTTCTGTTATGTCAACGACTGTTCCGTAAGCTGTCATTTTCTTTGGATTTTTATAATCCTTTTCCTTGCTCCTGGCAGTCATTCTTTCTGCTGACTATATATAGCTGCCATTATAAAATCAAGGATGGTTTATCTTACAGAAACATGGACCACGTCTCAAGTGCGCAGCGTGCCGAGTGGTCGCCCACGCCTGCTGTGCCGGGACGTTGGGCTTTGCCTGCAAGCCGAGTTTTCGTGACGTCGGGGTGCGGCAATACAGGGAGCAGACTTCAACTCATCATCACTGGGTGCATCGTAGATCGCAAAAAGGCAAATGCGCAAACTGCGGAAAGTCCTTCCAGTCAAAGTTGAGCTTCTCGTCGAAGGAAATCATCGCTCTGAGCTGCAGCTGGTGCAAGGCTGCCTATCATAACAAAGAGGCTTGCTTCAATATCCAAAAAATTGGTGAAAACTGTGAGCTTGGCAGTCACTCTTCCATCATCGTACCGCCATCTTGGATTGTCAAACTTCCTCGCAAGGGTAGCTTCAAGAGCAGTTTAAGAAAGTCGCCCAGGAAAAAGAAATCGGGTGGTACTTTAGCTGGTACTTCCAGTAGGAGGAAGGTCAAGGAGAAGGACAAGGAAAAGGATGAGAAGGATCATGGAAAGTTATGGGTCGTCAAGCCTATTCCTACAGTGACGGTAAAACCGGTTCTGGTATTCATTAATCCTAAATCCGGTGGTAACCAGGGTGCTAAACTCCTGCAGAAGTTCCAGTGGTTACTCAATCCTAGACAGGTTTTTGATCTTACTCAAGGTGGACCTAAGATGGGGTAAGTTCTAACCTAAATTTGACAAATCATCTTCTGGGTGTTCATCATCAATTTGTCATTTCATTATTATTTTGCTAGATTGGAGCTTTTTAAAAAGACACCTAATCTAAGGGTCCTTGCCTGTGGAGGAGACGGTACTGTAGGTTGGGTCCTGTCGATCCTGGATCAAATTGGCGTCTCACCACCACCTGCAGTAGGTGTACTCCCGCTTGGTACAGGAAACGATCTTGCCAGGGCTTTAGGATGGGGTGGTGGCTACACGGATGAACCCATAGCAAAGATCCTGACAAACATTGGCGACAGTGATACTACTCTTCTGGACAGGTGGCAACTGACAGTAGAAAGAAATCCCGACGCCCCCAATGACGATGATGCCGGCAAGGGAAAAGAGAATCTTCCTCTGAACGTGGTCAATAATTATTTCTCGTTAGGGGTCGATGCGCACATCGCTCTGGAGTTTCACGAGGCCAGAGGTAAATTAATCAGAGAAACAAGAAGAATTCTGATGAATAATTACCATCAATTAATTATATATTTATCTTCTGCAGAGGCTCATCCAGAAAAATTTAACTCGCGGCTGAGGAATAAAATGTTCTATGGTCAAATGGGCGGCAAAGATTTGGTTAGACGGAAGTGGAAGGATCTCTCAGAATTTGTGACTCTTGACTGCGACGGTCAAGATTTAACACCAAAATTAAAAGAACATCGGGTACACGCTATTGTCTTTTTAAACATCGCTTCCTACGGTGGTGGTACTCATCCATGGGGTGCTGGTAGCGGAAGTAAAGAACCAGCTACCGACGATGGCCTCATTGAAGTTGTTGGTTTGACAACATACCAATTGCCTTTACTCCAAGCTGGTGGTCATGGCACATGCATAGCTCAGTGTAGTAAGGCCAAACTTATTACAACAAGAACCATTCCAATGCAGGTAACTGATCTATTAGTTAGCACGTTATTCCTGTTTCTGAAGTAAGTGCGAATAAAAATGATTAAATTGCAACTTGAAGGTCGACGGGGAAGCCTGCCGTTTATTACCCTCAATAATAACCATGAACTTGCTAAATCAAGCGACGATGCTGGCGAAACGTAGAAACACTAGTAAACCTCTCCAAAATGTAGGAGCCAAATTGGAGAGGTTAAAGTTGCCAGTTATGAGGATCAAAATGTCGGACTATGAGAATTATCACTCCGATAAAGACAGACTGAAGAAGGCTGCTGAATCCTGGCTTCAGGAACCTTTGGATCTGGATGCTACATCGGATCTTGAATCTCTCAGGGCGATCCTGAGTAAAGAACATCCGATGGACACTTGTTGCTTCTTGGATTGTAAGTAGATAAAGAGTGAAATAGATATAGATAACGAAAAATCCGAGAACTAGCTATCTTCGAGAACCAACCTAGGTTAATTTCGGTCGTCCACCCTTTGCTCATGCATTCGCAAGAGAGGCTGGCGCCAGCCAATTCTTTTATCACCGGGAACTAACAAGCCGGTATGATCTGGGAGTTGGGGTGAAACAGGCCCAACTCCATCAAAACGAGAGCTCTGACGGAACCTATCAGAAGATACGATAACTTAACTGATTCTGTCGATTTTCGAGGGCGCGTGAAATCAGCAAATGCAACTGGATGCACAAACGGGAACGGACGGTTACAAAAACGCACGGCCGCTCAGGTCGCTAGGTTGCGATAGAGAGGGTCGAAGGAAGCTTCAGGCAAATAGTGCCGGAAACAGAGAGCGATTGATCGAGAGTGTGACAGACCGAACTGGAGCTATAAAATCGAAATTCCTCCACCAATTAATAAATAGGAAGTGCTTACCGGAGCTGGTTCAGCTAATCCGTGAAGGCCGAGAACTGCATCTCGGGGATAATCAGGGGGCACTGCACCATAGCACAACACTGCACTTCCGAAACACACGCGGAAAATCTAAAGGATTTTCTGAATATTGCGAGAACCACACACACGAGAACTTCCTATACTGTATAGAAAACGCGGCTAGAAAAACTATCAACAAATAGCCCGGGAGCGCGAACCATCTCGAAGCACCTTGATCGGTGTCCCAAGACAGACTGCTTTAAGCAGTCTATTGACAATAGACAAATTCGAGAACTAATCGTTCTGATTGGTCGAGATACTTATAGCCCATAACTCTTCCTTTCCCGTAGCGAATTGGTAATAACTTTTGGAGATCATCCATGGCCGCTTACCCAGGTCATCGGGCGACATCTGGGCACCCCATCCTTAACTCGGGTCAGAGGGTTATTCCCATGCCCTTTACCGTATCAAAAACCTTATCTCAGCCCGCTCTACAGCCCTTTGCCTTTCTCCAATGGGGCGCCGGTACTGCGCCCGGGGTTCTACCGGTCCGTGGAGACGTCTCCGTCGGGTACTCTCCTCTGCCGGGTAACTCGACCTCAACTCAACAATAATGAGAGCATTGGCGTAATAATATGAATCAACCCGAAAGCATAGCTTCCGAGCAGGGTGGCGACTCGAAGGGAACCAGAAAGCGAGAACTTTATTTGAATCGGTAGGCGGAATCGCCTTGTGACCGTGAATCGAAATCACGTAGACAAGAGTTAAGGACTAAAGATCAAAGATACATATGTAAATGGATCCTCATAAAGATTTATAAATATCTATTTAAGCCTGCACAGCAGAAAGATTCTTCAGGATAGACAGAGCTCAAGAACAGCTACACTTTGTGACTGACGTGGCCGCCGACGCAATCTATGTCCTCGAGGAAGGTTCCTCTGCACCAACTTCGACGGATGCTGATACAGGGAACAACAAGGAGGAACCGGAAACAGCTCAACCTTCTCCAAGGTACCATAGAAGCTCTGGCTCATATAACCCAGTACTCCCGGCAAGTTAAACTCTACTTGGGACTATCAAAGCAGTGAGGAATCGGCCCGGACGGTACCGACTGTCTCGGAGAAGACCCAGGAAGTCAGCAACCCTGTAGCAGATCAAAAACCGGAAAGGCAGACGTCGCGTAAGTCTGAAGCATTGGCCAAGGAGAAACCTGAGGAATCAAGGAAGTCCACAGAAATAGAACCACTGTCGAGGACGCAGGACTTGAATGAGGATCAACTTCAAAAGGAAATGGCCAAGCAGAGTTCTTCTAAATCAGCCTCCTCGACGGTGGCTGGTCAATCTCATCAGCAGACATCATTGGCATTCATCAGGTACGGTCTTACAATGACACGTGCTCATCCCGATGAGACAATTATTCATTCATATCCCTCTTTCAGTCCTCGTGACAGACTCTTCAGCCTCAGTTCAGAAGTTCATACGTTTAGTAGTGGCCTCTTGGAGAAGACCTGTGACGGGATCCTGAAGGCAGCAAAGATTGGTGACCTTCCAGCCCTGAAGGAGTTGCACGAGAGAGGATATTCCCTGCTGTCGATCGACGCAAATGGACAAACGGCGTTACACCTGGCATCCAGGTACGGGCACAAGGACATCGTCAGGTACCTGATAGCCTGCGCGCCACCGACTATTTTAAACATGGTCGACAATGACAAGTAAGTTCCCGTCAATTTTGGTCAACCTAAATTTGATCGACTAAACATTATTAATTATTTTTATAGAGGTCAAACGGCACTGCACAAGGCTGCCCAACAGAAACGCAGGTCAATCTGCTGCATGCTGGTAGCTGGTGGCGCAATGCTGACAGTACAAGATCGTCATGGTAATACACCACGTCAATTAGCACTGATAGCAGAGGACAGAGATCTTGCCGCATACCTCCACAGTCAGTATACGTTCTATCTCCGATAAAAGATCATTGAAAATCAAAAAAATAATTATTTTCGTTAATTGCCTTCCTAGGTCAGGAACAGTTCCAGCTAGTCACGGAGGATATGGAGAGCGTTCTCTGACCCATTGCGGTGCACGTAAAGGCGTAGAGACAAGTCAAGAGGAAAAAGAAAAAGAATAAAAATAGAAAAAGTAAAATGGGTGAGAGAGAAAAAGAGCAGATAAAATATATATACACATTAATAATATATAACATAGCATCGGCGAGAGCAACTCACCAAATTACGATGCAATTTTACTTTTCAAATTCGTAAGATTTCGTCGACGACAATCCAAATCGAGCGTCGCAACGACTTCTAGAGTGATAATCACATTTTTTCGTATTATAATATTTACATTAGAGATTTTCGGCCCAGCTCGACAAACCTCGTACTCTCTTTTTACACGGTTACCGGCAAATTCTCCGGGATTCCGTTTTGTTCTCTCGTATCAATTTTCAATTGCTATATCACATACGTATAGTTCATTCATTATAAACGTTATCAAGAGAACCTACGTGTGATGATAAGGGAGTAGGAATTTAATCCATTCGATTTTTCACGGCTTTGTACTTATAACGTTGCTAAGCTCTACAAGGACCATTGGAAAAGAAGAGGGAGAGAAATCAATTCAATCAATATAGGGCGAGCTACCCATTTACCGGTGAACAAAATAAAACTGAATAAAAGACAAGGGATCGATCAAATCGAAGACAAAAGAGTAATGAGGTCAGGCTTATCAAAATCTAATCGTTTACGTTATATAGAAACAAAAGGGATGACACACTCGAGCATAAAATTATAGATTTGAGATTCTATATATAAAATATATATATGACTAGAGACGGTTTTTACGTCGGGACAAGTATTATTATTATCTCGTTATCATAATCTTACTCTATTTGAAAATGGCGCGCGTGTCAATAACAATTTAAAGTGTTGCCGAGAAAGCTGCGTATATCTATTTAGTCGTTACGAAATTATATTCGGTACCAAATGAAAAGGGGATCAACGTACGAACACCAATTAGTTCTTAGAGGCGGTCTATTACTACTGTTACTACTACTATTACTACTACTACTACCGCTACTATTACTATTACTGATACTACTACTATTACTAATACTATACTACTGCTACTGCTATCCATCTTCCAACTATCTGCTGTCGTATAAGCGATCCACTGTGCAGAGAGCAGAAAGACCCTAGGTATTTTCAAGGTCAGGCCAAAGAAAAATATTTTAAAATTAAAACAGATTAAAGGAGAGAGAGAGGAGGATGATGAGCAAGGAACATTGAAGGATGATAAGATAAAACGAAGATAATGTAACGATAGACAATTTATATACAATATTACAAAATTATTGACAATTATTTTAAAAGAAGGCTTCGAGCCATTTTCTCAGAGGAGAAAGTACTTTTTTCGGGGGACGATATTACATTAGATTCTTTAATGACCTAAATGAGGATGTTTTAGTCTGAAGCCTGTATTCGGTACGTCTAGTGACGCGAATCAATATTGATGTCGGTTTGATAAAGGAAATAGGAGTTTACGAATTTTTCAAACAAAAAAAAGAAAGAAAAAGAAAACATACAAGGAAATCAATGATACCAGCATATTGTATCGTTAGTTGCGAATTGGCATTGAATTAATATGATTATTATGTTATACTATAGTATATTATATTATATATATATACATACGTAACATATGTATATCTATATCGCATCGTATCGTATTACGTATTTGGATACATTATGGAGAGTTTAATGCGAAACGTCAGTGGCGTGTTCATGGAATTTTTTCAAGAGAGCATCGATTCCCGGAGAGAAACAAAACGAAAGATAACAAAACAACATAATGGTAAAACATTAAGGCGAAATTCCAAGTAAACACCGTCGCGACGCTTTCGCTCTATAAAAAGTATATATATCATATATTAAAATTAGAGTCTTACTAAAGAATTTTTGGAGTACGAGTACTTAACGAAAATGCCTTCTACGGTCCACACTAATAATTAGCTAAAAAGAGAAAAGAAAGGGAAAGACTAAAGAGAAAGAAAAAAATTAAACGAGTTGCGCCGACTAAGTAAACAGAGTCATATGTGAGAGAGAGAGAGAGAGAGAGAGAGAGAGAAAATAGAAAGTGCAAAAAAACGAAGGAGAGCCTAGACACGAAAAAGAAAATAATTATTACAATTAGTGATTAACGCGAAGAAAAAGAAGAAAGAAAAAGCTAAAGCTAAAGAAAGAAAATAGAAAGTGCAAAAAAACAGGGAAAGACTAAAGAGAAAGAAAAAAATTAAACGAGTTGCGCCGACTAAGTAAACAGAGTCATATGTGAGAGAGAGAGAGAGAGAGAGAGAGAGAAAATAGAAAGTGCAAAAAAACGAAGGAGAGCCTAGACACGAAAAAGAAAATAATTATTACAATTAGTGATTAACGCGAAGAAAAAGAAGAAAGAAAAAGCTAAAGCTAAAGAAAAAAAAAGAAAAATAAAAAGAAGAGAGAAGATAACTAAAATGAAACACAGTATTGCCTTCCTCGTGGGGGGATTCGGACCGCAAATTTCTTATGTTATAGAGCAATAAAAGGGACAATCATAAATTTCGGTCCAAAGCCCCACCCCCAATTTATCTATTGATTAATTTAACCAAAATTCTGATCATTATACCTAATTATATCGTTTGACCTCGTCATTTCTTGACGCACGCGTACCCATGCATTTGTATGCATATGAAGAAGGACGCATTGAGTCTCGATGAAAAACAAACCCCTTTGCACTGAACCAAAAAAATCCTCGCCTTAAAAAAAAAATGGCCTTTCAATATTGTATTTCTTCTTAAACCGCTGCATTTCTTTTGATTTATACAGACACGTGCATAGGGCGAACAAGGACCTAATCGGCGATCATATCTCATTCCCAATGGGACCCATCAGTCCCACTTGGAATTAAATGACTGTTTTCTGGGCCCTAGTGTCTTTATAAACAAAAAAAAATAATGACCCTTCACCAATGGGAATAAAAGAGTAATCCTTCAATGGCAGATATATCCCATTGATATAATTAATGATAACGTATACCTTGACCCTTGTGGCTTATCAAGTGAATTCTCTATAATTTGTAATATGTGATGAAATCCTGTTGATTATTATTATTGTCATAATTAACCAGGTCATTATTATTATTGTCATCGTGAACACGTATCTCTTATACTACTGATTCCTCAGCAACAAACACCAAAAAAAAAAAAAAGGATAAAGAAAAAGTAAAGAGGAAGAAAAAAGTTGAAACGAATAAAAAATAGATATATGCGTATAATGGGACTTTCTCTATGGACAATGGAATCTAACGAATGTGGTATTTTAAAAACATGCGGCCTGTTGATATAACCACTAAGAGATTATTATTCTATTTATTATAAATTATAACGTTACGATTAATCTACATTATTATATTAAAACGTGGAGAATATTTTACCAATTCCCACGCCTGTTGCACGTACGTGGATTAATGTATCCTACGTGTATCTTGGACTTAGACACGTTACACGCGCAGTTACGTAAGAGTGCGTTAAATTATTAAGAAATAATCTTTTTTCTTTTCGAATCATCTATTACCACCTTAATGTTCTCTTATCCAGTGATTGGCGCTTTATCACGTTTATTCGCGCTACGTCGTCTAGGTGCAATTAATTATATGATCAATTGATTATACGATTAATGATCGTTTGACAGATTTATTTTTTTCAATAAAAGTCCTTCGTTTCTGGAGTAAATTAACAATTAAGTTATTGTTACCTTTAGTCGAGAGGCCAGGACGATTGGATGATACCGTTGTGAGAGCGACGATTGATGGTGATGTGTGAATTAAACTGACAACGTGTGAATTCAACGATGCTCTGTTTGAGAATGAAAGTTGAGAGCATGAGCGAATGAAGGGGGTCAAAAGGGTGTATATCGTGGGAGTGGTGGGAACGGTTGTGAAAGAAAAAAAGAAAATCATAATGGGAAGGGAAAGTGACGCAACAATATTATTGCCATTTTTTATAGTACACAAGAGAGACAGGTAGTTTCATTAGAATTGCCAACCCTAGATCGAAGGCGCGTGACGGACCTACGATTCACTACGAATGAAACGCTTTCTATTGAATTATTATAAGTAGACATCTCTATAAGGGTTACTCATAATAATTGATTGACCCGTGGTGAACCTATCATTGCTAATTGTTATATTGTTCTTATGATTCTCATTATCATTGGGATATATATATATATATGGTCATTGCTATATGACTTTATTGATTGATTGATTGATTGATTATTATTAAGAGTTTGTCGCCAGGATCTCCATGTACGATTAGGATTAATCCAGGCGGCGAATTGTTTCAGTACTTTCCAATGGAATCTCAACGTACTTCGTATATCTACTTATGTACTCGTTAGTTACTGTATAACTGAACTATACTATATTTTCCTCGATTTATCATATTTATCTGTAAGGTTTATTAAATTTTACAATAATAAAGCACTTTATGATAGTAGATCCATGGTGGACTGTGACCATTTTAATTATATCAACCCAATTGCATCAATACTCCTCGTCTGTGCCAGACATCTTTATCGTCTCCTGAATAAGCAACCGGAAGTGCGCATATTAGGATATTCCTTTGAGAATCGACGTAAACAGGAATTTGTATAAAGTCAGTGGAATGTTTTTCGTGGATATCGTTCAGTTCGTTTTTATCATTGAGAGATTCTTCAGGGAGGTACGCTAGCTGGCAATATGGTGCAGCCGCCACTGGTGCTGCTTCGGCATCTAGCTCCTTTAAGGTGCCCGCAACGATTTCTGCACCTGCGTTAAATATTGATTATTTTTCTTTCTTTATTCCATATTTTATTTTTAATATCGTCGTACACTTACCTGAGATCAGAAGACCTTTGATGATTATTGAACATTGCCATTCTTTTTTCTTTGAACCTTCAAGCCAGTTTGCGTGCAGCTGCAGGTTCTCTAGAGGGTGCTTGCAGATGCGAGCTGTGTGCTGTTTCAGGGCGGCAAGGAATGCACGTGGACGCGCGAGGCAAGATAAGTCTATTTCCTGAGGGATATTATTTAGGTTCGAGAGATATTGCTGACGGGATAGCAGACTGTTTACAAATGGGATGACTTCCTGAGGTCCAGCTGGCCATTCCTCTAACCATTTTCTTGGAGCCTGTAAATATGGTGGCACTTTTAAGATATCATTTATTTTTATCCTTACGTTTAAAGTACCTTAGAATCTGTAATGGACGGTGATTCACTTTCCAATCTAACTAAACTCGTTAGACGCCTGATTAAATTCCTTTCGTCTTCGAAAAAATCTAGTAAAAGATCATCATTCTTTGATTCTGATCGCTGCGTAGGACTCGAGATCACTGATCCTCGTTGATCTAATAGATCTCTTAATTCTTTACGAATCTTTGCTTTCAAACTTTCCCGCACTCCTGCCTCATTGGTATTGATCTCTCCTGTAACTAGATCTGTAAGGGAAATTTATCAATTAGTTTCATCAGCAACAACATTATTTTATCATATATTCTAGACTTACTTTGAAGAAGAGCAATGGCTGCCTCAGCGGCTGAACGTTCCCAAGCTCTGTTTGCATTTGCAGGTAATCCAAAATAATCCTTAGGTGAGTCTACGTCCTTCAATTGTTCCAGGAATTTAATTCCATTTTCAGAATTGATTTCAGGCAGCCTTAAGATTCCGCCTAGTTTTACTCGACCACTAAACACATCTCTGGACCATATATTTTTGAGTATGGACTGAAGAGCTCTCATGTCAAATGCATCCTGTAATCTTCCACCATAAATAGCAACATCCAATAATCCACGTCCAGCATCCCAATCTCCTGAATTATCACGTTCCTGATTTTCTTTAGCAAGTTCCTTAACAACCAATTCAGATGCAGCTTCGAGGTCTGCTTCATTCCATTCGTAAGCCGTGATCCAGCCTTGTGGCACAAACCGTCTACGTTCCTGAAGGATTGCATGTAGCCAGGATAACAAGAAGTTTCCTCCTGGATACGCAGAAGACTTTTGACGTTGTTGAAGCTGCTGAAAGGATCTTTTAACGTTCCTCTTCACACCTTCCGGTGGTTCGTATGCCAATTTCAGGCAGAGTCCTGCAAGACCTGCATAAAATCCTGAACACTCCTCAGTTGTCAACCAGATGCGTGCAGTTGGATTTTTGTCGACAGTGCACATGGGAGATCGTAACAGTCCTTCTAGTCGTGGTAACCAATTTAATGCTAATTGTAAATTGCTTAATAGTAGCCAGCTGCCTTCCCTGAGAATATAAAATGCAATTCAAATATGCTTAGAGAATTTATTAACGCTCCTGGTTATTTACCTGCAGGCAGATTCAAGAGCAGTTTCAGCCTGAGCCACTTGTCCTTGTCCTAATGATATTTCTGTAAATCTTATACTGGAACTGGTACGTCCTGCAGCTGCAGCACGTAATTCCGAAGCAGGATCTGCTCCTGGAGACAGCAGCAGCAATATCGGACGAGTTTTACAGTCCTCAGCAATTTTTGCTAAGGACCACGAAGGAGGAGCAACGTCACGTACAGCTGAAATCAACAATTGTAGTTAACTGATTCAGAAATTATTATTATCACTCCCTTACCTAATTGTTCTGCTGCCAATTTAGTCATTGCCGTGTGTAGATGATCAGGACGCAATGCTTTCACTATTAGTGTCTTTTGGAAAAGTGTCAAATCACTTTCAGCATATATCTGACCAATATTTTCGAGCCAGGTTGTTTTCAGTTTTGATGCGACCTATATAAATATAAAGAAAGTTAATTCAATGAACATAAACACAATATCAATTAATCCTAATTAATTTACCTCAGGTAAAGCAGAACCTAAAGCCATTACGGACGATGAACGTTCCTCAGGTACCCAACTGGGAACTCTAAAATTTGAATTCTCATCGTACGCTGCTGCTCCCCGAAACAGCAGTCTCTTCTCCACTTCCGATACTGGATTCAATGAAAGCGCCAAATGCAAAGCAACAGCAAGTCTGTGCTTTCTGTACGCAGCTGTCGTACAATGATGAAGAGTCAATGTCACGAGTCTTAAAAAAAAAGTTCAGTTACAATATAAGAAAAAGATCGAAAAAATATATAAATACTCAATTATAATATTACTTCTTTTTCATAATTTTCCGACTTTCATCTGCTTTCTCCTCGTATACGCTGTTCCGTGTATCTCCCGCTTCCAGATAAATATCTGTGAAAGCTTCCGCAGAGAAAACATAAAGTGGACTCAGGTATCTCAATGATTTAACAGCCTCAAAGAGATGAGCAGCAAATTTAGCAAGAGGCTCATGATCCTTAGCTCTACGGGATACTTGATCGAGACTCTTCTTGCTTTCTTCGAGAGCTAAAGCAATCTCTTTAGCTTTCAACTGAGTAGCTTCCAAAGAGGCAAGGAGTCCGCCTTGGGATCCTTGTGATTCCTGAAGGAGATCCTGACCCCTGCTGGCCCCCAGTTGGGCTAACAAGTCAAGCCTTGCTGCGTCTCTTTCACCGGATAATATTTCTTCACGTTCCAAGGCTTCTCTTCTTTGTGCTTCTAATTCTGGTGTTTCCCTTTGCAAAGCTCTTTCAACGAATCTCTCTGCCAGACTCCTAACACCTGCACCAAGTGTCACTCGCATGAGTACAGAGTCAGCTTCCCTAGGTAGATGATCCAAATCGTCTCGCCTAGTTGCCAGAAACAGTTTAAAGCCTTGTTGAGGTGCTAATGTTCTATCGCCAAGTCGCAATGGTCGCTGACGTAGCAATGGCAGCAATACAGTTGGTAATTCAACCAGCTCTTCAATCAGTAACGGTTTACCAAACCGTATAGCCAGCTCTAAGGTCGTGAGAAACCTTGAACTCTGCGGTTCTGTCACCTCTAACCTGGTACCGATATTAGACTTGAGCCAGGTAACAGCTACACCTGAGGAATCCAAAAAGAGTGGGACCAATGGACCTCTTAACACGCAAGAAGCACCTACTAAACTTCCGGTATCCGCAGGAAGTCCTTGCGCCCGCCATTGAAGTCTTTCTCGTTCGGAAATTAATAGATCAATAGCTATTTTCTTTGCTTTATCATCTTTTACTGAAATCTGGTAGACCAGAAGAGCAGCTGCAGCTGCAGCTTCAACATCTAATCTGCCTTTTCTTGCCGTAAGTTCCTCGAATTGTGTTTGCCAATCTGTATGTTCGGCATCCAGTTTATGCAGGAGTGCTCGTGCAGTTGCGAGACTAGCTTCAGTGGCTTCCGAACGCAATTGCAATGCAGCTGCGCCTCTGGAATGTGCAGCCAATTCCTCTTGCAATTGAGCAACACGACTTTCTACAGAATTCAAACCTGCAGCTAGTCTTCCCAGCTGCGCCTCTGCAGCAGCAAGTCGCCTAATGCCGTAACAAACATAGTACCATATATGAAACAGTTGTTTTCATTGATTTAATAAATAGATTAAAACTCACTCAGCTAAGAGACGCTGTTCTCTCTCCAGTGGTGCCACCTGTTGCAAAATTTTTCCATATTGCAAATTAGCAAGGACCCAGGCTGCTAAGGGTGCGGCTGCAACTGAAGCACGCCTAGCTGTTTTCTCTTCAAAACTTTCAGGACGTTCTTTTACTAATTTCTCAACTGCCTCCAGGCTGCTGACCGAGCTACGTCTTGCGTCCCATGATCTGAAACCAATTGGCAATATAGGTACTGAAGTAGATTTGAAGTGGGACATTTGAAATTTTACCGAATCTCATCCTTGACTCCGCGTTTTGCAAGAAAAGTTTTCATACTGTTCCAGGACGTGTCTCGTATTCCCATCAGTCTGAGGACCCCTTCCAGAACATCCCTAACTGGTGCTGGTGGTGCACGAAGGGAACGCACTTCCGCCAAAGCGTCAGTACCAATTCCGGCAACCGCCTGTGCTGCTTGTTCAACTAGTGGTTCTACTTTACACAACTCTCCTTCGATATCGGCCTGAAGAATAAGAAAATTAAAAGTAGTTAGGCAAACATTTAATTGTCAATTGCATCATACTTTTCGTCGAGCCAATTCAGCACTTTCACGCTCCGTTTCAGATTTCAAAATTGTCATTTCACCCCGTTGACCTGTCGCACCCCTCATGGTCGCTGTTATCTGTTCTAAGGCAGCTGTGGCTTTACCCTTCTCAGCCTGAAAAAGAATTGCTTAATAGAATTCATTTTTACTTCAATTTTAAAACAATTCCATTCCTCCTACGTACCTCTAATTCTTGTCGTTGTTTAGTTGCTTCATTTTCCAGCTTAGAAACACGTTCTCCAGCTTCTCTGAGTCTGCTGATACCAGCTTCAAGACTGATAAGTTTCTTTTCAATATCCTCAAACCATTCCTCCTTCAATTGCTTCCAAGAATATAATAGAGCAAGGAAACGAGCCGGTGCTTGTTGCTGACTAGGTGCTCTAAGGTGGGTCTTCACCAAGGCTTGAACTCCTGGTGATTCTTCTTCACTTTCTTCAGCCATACCACATTGCTGTATTGCTAGTTCACTAAGTGGTCTTTCTAGAGACCACCATTCGCACCGCGGATTCTGTCCAATTAATACACAGTGTTTTAAAAGTCCAGATCGTAGCAACCAATCTTCTCTGGAATCAGCAGTGTCCAGGATAACAGCTACTCGTAAAAGACTTCTTAATCCTGAACAATATTATTTTTAATAAGATTTATCCAATTAAATATGACGTTACTATAAAAAATATATTTACTGTGATAAAAATATTGTTCCAGACTTCCTGGAAAATCTTCTCGTCTCGCAAGATCAGCCAGCGGAGCAATGAGGCCATCGAGTTCCTCGGTAGCCATCAGTCCAGGAACTTCTCCTCTAGATACAATGGCGCTGGCCAGGATGGCTAAACCTACTTCACGCGCGTGATGCTCTTCCAGGAGAAGAAGGGTTGGTTCTCCATCGATACCAGATGCTTGGATAGCTGACCTTATTGCTGCTCTACTACGTCCTTTGTAAAGATAGCTTAATTTTAATAACACAAGAAACTGAATTGAAAAATTGAGTTTCTCATTTACCAGGTCCAGAATCAATCAGACGTAAGGATGACATGGTAGCTGCTAATCTAATTGCAGATTTGCGACCTGCACCAGGTCGACCGACTAGTACCATACCACGTTGGCCACTTCCCATAGCCCAACTGACACCTGAGAATTGTTTTTGGTAGCATTAAATATTTTTAATTATTTTTCAACAATCATGCTAATACCATACCAGCCACAATTTGCAAAAGATGAGGAGACATCGATGCTTGAATTGGTTCTCCTTCTCTGGCACATTTTGCAACTGCATTTTCAACTTCCTTTCTCCATTGTTCTTCACCAAACGGAAGCAAACCAGCTGCACCGCCTTTCCAAGCATAGATATCATCTCCAGAAGTCTTACCTCCTGGTGCACGTGATGCTATTATTGATTCCCAATGAGATTGTTCCTTGATAGTCAATCTGAAACATGAGGTCATAAATAATTAAATCTTCACTGTATCTAGGTGCAAGATGCATTTCGGTTCCCCGTACCTGCATTGAAACAATCGACGTCCTGTATCCAGTAAATATTCAGTGATCTCTGACTCATCTTCTGGGACAGGGTAAAATTTCAAAGCATCTGCCCAGAGTGCTAAATCACCAGGTGTCCAGGATGTGATTAATTCCTGCGAAGTTAAAACCGATTGGAAAGCTTCAAGCATTGCTGGCGCTAGACGAGAGATCCACGATTCGACCATAATTTTTCCTCCTTTCAATGCATTTCTCAAATGCAATTCTATTATGGCAACACTCTCCTTCGAACTAGGATTCCTGGAAAATAATATGTATTGAAGTTTATTGAATTTGAATTACAATAAATCAATTACTAACGGCATGTAATGTGTGGCGAGCAATGATTCCAATCTAGGATGCAATTTTGTTTCGGTATCTCCTGTAAATATGGCAGTCAATGGAATTCTGGCATATTCCAAATCGTCCTCGTGAAATCTTCCCTCCTGTAAGAGTTCCCGTACGAGTTCTTGCAAATCTTTGGATGCTAGATGTAAGTCCTCCAGAATCAGAATTAGACGACTACCATTCCGTGGTCTATAGGCTCTTCCATGGGATGAAGAGTCTACCTGAACGCAGGCTCTTTTTAGGCGCAAGATCAAATCCTGAGAACCGTAAAGGGATGATCCTTTTACGATCATTGATGACTCTCTGTTCGTATCCTTCCCTGATAAGATTGCTGCTGATATCAAAGTACTCTTTCCACATCCCGCAGGGCCTCGTACTATTACAGGATGTCCTGAATCCAACCAGGGAAGCACAGCTTCCAAAGCTCTTTTTACCGGACCAGAAAGAGACAACGGACCGTTTTCTGTTTTCAAAATATCTACAGGATCACCAAAAGGTTCTATTCTATCAGTTTCTGAATTGTACAGAACAGCAAAAGGTCTTTGAGGATCAGGACACCAGCTGTCAGTTAATTGGTACAGCACTCTTGCCAGCTGATCTCTGGAATTGGTATCTTCGATTTGACCGCATAGAGAAACTAAAAGGGCATAAGTTCCCATGGTTCTCGTATTGGAATTTTTAAGATGCGACAGTGCAGCTTCGATCAAGCCTGCAGCTGAAGATCGTTCTCCATTATTCTTCAATACAGCATCCGCAGCAGTGCTTAGGTGAGTATTAGCAATATCCTGAGCTAACGATGATAAGGTTTCTAATCTGCTAGGCAAAATTAATGATTTAGGCATAAGGTTTCCAAGATGGACGACACCCAGACGAGAAACTGTAGCAGGACTGGCACCATCGAGTTTATGAGTTTCAAAAATAAATCTGGTGCCACTTCCTAATTTGATGCCTACACCATTAGGTAAAGTTAGAAGTCGATTGTCATCTAATGCTGAATTCAAAGCTTCGGCCCAGCTAGGTTCTACGTCACCATCCAAAATAATCCATATGGTGGATTCACCAGCTGTAGATACAGCGTTAGACAAGAGTCCTTCCTTCCATTCTCTCGTAGTGGAATCTACTTTGCCTAATAATTTAGTCTTTGGCATAGCACCAGGATAAATTAGAATTTGCGTAACAGGATTGCCAATTCTTGACAGTGCTTCTGTTAAAATTATTCTTATTAACGTTTTCCCACTTCCTGCTGGACCAACAATTGCTACGCCTGCTCTGCTTTTCAATTGGTTATTCAGTTGCACACATGTCTCAGCCACTTCCTGTTTTAGCCCCTTAGATTCACAAAGATCAACCAGAATGGATTTGAGATCTTGTTTAGTTGAAACAGAATCCAAAGAAATGTCAACTTTTGGAAAAACGTCAGATAACAACGCCAGGAATTTAATTCTGTCACTTTCAATGAGTTTTGGCATAGTAGAAGCTTTGATAGCCAGTAAGAGTCTTTTGGTCTCATCAGAATCATCCAATTGAGCAGGTTCAATGGCATCCAGAACAGATCTGAGAGCCCTAAGTCCCCAATCATAGTGTGGCTGTCTAGACAATAATGTTTCCGAGATATCCAAAGTCTCTACCAATTGTTTAGCTAGAGTGTTCGCTTCGAGAAAACCTGCGCATTCTAAAAGAGCACGTACTATGTCTGATCTGTCCGGATGCGCCATTGCTACCGGTCTAAATAATCTTGCCAAGGAATCAGGCAGTTTATGTCGTCCTCCATATTCACTACCAGCTGGATTCATCGTGATAAATACACAGCAGTCAGAATCCAGAGTGACAGTTTGATTTCCCAGTTGGACTTGAATCTCTCCGTCGCGCACTGCTTCCTGAAGAGGTCTTACAAGCATTGCTACTGCACTTAGGGTCTCTTCCTCTAAACGATTGAACTCATCAAAGCAACCCCATGCACCAGCTTGAGCCAGACCACCCAGAATACGTTTCATGCTACCAGCATCCATTCCTGATCAAGTGTTATTTCTCATTAATCAATTTGTCAACAGTTGATCCAAAATTTTAATATGTAATTTATTACCTTCGTCACAGTTGAAGACCAATACTAATCTTCCCAGAATTGCCCCCAGGGCCTTAACACTCTCTGTCTTTCCTGTTCCAGCTGGCCCCGTGGGACTACCTCCTAGACCCAATTTCATGGCTTGCGTGAGAGCCAGGAAGCACCTTTCTGTTAGCGGTGTTCGCACTAGGCCTACAGCTGCACCTTGGTATTCAAATTTGTATTTGAATTCCGCACCAGCACATTTTACAATTGGTCCTTTATCCTGTTCAAAAGATAATTGGATTCGTTTAATTATGGTAAACAGAAATAGTATTTATTTTTCTTTCAATAAAATTACGTACACTTCTGTAACTTCGTAGTTGCCTGGACCAGGTCCAGGATGATTTACCATCATTGGAACTCATCCCCAAGAGGGTCCTTGCCACTCCCAGATGATGCACTGTGTCCAGAAGCAACCCTCTAGCTTTTAATGCTATCAGATGTTCTCCAGTATCCTCAAGACCTCTGTATCTGGCTCTTTGAGCTTCCAAAGACTCAACTAGCTTCTTCAGGGCTGATCCTCCTTCCTTTACGGCACTTTCACAGCGTTCCGTGAAGTGAATCCTTTCGGAGAGTAATAAGACCTGGGCAGGATATTGGGAAGGATCCGGACTTGAATCGGATAAACATTTTTCTAACTTTTCATTCAAAGTGCTCCTTATCTCTTGCTCTAAATGTTTTAACCACTGCGGCAATGATTCTGTCAAGTCAATCGGACTGCGTAGCTTCAAAATTTCACCTTCTGGAGATATCACTGATATCAGTCGGCCGTTTTCTCTCTTCACTGAACCAACACCTTGGTACAATTTTGGTAAATGTGCTTCCAATCCTTTTCCACTACCGGAAACCAACTCAAGCAGATCTTCGTCACTGAGAAAATATAATCTGGGATACGAAGATCTCTTTTCCTGAAAAAAGAGAAATTGTATGAAGTTTCAGGAAAGAATGGATATAAAAACTCAGGATATACCTCTAAGAATTCATCGAGACTTCTCTGACATCTATCAAGAAGATCTTTCAGATTTATTAACGCTGGAAGCGGAAGTCTTCTCAAAGATGGAAGTCCTGGATCTCTTGCTACTTCTCCCATGAGGTACCTGAATTCCTTATCAGCTCTAGACCATCTTCCTGAATCATTTGGCGCTGCCCCACCTCCGTAGACTGGGTCAAGGTACACCCACTTTCGCTGAACCGTACTTAGAGCTTTTATTCTTTCCTCTAATTCAGATAAGGCAGACTCACACCGTGCAGCTCTGGCAGCGAAACGTTCATAACCAGCTGCACCTTTTGCTCCTTCCAGAAGAAGTCTCAATTCACCGGCCCTAGCCAAGAGGCCGCCATATTCTCCCACTAGCATTATTCTTGAATTCCTGCTGTCTTTAGATTCCTGTAATTGTAGCGAGGCTGAACCTTCCCAAGATTCTAATTCAGTGATGGCCTGACGTATCCCACTTTCTGCAGCAGCCCTTTTTGTAATTTCCTGTATGGGTGATTTCAAAAATTAATGAGACTATAGATCAGGACAACTAATATATAATACCTTTATTCGATCCACGTTCTCCTCGATGATCTCAACTTTACTTAGAAGATGGCCCAAGGTAATATCTCTAATATTAGCTATAGGTAGATTCAAAATAGTTTTCAATTCCGCCCAGTGCTCATCAGCAAGTTCATCTCCACGAAGAAGCTGAATCCATTCAATGGCTTTTCTAACTTCTTTAATCTTTTTACTAACAAAAGTATCAACTTGTACTTTGTTTTCATTTTCGTTGATTTTATCATGTTTTTCTGAACTCCCCTCAAGTTGTATTTGAATTCTAGTTTCCCAGGAATCTAGCCAGTCATGTAACCTGGGCAATCTTCTTCTAGCCACTATCCATTCTTCAGCTTCCTGTTTCTTTAACTCTTCAAGGAATTCAAATTGGAATCTACAATTTGACTCTTCAGCATCCAACTGCGCTTCAATCTTCTCAAGTGAATCTTCGTCATTGAAAATATCATTTAAATCAATACCTATTCTTTTACAATCAGCATCCAATGACCTTTTTTGCTCTTTTAACGCTGTCCAACGTTCCCTCATGTTTGATAACCATTCTAAAGTCATTACATCTGGTCGTGACGACCATTTCGTCTCCCATCTTTCTCTATCATCTCGCAAAGCTATACCACGATGGCGAAGATTCACTTTGGCATCTTCCAGTTGACGAGCTACTACAGTTCGATGTCTTTCCAAACGTTCTGCCAAACCTTCCGAAGCTGCACGAGCACCGCTCACGCCTGTAAAAAGTGTTACCAATTAATAATAATTAATAATATTAATCAATTGTAATTACCTTCTAGGGTCTCTCTCGTCCAAGCAGCTAAGACTCTACTGAGACCAAGAATAGCTTCCAATTCATTTGCAACTCCAGCTGATTCCACCTGGATACGATCATGAGCTTCATGAGCAATTCCAACTTCCTCAACTGTACGAGGACGCTTATCCAATTCTTTCCCGGCTGCAGATAAGAATTCCATAATTGCGACCAATCTGGATGAAGCTTCGGTTCGAAGATCTGCTGATAATCGTTCCCAGTATCTTCGGGAAGCTGATTCAAGATCATTTCGTGTTGTCGCTGTGTCTATAGTAATGCACCATATCTTGACCTCGTTACCCCGTAATTTTCCGACCTGAAATCAATGATTTTATGACACAGGTAAAATGTTATCATCTGCATATGTAATAGACTCCTACCTCCTGAGCCCACTGTTTTGCATCTTTAAATGCTCTTTCCCATTCCTGTGGTGATTTCCCTTTTAATCTGCAAGAATTGTTAAAATATCCAATTGCAATTCCAATTGTTTTTTTTATAATGAGCTTACCGTTCTCCAACATCTATTCTAGCTGGCGCAGCTAACGGTATCCATTTCAATCTAACGGATTCAATAGCTGAAAGTCCTACTTCGGCTTCTTTATAAACTCCACCATACAGGTAGGCGCTTCTTTGTACAAGATCACTGAAGTGTCCATCAGCAGGATCACCAACTCCTCGAAAATTTGTTGGAATTGCCAAAAATCTTTTGAGACCAGAATACACCTTGGCGCGAACCTCCTCCAAAGATGGTCGCCATTGCAGAAATCCATCTCTAAAGGTCAGTTCTATTCTGATCTCTGGCATTCTTCTAAGCAATGATGGAAGCGCTGCCCTAATAAATGAAGAAAATACAGATATATTAAACTGTAAAAAACAATTTAATATCCAACTACCTGTAAGCAACCCCTAATGCTTTTAGCAGCTGCCGATCCCAGTGAAGTTTCCAAGCTTTAGTATTTCCGTATTCTGTATCCACTTGATCCACCGTCATTCTCATCCTCTTAAGAGTCTCTTTCCAAGCACCCTGATTACCAACTAAATTTATTGCATCCCCTTTTAACAAGCTTGCCACGTTGTCCCGAAGGGTCGCGTGCTTAGAGGCTAATTCGAAATTTTGTCTAGTGAATTTTTTTACCTGCATTAACAGATATTAATTTAGATTATATTCATTCACTTTTTTATATAAATTTGTTACACTTGCCAATTCTCGTAATCTATTGATATAGGAGTCTACGGCCTGTGGCTCCGACCAAGCAACACCAGATTGCTCTCTAACAGCCCTTGCCAATTCCAATGCAGTTGTAAGCATCAGTGGTCTCTGAGATGGTACCATTCGATCTCCAATTGTATTATGAAAAGTAGCAACTTGCTGCAAAGCTATTGCTCGACCAGCAAGACTACCAGCCTTCTCTACCAATTCTCGTATCTCTCGTGGCAATTCCACTCCTTGTCCCGAGAGTGCTCTGGCCTCTCTTACAAGGGTAGTTAGACGAGGGTCATAAGTCACCCTCATCATACTGCTTCCGGTCAGTTCTACTACCGCGGAATCAATACCCAGCGACAATTCTTTTTTAGCGATTACTTGTCTCGTCTCACTTATCCAGGATTCGACCAAATGTTGCTTACGCGCTTCCACGTCTTTCAGAGCTGCTGAAATTTTCGACGCAGCATCCTCATATCCTGGTAAATCACACAGGAGCTCCTTTCCAAGTTTCTGTAAACTTTCCAGACGCAATTCAGATGCTCTTGCAGATTGAACTTCCTGGAGGATTTTTGGACTGTCTAATAAGCGGTCGGTATCAGGACCACTCTGGCAGGATTCTGAAAATTATGTGAAGGAAGAATTTTGAAATATTTTCATTTCTTTTATGGGTATACTTTACCGATCAGATCGCCATATGATGAAAGTAGCGATTCACGTTCTCCGCGAAGAGCACGTCGAAGATTTTCTCTTTTCATCAATTCTGAGTATCTTCGAAATTCAGCAGCCATCGACGTTGCTGTTTTGCTACCGGATATTTGAATTCGTAATTTTTCAGCGACCTTCTCTTCCGCCGGTACCAGACCTTCTTCTACCCTTCGTTTCAAACGGTCCCATTCCAGGTAATTTTGATCCTCATCGATTTTCACTGGATTAAAATATTTTCTGAATAAAATGGGAATTGTGTTTATTATTCGAAAACGTACTTTGAGCTTCATCGAAATTTTTTAGCAACGTATCAGTTCCCAATGCTGTTCTCTCACTGGTAGTCAGTAATCTGGTCAGTTGACGATGCTGAGCCCGAAGTTCAGCAATTTGTCTGAAACATTTTCGAAAAATTTATTCTATCTACCCAAACATATTTTTAATATTTAAGTATTCTTTACCCAAGTCTTTTTGACAGTTTTTCACATTTTACAGGAACGAATCGTGGTCCTTTCCAAGGATGTAGGGAATGATGAGGCCAGAACAATCCTGTAAGTCTCTCTGATAATGTTACCCATTTCCCAGTAATTTTTGCTCCAATTTTTATCGTTTCATCTCGAGCCTGAGATTTATTCTGTGGAATCTCACTGATAAGAGATTCTACAAGAAACACCACTTCGTTCCCAATAACATCCAATAAGGACTTCATATGATCTTCTGAGTATGCTGGACCCTCCAGCTTCCAAAGATCATCGACGTATCCTGAAACAGCTTCCAAGGCCTCCTCGAATCCGGCTAAACCTTCCCTAAAATAAAATTGGCATCAAAATAAAATTTACGTCCTACAAACTTTGAAATATTTTTTAAAAATTTACCTAGATGCAGCAGCACCTTCCAATTCGACTCGAATATTTTTTAAAGCCGACACAGCCTCTTCAATAATTTGTTTATCTTGCGATCTTTTTGCTTCGCCCCGTCTTCTCTCCCAACGGGCTTCCTCTTCAGCAACGGAAGATGGTGCTCCAGGTCCCAGAAGATCTTGTTCCAATTTCTTCAAATAAGATTTACTCACTCCTGAAGAGTGCAAGGAAGGCGCCCATACATGTTTAATGACTTCTAAAAAAGCCTTTTTCCCACCATCGCCAATCGAGGCAACTTGCACCAAATCATGAAAATTTTCCTCGGACACCGTAGAAGCATTTAGCTAATAATAATAATAGTAATAATAACAATAAATTAATCCATTACATACATATAACGAATAAAAAAGGAAGAAAACCTGTATTTGAAGTTACCTTGAAAAATACCAAAGTATTTTTGCCAGCAGGTAATTCATTTGTAAGTCTCAATCCATTGTCACTAGGTTGAGCACAAAGTGTCCTGCAGGTTCCTTCTTCCAGAAATTTCTCCAATACAGGACGTTCCGTATTTGAAACATCATCCTTGCTTGCTACTCCGAAAAAGTGACTAGCGGTATCCACAATGAGGCTCTTACGTCGATCCAAAACTCCCATGATGCTTTCCTTTGCAAAATTTTCAAAAAAATCATTCACCACGAAGTTCCTTTACACGTGGCTCGGATGCAGTATACGGGATAGCCACCAGCAGTCGAACTATCATTGCTGCGTTTCTATGGCAACGTTTGCACAACAAACTATACGTGCCAGCTGTCACGGCCACGTGGTACGCGGTATCACGTGCATCGTTAATCAATGATTCTACGTGTGAGCCGCCTATTGAACAATTTATGTAAAAGTTATATATGCTGTAACCCAATACTGATTGGCTTTAAAGAGTGAAAAAAATCGTACTTTTGGAAGGCTGTAACTCGAGAGCAGCTAGGAATCAATCTTTTTCTTTGAAAATTTAAAAGATCTCTTAACGGAGAATAGTGCACAGAAGAGGTTGACACTATTCAAATTGCGAAACGCCTACTTTCGAAAAGGCACCTTCATTATTTGTGATCGTCACCAAAAATATTTTATTGGTTTTGAAATTTAAGTAAAATCGCACCTCTGGGATGTTGTATCTCAAAAACGACTGGGAATTCAGCTTTTTCCTTAAATTCAAATTCTCCGATTCGTATCAAATGAATAACTTAATTCCAATTTTCGCCGCTTAATCTCTTCTTGTCTCTTGGAAAACTGGTGAACCTTCTACGCTCAAACTATTGCATACACAGTTGTAAAATCGCACGTTTGGGATGCTATTTCAGAAACGGCTGGGATTATATCTTTCTCTTCGAAATTTTTGAAACATCTCCAGATACAGTAAACTGAAATATTTGCACGCAGGGTGCAACTTAAGGTTGTTTGAGAATAAATAATTTTTGCACACATATTGATCAAAGATTCGAGAAGGACAAACGTGAGTGATAGGTGTCGACAGGTTTATAAAAAACAGTTCAAATGTTAAATATGAACAATACGCTTCTCAATCTCATTTGTTTCCTTACAATGATCGGTAACTATCATATGATTATGAAAACTATAAAAATTTTAGCAACGTTCATTGGTGACTTCGATTTTATCCCACCCAGTATATTATTATGTATGAATTGTAATTAATGTTACAGCATATTGATTAAACATGCGAGAAACACACTCGTGTCTGCAGGATGTGTGTACACATGTCTGCTATTTGCGTCTAGAAGAAGAAGACTTTATTCAATGACGATTATGGAACACATGTGTACACACGTTTGCATGTGGGTATATATATATTACATGTGTGTGTAACAGGTATCGATATATGTCCAAAAATTAGTTAATCATAAACACGGGATCATGAAATATATAATAATTTTAGCAGCGTTCACTGGTACGTCATCATTACCTCAAACTGGACGAAACACAAGATTGTAAGGAGATTCTGCAGTACTTCCTTATGTATTCTAGCAACGACTTGACCGCCCTTGGATTTTTGGCATTTGGACGTCCCACCACGTTAAATCGTCCTTGGTATGATGCACTTGACTGGACTTCAATCAAGCCCACCATTCCTAAACCTCCTGCCTGCTTAGTCGATTGGGGTAGAGAATATGGTCTTATTACCATGCACATTTTCTTGGTTGAGAAACCCTGGAAGATCACCTGTTGATCTCTTCTGCCATTGCTGTATGGATTGAATGAATAAACATCTGTTAAAAATTATTGATATTTTGATAAATCAATTTGAGATACTTTTACATTTCACCTGAACATATCCTATGTATGTTGCTTTCATTTGGACTTTCTTAATTATGGAATTCCTTCTGGACAGCTGTAAAAAAAATAACAATTTTATCGAACATTTAGTGTCCTCACTTTACAATTATATCTGAAACTAAGACATCACCCTCTTCTTCTACAGTAACTATCGCTTGCTTATATATCAAATATTATTGCGATTACGTCGAGAGAGAATCTGTTATTACAAAGAAAAAGCTCTAATCCATAGAAGCAGTATCTATAAGATTTAGACATAGTTTTTGACCGAAATAGTTTTACATTTGGCAAACAATGCGTTTCAGGGGGTTTTCTCGTAGACGCAAGGGAAGGGAGTCATTGTGAATATCGAGAATAAAGTAAAAGACGATCTCCACCCCTCAAGGGACCTCATGGAGAACTAACCAGCTACCAAAACTAATGATCAATTATTTCTCAATAAATCGATAAGGTCTAAAAGTGATTGACGTAAGTATTATGGATACGTGTGCAAAAAATCATTCCCAAATACACGATTTTTGCATCTGAATCAATTAAAAGCACACGAAACACAGACATATACATATATGTATCGCTTTCACCGTCTAAAAGAAGAAGACTTTCTTTGATGAAGATTACTGAATTACATGGATGTGTGTGCTTTAATGTGTGAGTATGTATATAATATATATCTTATACGTGCAAATATAAAAGGCATTGATACGTGTGCAAAATATAGTTAATAGTAAACAAGTCTCACCATCATTCGTATAAAAGTTCGCAATAAGCTTCTCAATCTCATTCGTTTCCTTACAGTGATCGATAATTATCACGAAATCATGAAAACTGTTATAATTTTAGCAGCGCTCATTGGTGAGTTTGACTTTATCCTACTCAGTATATTAATATTGCATCAAACAAGGTTCGAACGATTAAGAAAATAATTCTGTATCGCCATTGTATTTGCAGCTTTGTGTTCGGCCGTTAAATGGACCGATCTCCGAGGTAAGTGTCCTTACATGTAAGAAGATCTTTGTCTACGGGTAAAAAAATATTAATATTTTTAATATATGCTTTTCTTACTATTGATTAGCTAGGTGGAATGGAATGAAAACCACCCCTGAGGACAGCTTCTTCCAAATTCCACGTACCGCCAGCAGCGCCATTGCCGAAGGCTGGGTCCGCGTCGAAGGTGTCAATGATCATCCCGTAGACGTCTTCTGTCTCGAGAATGATGGCCGCTTCTGCATCATTACTGATTCCTTCGGCAACATCGCCGGTTTCGAATTCGGTATCCCCGCCAGCGACATCGAGAACAAGGGAATTCCATACGACCCATCCATCGTCCCCAACTACAAGAAGAAGACCTTATTTGGCGAAGCCTACTGGACCGTCACTGTGTATTCTGTCGATCCTGGTGGGTGAATTTAATTTTTGACATTTTCAAGTAATTTCGACTATACCTTCTCCTCGTCCTTGTAGATGTGATCGATGCTGGAGGTCGTAGCGAAACAAGAGGACTCACCGGAACTACTGGCATCTGGATCGAAGAGGGTGACAGCTACATGGTAGTCTCTAGGCACGAGAGAACTATGCGGAAGGAGCTTGATTATCACAAAACAAAATGCATCCCTCAAATGGGTGACCATTATTATTATGCCCAACGGTACATCGAAGAAAGAAATCTGCACTCTGTGTGCCAAGTGTGCAAAACCAATAAATTCACGTCAACAGTTATATAGGCGCGTAATAAGCTTCTCAGTTTCATTTTGGTTCCTCATAACGGTCGGCAACTATCACGGGATCATGAAAACTGTAATAATTTTAGCAGCCTTCACTGGTGAGTTTGACTTTATACCACCCAGCATATTAATATTACATCGAATAAGATTTCAACGATTAATGAAATAATTATGTGTGAATCTTCATTGTACTTGCAGCTCTGTCTTCAGCTTTTGAGTGGACCGATCTCAGAGGTAAAGTACCTTTACATATAACAAGAACTGTGTGCGCTTGTAAAAAAATATTAATATCTCGTATATATATCCTTATTATTGATTAGTCAGGTGGAATGGATCAGATACCTTACATCAGAATAGCTTCTTCGAAATTCCACGTACCGCCAACAGCAGCATCTCCGAAGGCTGGGTCAGTGTCCCACATGTCAATGATCATCCAGTGACAGTTTACTGTCCCAAAAATGATGGCCGCTTCTGCGTCCTTACTGATTCCTACGGTAACATCGCTGGTATTCAAGTCAGTGTTCTCGCCAGTGACATCGACAACAAAGGAATTCCATACGACCCATCCACCATCGCCGCCTACAAGAAGAAGACCTTATTCGGCGAAGACTACTGGACCACCACTGTATACACTGTCGATCCTAGTGGGTGAATTTAATTTTTAACATTTTCAAGAGATTTCAACTATACCTCATTCTCGTCCTTGCAGATCTGATCGATGCTGGAGGCCGTAGAGACGCAAAAGGACTCATCATGACTACCGGTGTCTGGGTCGAAGAGGGTGACAGCTACATGTACATCGACAAGAACTTGAATACCTTGTTGAAAACATTAGATTTCCGTAAAAATAATTGTTTCCCTAGCATGGGTCATCATTATTACCTCAAACTGGACGAAAATCAAGATTGTAAGGAGATTTCGCCGTACTTCCTTATGTATTCTGGCAACGACTTGACCGTCCTTGGATTTTTGGCATTTGGACGTCCCACCACGTTAAATCGTCCTTGGTATGATGCACTTGACTGGACTGCAATCAAGCCCACCATTCCTAAACCTCCTGCCTGCTTAGTCGATTGGGGTAGAGAATATGGTATTATTACCATGCACATTTTCTTGGTTGAGAAACCCTGGAAGATCACCTGTTGATCTCTTCTGCCATTGCTGTATGGATTGAATGAATAAACATCTGTTAAAAATTATTGATATTTTGATAAATCAATTTGAGATACTTTTACATTTCACCTGAACATATCCTATGTATGTTGCTTTCATTTGGACTTTCTTAATTATGGAATTCCTTCTGGACAGCTGTAAAAAAAATAACAATTTTATCGAACATTTAGTGTCCTCACTTTACAATTATATCTGAAACTAAGACATCACCCTCTTCTTCTACAGTAACTATCGCTTGCTTATATATCAAATATTATTGCGATTACGTCGAGAGAGAATCTGTTATTACAAAGAAAAAGCTCTAATCCATAGAAGCAGTATCTATAAGATTTAGACATAGTTTTTGACCGAAATAGTTTTACATTTGGCAAACAATGCGTTTCAGGGGGTTTTCTCGTAGACGCAAGGGAAGGGAGTCATTGTGAATATCGAGAATAAAGTAAAAGATCGATAAGGTCTAAACGTGATTGACGTAAATCTAAATGGATAAGTGTGCAAAAAAACATTCACAAGTACACGATCTTTGCATCTGTATCAATTAAAAGTACAAAAGACATACGCATACACATATGGGTGTCGCCTTCGCCGTCTACAAGAAGAAGGCCTTCTTCGACGGTTTCAGGACCACAAGAGTATACATGGATGTGTGTGTGTTTGTGTGGGTAATGTAACAGATGTCGATACGTGTGCAAAAAATAGCTAATAGTAAATAAGGACACACCATCATCCATATCTGGGAATATATATATACATACATATTACATGTACATAGGTAACAGGTGTCGACACGTGTGCAAAAAATAGTTAATAGCAAACAAATGTCACTATCATTCATATAAAAGTTCGCAATAAGCTTCTCAATCTCATTCGTTTCCTTACAGTGATCGATAATTATCACGAAATCATGAAAACTGTTATAATTTTAGCAGCGCTCATTGGTGAGTTTGACTTTATCCTACTCAGTATATTAATATTGCATCAAACAAGGTTCGAACGATTAAGAAAATAATTCTGTATCGCCATTGTATTTGCAGCTTTGTGTTCGGCCGTTAAATGGACCGATCTCCGAGGTAAGTGTCCTTACATGTAAGAAGATCTTTGTCTACGGGTAAAAAAATATTAATATTTTTAATATATGCTTTTCTTACTATTGATTAGCTAGGTGGAATGGAATGAAAACCACCCCTGAGGACAGCTTCTTCCAAATTCCACGTACCGCCAGCAGCGCCATTGCCGAAGGCTGGGTCCGCGTCGAAGGTGTCAATGATCATCCCGTAGACGTCTTCTGTCTCGAGAATGATGGCCGCTTCTGCATCATTACTGATTCCTTCGGCAACATCGCCGGTTTCGAATTCGGTATCCCCGCCAGCGACATCGAGAACAAGGGAATTCCATACGACCCATCCATCGTCCCCAACTACAAGAAGAAGACCTTATTTGGCGAAGCCTACTGGACCGTCACTGTGTATTCTGTCGATCCTGGTGGGTGAATTTAATTTTTGACATTTTCAAGTAATTTCGACTATACCTTCTCCTCGTCCTTGTAGATGTGATCGATGCTGGAGGTCGTAGCGAAACAAGAGGACTCACCGGAACTACTGGCATCTGGATCGAAGAGGGTGACAGCTACATGGTAGTCTCTAGGCACGAGAGAACTATGCGGAAGGAGCTTGATTATCACAAAACAAAGTGCATCCCTCAAATGGGTGACCATTATTATTATGCCATGAACGAGACACTTGCTTGTTCCGAATTTCGGCCTATCGTCCTCCTGTATGATGGTGGCGATCTGCTCGGTGTTGCTTTCCAAGGATTTGGTCCAAAATCCAGCACCAAGCGTGTTTGGTGGGAACCCATTTTACCGTCTTTCACTAGGGTCATAGCTCCTAATTCTCCTGATTGTTTAGTCGATATAACTGCAAAGTATAATAGTATTTCTTTGCACATTTACTTTGTCGACGAACCATGGAACATTTCCTGTGACAACTGGTTGGTTCATACTGTAAAAAAAATTGTACACACCATATTTTAAAATAAAATTGATCGGAATTTCCGATTGAATTGAACAGTACTATTGATCACACGACATTCTACGACTTTTACTTTTTATTTTCGAATTAAAAACAAACTTCCCACTTTGCTGCCTGAAAGAGATAAGAGGTTGGCAGTGTCACACATACCTTTGAAGAAGAAAATTCCAGTTGCAAGATACCTTGGACATTTCTTTGTTTCCCGGAGACACACAGATTCCTTCGTGAAGACTGCAAGGGGTAAACGGGCTGACTGACAAGGAAACCCCCCCAACCCGACCCCACCGATTTCAATAATTTTTTGATATGTTGTAGTACTCGACAAAATAAGAGACACGTATTTTTTTTTTGTGCTGACATCCACTTTAAAGGGGTGAAAACGACCCTTGAAATTCACCCCCGAAAATCGTTTTTTTATCATATCTCGACTTCTAATTAATATTTTTTAATAGAACCAAGTGGAAAATATTTGTCATAAGAAGTCGAAGATATGAGGTGTGTTTATGACCCAAGGGGTTGCAACCCTTATTTTATATTTTGAAAAAACTATATTTTTTATGCTTTTTTTCTGCATAAAAACCGGGGTATGGGCTCAAAAAAATAAAGAAAAGCGTTTCCATTAACTCTATCAAATATTTCAGTTGGGGTGTTTCAGGATTTTTCAAAGGGATAAAAACCACCCCTAAATTTTACCCCCGAAAATTGTTTTTTATCATATGTCAGATTCTAATTGATATTTTTTAATAAAACCAAGTGGAAAATATTTGTCATAAAAAGTCGAAGATATGAGGTGTGTTTATGACCCAAGGCGTTGCAACCCTTATTTTATATTTTGAAAAAACTATATATTTTATGCTTTTTTTCTTCATATAAACCAGGGTATGTACTCAATATTTATTAATATTTTTTAATGAAACTATGATTAAAAATTATTTTTATAAGATTTATTTCTTTTTCTTCTTCGATAAGGTCTAAACGTGATTGACGTAAATCTAAATGGATAAGTGTGCAAAAAAACATTCACAAGTACACGATCTTTGCATCTGTATCAATTAAAAGTACAAAAGACATACGCATACACATATGGGTGTCGCCTTCGCCGTCTACAAGAAGAAGGCCTTCTTCGACGGTTTCAGGACCACAAGAGTATACATGGATGTGTGTGTGTTTGTGTGGGTAATGTAACAGATGTCGATACGTGTGCAAAAAATAGCTAATAGTAAATAAGGACACACCATCATCCATATCTGGGAATATATATATACATACATATTACATGTACATAGGTAACAGGTGTCGACACGTGTGCAAAAAATAGTTAATAGCAAACAAATGTCACTATCATTCATATAAAAGTTCGCAATAAGCTTCTCAATCTCATTCGTTTCCTTACAGTGATCGATAATTATCACGAAATCATGAAAACTGTTATAATTTTAGCAGCGCTCATTGGTGAGTTTGACTTTATCCTACTCAGTATATTAATATTGCATCAAACAAGGTTCGAACGATTAAGAAAATAATTCTGTATCGCCATTGTATTTGCAGCTTTGTGTTCGGCCGTTAAATGGACCGATCTCCGAGGTAAGTGTCCTTACATGTAAGAAGATCTTTGTCTACGGGTAAAAAAATATTAATATTTTTAATATATGCTTTTCTTACTATTGATTAGCTAGGTGGAATGGAATGAAAACCACCCCTGAGGACAGCTTCTTCCAAATTCCACGTACCGCCAGCAGCGCCATTGCCGAAGGCTGGGTCCGCGTCGAAGGTGTCAATGATCATCCCGTAGACGTCTTCTGTCTCGAGAATGATGGCCGCTTCTGCATCATTACTGATTCCTTCGGCAACATCGCCGGTTTCGAATTCGGTATCCCCGCCAGCGACATCGAGAACAAGGGAATTCCATACGACCCATCCATCGTCCCCAACTACAAGAAGAAGACCTTATTTGGCGAAGCCTACTGGACCGTCACTGTGTATTCTGTCGATCCTGGTGGGTGAATTTAATTTTTGACATTTTCAAGTAATTTCGACTATACCTTCTCCTCGTCCTTGTAGATGTGATCGATGCTGGAGGTCGTAGCGAAACAAGAGGACTCACCGGAACTACTGGCATCTGGATCGAAGAGGGTGACAGCTACATGGTAGTCTCTAGGCACGAGAGAACTATGCGGAAGGAGCTTGATTATCACAAAACAAAGTGCATCCCTCAAATGGGTGACCATTATTATTATGCCATGAACGAGACACTTGCTTGTTCCGAATTTCGGCCTATCGTCCTCCTGTATGATGGTGGCGATCTGCTCGGTGTTGCTTTCCAAGGATTTGGTCCAAAATCCAGCACCAAGCGTGTTTGGTGGGAACCCATTTTACCGTCTTTCACTAGGGTCATAGCTCCTAATTCTCCTGATTGTTTAGTCGATATAACTGCAAAGTATAATAGTATTTCTTTGCACATTTACTTTGTCGACGAACCATGGAACATTTCCTGTGACAACTGGTTGGTTCATACTGTAAAAAAAATTGTACACACCATATTTTAAAATAAAATTGATCGGAATTTCCGATTGAATTGAACAGTACTATTGATCACACGACATTCTACGACTTTTACTTTTTATTTTCGAATTAAAAACAAACTTCCCACTTTGCTGCCTGAAAGAGATAAGAGGTTGGCAGTGTCACACATACCTTTGAAGAAGAAAATTCCAGTTGCAAGATACCTTGGACATTTCTTTCTTTCCCGGAGACACAGATTCCTTCGTGAAGACTGCAAGGGGTTAACGGGCTGACTGAGTCCAACGGTACATCGAAGAAAGAAATCTGCATTCTAACGTGTTTTTCTGAAAGGCAGGAAACTCGTGCCATTTCGTGGATGATAATTGCATTACGTTCTGGAAAAAAATAAGAGAGAAGTAAGTCTGTGAATTCTTTCATGCCTCCAGAACCGAACATAGATCTGATTTCTGAGGTAGTAAGGTACCTTTCGTTTTTCGTTCGTAGCCTGAAGATACTCTTGCTTGTCTAACGGAACACTCAAAAGAAAAATTCCATTGGAGTGGGAACAGATTAACACAAGGACGAAGTCCTTGGTCACGATTAGACAACTGTGTTGTATTTTACTCATCCGACATGGTCGGAAAAGGCTGTAATTTGGTGTGGACGTTCTGTGGGCAAAAAAGATCATACATATCTTTGCGATTTTTTTTTCAAAATCCATAGTTTGCTTCTATGTATTTTCCACCTATTCTTTGAGTGAATTGATTGAAAATTTCTAATATATATTATATGCAGTATGTAGACCAGCTTAAGAGGAAAAGGCAAACGATGCGTTCAACGGGTTTGTTTAGACAGTCTTTTGGAATATCGGGTACAAAATAAACGCTGAGTTCTACCCTTCTGGCGTTTGATTACGTGGAAAGCTGATCACGCCGCAGGACTAATGATTGATTAATTCTCAATACATTAATAAGGTCTATAAATGTTTATTACGTGTATACCTAAATACACACAAGTGTGCACGCACGTGTATACATATATTGTTATCTCTCTTGTCCGCCCTAAACTGCAATATATCGTATATCATGTATGTATACCAAGTGTGCAAAACCATGAATGTACGTCACATGTATCATATATGTGTAACTCGTGTGCAAAATCATGTATCATGTCAGCAGATATTTAACCTCGAAATTCACTTCTCATTCTCATTCGTTTTCTAAAATGATCGGCAACTATCACACGATCATGAAGATTATAATAGTTTTAGCAGCATTCACTGGTAAGTTTGAACTATGTCCCACCCAGTATATTATCACGCAATAATCGTAATTAATATTACATCAAACAAGGTTCCAACGATTAAGAAAATAATGAAGTATGTATCTCCATTGCATTTGCAGCTCTGTCTTCGGCCGTTCAATGGAACGATCTCAGAGGTAAAGTGTCTTTATATATAAAAAGGACTAACTTTTCTGTCAACATAAATATAAAGATCTCTAATATATATTTTTTCTACCCATCAGTCAAGTGGTCTGGGACGGATCTCTTCCGTTTGAACAGCTTCTTCAAAGTCCCACGCGAATCCAAGAACGCCTTCATCGAAGGCTGGGTCAGTGTCCCAGGTGTCAATGACCATCCAGTGACAGTGTACTGTTTCAAAGATGACGGCCGCTTCTGCATCCTTACTGATTCTTATGGCAACATCGCCGGCTTCCAAGTCGGTGCCCGCGCCAGGGACGTCGAAAACGAAAAAATTCCATACAAGCCATCCACTTTCCCCGCTTACAAGAAGAAGAACTTATTCGGCGAAGACTTCTGGACCGTCACTGTGTACACTGTCGATCCTGGTGAGTGAATTTGATTTTTGACATTTTCAAGAGATTTCGACTATACCTCATCCTCGTCCTTGTAGATGTGATCGATGTTGGAGGTCGTAGAGACGCAGGAGGACTCACCGGGACTACTGGCATCTGGATCGAAGAGGGTGACAGCTACAAGGCAATCTCTAGGAACTTGGACACTATGCTGAAGACCCTCGATTTTCATGAAGAAAATTGTGTCGCTAAAATGGGCACCCATTATTACTATGCCATGAACGAGTCACTTGTTTGTGAGGAATTCTATCCTATCTTCCTCCTCTATGAGGATGGCGACCTACTTGGTCTTGGTTTTCAAGTATTTGGTGCAAGCAGCAAGGTCAGTCGCAACTGGTACGAATGGGTTCCCTCGTTATTCATTAGACCCACCATACCTAATAGTCCCCAATGCTTAGTCGATTGGACTGCAAAGTACGGTCTTATCTCCATGCACGTTTACTTCGTTGACAAACCATGGAAAATCTCCTGTTAAATAAGGCCCTCTATCCTGCAAGAAGAATTTAATAAATTGAACATAAGAAAATAATTTTGTCCACGCTACTTTTATTTATTTATTATCGAATCAATTGATCATGCAACTAATTTACTACGTCCAATTTTATAAGGCCCATTGTCATCGTGTGCTTTCACAATATTTTCAAATGTTATACATTTAATTATTAGATTAATTGAAAATATCTGATGATTCATAGCTGGGTCTTACTATCACATAGTAACGGTATCCTGATAGCTGATCATTTTGAAGAAGTCAAATGATCATTGAATTTATTGTAGATCATCTACACTGACATAGAGATATATCTGATTTGGATCGTTCGATTTTCATGGATCACCTACATTGTCATATAAATATGTCATTATACTGTTGTACGTTATATTATATACGTTGAATCTGTGAACCATATTGACGAGGAACTGACGTAGTCAGAGGTTTAGTATTTGCCTGTTTCGGTATTGCAGAAATTTTAATTCTACTTATATCTCTCGTGGCTACTGCTGAGAGCTGGAAATATCTCTGTACATGAAAAATCATCGATTGAATCGAACGAAAATTAATGCATTTGAAAATTGAGCTATTTGTATCAGCAATAAAATTTCAGTTACATAATCAATCTCGTTTCTATATCGATCTTATTTTCTTATTTGATTCAACATAAGATTCTCTCATTTTACGTAATCTGACAGTTTATAGTCATTTCTTTCTTGAGATATATATTTATGAAAGTTTACGCAACGTCCAGGAATGATACAACTACTGAAAGTGTATTGGAAAGGAAAGAGCGATTTTGGGATAAAACGTTTAAAAATCGAATTAGGAATTAATTGTTGAAAATATTACAATATGCATATATTATATATATGTAAATTTTATGAAAAAGTTTACCTAGAGTATCAGTATGTCTAATTACCAAATGTGCGAATGTCGAAATCGTTTAATTACAAAGCTGTTCTAACTGACGATTATGTAATTAGTAAACTCTTTCCGTATGTGGTATCTAACGTGCCTTATAAGTTCGATTAAGTCAATGATTGAATTATAGAATAATCAATGCAAAATTAAATACACGTACGGATAGATCGACTTATATTATTTTATGTATAATTATAAAGGCGACCCGCAGACCGATATACAATGAAATATACACAATTAACACGGCAAGAAATCTTTACGTAAATCAAGAAGAAACGATTAGATATGAACTAAAGTTTAGACTAACCTATTAATCGAGTGTACATGCGTACAGTAGTAAAGATAGGGATGACTCAGGCCCGCGAATGCACGAGGCAACATGTATAATGTTTATAAGATTATATGAAATATGTATTAATTGATAAGACCTAGATACAAGTACAGTATCGTGTTAAGTATTTTATGAGTACGAAGAAGGAAAGAGAAATTGTATTATCGCGTATGTATATTGCATTTATCCTATGTATCGATATATTGTTGACATTATATACAATGATATAATATCAATAAAAGTTATGTAAATTGCCATCGTGAGGATAACCAGTCTGAGATGCTATATGTATTATATATTTATATCCATGGCTGAGATACAATACGAAAAGAGATTGCTACATTACCGTTGGCAAATCAGATATATTACATACGTTCATGTGTGGAGAGAGTGGGGATCGTCCGATTATCAGAACGATCAGAATGAAGGCTGTGTGAGGAACATCTGCGTATTTTTCACTCCCTGATGAACTCCAACTCAGTTTACATACCACATTAGTACCGAGCATTTGTTACGTAGTTGTCGCTTTTCTGTGTAAATAAAAGTACTTAATGATTAACAATTAAAGTATAATCAACCAATAGTTACGTGAATTAATTTACATTGTGAGTACATTGGTTTACTGGAAAATAGTTCGAGGTATAGAGACTATTTTGGGTATTTTTACTTGTATCGTTTATTCAGCCGCTCTGTGATCTCACGAAGAAACAATTCGCAACAGATTATTATTCCTGACGTACAGTAACAGTTAAGAGTGGAAATTCCCGTGTATTCCTATATATACGCTGTATGAGTGTTATGCGTATGTGTATCGATGTACGCTATACTGAGGAGAACGATTGCACAAGATGTTATTCAGGTGAATTGACATAAACTTTTGGTGAACATAGTATTTGTACTTACAGATAATTCAACACAACAAAAATGATGGATTTTGAAACGGGAGGAGTGCCTGGTACCCTCGTCCTAGTGATATCATTATTAACACATGTTTTACTCATATCACCAGTGATCTACAATTTGGTGTTATTTTTCACAAACCTCAGTTTCTTCGCATGGCATCCAATATGCTGCGTCACAGGGGTAATTATCCAGAGTCGAAAACAAATTCGTACAAAATTTCTTCACCTGAATAATTCATACGTAACGTTTGAACTAGGTGGGCTTTTTGATAATGGAAGCCATTCTCAGCGTCTCTGGCGAACCGACCATAACCTCGAGATTGACACGAACTAGACGCATAGATCTACACTGGCTCCTGAACGTCTTAGGGCTGTCTTGTATCGTGGCTGGCTTTAGCATTGTTTTTATTAACAAAGAGAATTATAATAGGAATCATATAACGACACCTCACGCCAAACTGGGACTCAGCGCCATAATAATCGCCATTATTGTATGCATTGGCGGGATCCTGGCGAAAAACACGCGTTGGGTTTATCCAACAGTACGTCCGTTATTTATTAAGGTCTGTCATGTTTGCCTAGGAATTATAGCCGCAATCCTCTTACTGGCTACTGTGATTAATGGGACTTATAAATCCTTTTGGCCAGGAACTGATTTAGGCAGAAATTTAGTCTTTGCTTCGTTCGTTATTGGAGGATTTTTAGTACTAATTAAACCTCTGCTACTTACCGTTAGACGAGGTAGATCTCTATTTGCGCCATCTACCGGTCCACATACTGGACCGCGTAACCCATAGCAATTGAAAGTTGGGCCATACCCATCGCTAGTAAATTAAAGTTACTGGTCATGTTCTTAATTGATTTACCATACGCACTTTCGTTATTAGTAATCCGACTGTAGATAGTCTCATATCTCTTGCGATAAGATCCTCGAGCGGAGGTAACCGATTCTTTCGTAAGATACGTATATTAGAACGATTGACGTGAAAAATTAATTATATATCACTGTATGTAATGCCAACCATATATATCAACACTTTATTAATTCCACACGCATCGTATACATATACATAGAATATATGTTATATATATTTTTAAATGCAATATACATATACAATAATACAATTTCTCCTTTCTTATTTTTTGTCTTCGGTAAATACTTAACACGGTAACTGTACCTGTATTCTCGGTCTTATCAATTACTATATATTCCATCTAATCTTAACATTATGCAACAACATGTTTCCCCGCGTATACACACGCACGGATCACCTATATTTTTATCACTGTACTCACGTACACTCGAATTATTATATTAATCTAGATTTTAATTTAAATCTAATTGTCCCATCTTGATTCACATGAAGATTTCTTTCCGTGCATATTGTGTATATTTGATTGTATATCGTTCTGCTGGTAGCCGTTGTAAATAAACATAAAGTAATATAAGTGTACGTATCCATATGTATATTTAGTTTTTGATAACGATGGTCGAATCGATTATTCGATAATTTAATGAAATAAACTTAATAAACTTAATCAAAGTCCCGCTTGTAAGATACCCCAAATATCACATATATTCAAAGCCATTTTTAAGTTGTACAAAAAGACGATTCGTGTCCCCTTAGACACCTTAAACATCACTCTCGGACATTGCGTTGTCTGGGACGTTAATTTAGCTTAAGAAATTCTGTCAACGTAAAAGCCGCCATTACATAAACTGTGAATTATCTTTCTCGAAGATACCTCAATTTCTTACACATATACCGGGTTACTCAATTTATTCGTATCGCCTGAGCTGAGTAACCCAATATATAATATATATATTTTATACTCTATATAAACAGTCTATATATACCTATGTACTCTACGTATACATAAATCTTATACGATATAATATTTTTTTACCTCAGACTGGCATTGAACGTTATTTTTTTTTTAATTTTTCTTACCCCATTAGCCCCGGTGCCATGTTCAATATTTTTCATATTTCAATTACAATTTTAAACTATTTCACTATATTTTCCCTTATCCACCATTTACTAGACATAGTCTATCTAATTTCAAATGTTCCTAATCCTGAGACATCTTTTATTTTTTTTCTCTCTACTCTTCTCCCTTTTTACTTCACGTTCACTTCATAAATAATTTATTTAATTCGACACGGCGGCTCGGTAGCACTATGACACGTCACTTTGTACTGTTTGCTCTACTGTTTTCAATATTTCTCAATTTTTAAAATCTCTCTCTACCTATAATCCGTCAATCAACCGACTAAATTAATTAGACACCTCAATCAACGCAAGCACCTAGTTATTAATATTTTTATTTTCTTTCTCCTCAGTCGTCTCAATCATCCATACTACTGCGCTTCGTTCGCGTGCACAAATCACTGCGCGACATCGAGAGACTCAATTCTGCTGAAAATTTTGTATTTGAACTTTTCTATCCCAACGACAATATTTATTTCATTAATAATACGGCTACGCAATTTACTTTGATACTTTTTATATTGCCTAACTATATCAGCGACCCAATCACTGATTGATCATCAAATTACTATTTTGCTACTTTTCCTATTGATTGATTTCCCATTAAATCATTGTCTGTTCACTTTTGTTATTTTCGAAACAATCTTTTTATCCTTCGTTTTATCTGCCTCTCGCTATAACACAGTTACAAATCAATATTATACGACCATCAAGCACATTCTCTATTGATATTATTGCACGCAACATAATATAGAGCTAAATCATTCGTGCGTGCGAACATGTTTTTTTTTCTCTATTCACATAATTTCATCCAGATTTACTTATTTTCCCTTACGCGCGGATATGACAACATTTTATCGGCAACTTATTTTTATCAAACGTCTTTCATTTTGTACGTGTAATAAACTATTTACCATATAGATATACGCTCTTCTGTGTATACATATATGATAATATATATAGTATTTATATATATTTATATATATATATATATATGATACACCTAGTAACACTTTACAAATCAGGTCACATACAAAATAAGGAGTTACATTCTGTTTTTTTTTCTCATTATTGACTGTACGTACACGTATATGTGAATTCATTTTCGTTTCGTTTGACGACCTGCCATCAAAGTCTAACAATTATAAACATCCTTATCAGTCTAACCTAAATCCGACGGCTATTTTGTAATTTTTAATTTTCAAGCTTCATCCTTTTATTTGGTTTTATTTAATCATCTTGCTCTAAAGAGATCAAATTCAGATCGCATGTTTAGCCTGTCCTGCCTCTTTTATTACAAGCCCTGGCCGTGACCGCAATTTTTTATAATTTTATACTTATTTTATATAATATATTATCTCTAGTGTCATTTGTCTTATCGCTAGTTTTAGTTAACGTCGATCTTAGTTGCGGCCTGGACGTAATTGCGCACCGTTATCAACGTATCGTTCATTAGACGCTCTTGAATTTTTGCTTCATAAAAATATAAACATTCTTCAAAGATATAATTGATATTAATCTCATGGAAGTGACTTGGTGTAATAGGAGATAACAAGTTTGATAACGCCGGCGTATTGTTAATTAGACAATGGATTATAACGTCATCGATCGACGATGACGAATAAACGATCGGTATAAAAGAATAATTTTTTAGTCACAATAACTGGGAGATAAAAGAATATAAAAATAATATCTCATTAATTAACAATTAATCGATCAAGTATGGTGAGTACTAATAACCAGTGTTAAGCGACCGTTCGACTTTTATTATTGTGTCTGGCTCAAGTGCCAGGATCAAGGGCGTCGCGACGTCTTTGCGATGATGACTTAAGACGTTTTCGCCGGGAAGAAATGGACGTCGTGTCAGACCTGCTGTGACGTTATCAGATCGGTTTTGCTTGAATTTTTCAAAATTGACGGTCCTGGAAGTTTTTGACTGACCCCAGTTGACCCTGGCGGCTGGACCATCATTGGCTGACCGTTCACCAGGACTATTGTATCTCGTACCGAATCGTATCCACCTGGTTGACCTTTGACATTAATTCGTTAGAACATTTTGAACTTTTAAACGTGCAAAAATCAAGATACCGCATGCATATACGTATTTGTTATCCAGAATGCATAGATGCAAGAGACAAGATGAAGGTTCAAAGAGAGACTCCATTACTTGAGTTACTTGCTTCAGTGACTTTTGGTGCTAAAAGACCTGAAAGTTGGTTTAACTGCTAATTACCTGGGGGTAGAGTATGGGTGAGCGTCCTCGAGGGTGTCAAAGGGTGTCTGGTAGCGGGACCCCAGTCTGAAGTTGGCTGCAATAATCTGCGTGCACGAGACCACACACTGTTATTTTTCTCATTTCCTCTATCCTTATTCTTACTCTGGGATCCATTTGCATCGAGATCATCATCCTCGTCATCGTCATCATCGTACGTTGGACGTCGACGTTTTTTCCGCAGCTGTACCTAGAATGAGATTCACCCAAGAGATCAATATCAGTCTGTTGTAAGCATTAATAGATACGATAATCCTTTGTCACGAATTTAATGGATTATTAGAATCAGCTTAGATAATTTTTATGGTCTAGATCCAACTTTTTTTTTTCGAACATCTATATGAGTCATGTTCATAGAACTTTTATACTTATCGTGATATCTATACTGACGACTGCTAATCCTAGGATGACGAAGACGGGGAGGAGACCGACGATCCACCCAACGACATCCGCCCATCTTGGATACACGTATGCTCCATATTTGAGGGGCTCGTATTCGACCCAGTTGAAGAAGAGTATGAAAAATAAAGCAGCTGGTGTCACCACTTTCCACATCCAGGTCCAGAAGAATCTCCAGACTCTTCCTCGTGGTCCAATCATTTGCTCAACGTCATCCAAGAACCTATCGGCTCCATATATCCATGCTACCAGGATGCACTCGCTGATGGCTATCAAGAGGACCGACCAGTTGGCAGCGTATTTATCCATCAATTGAAGCCAATACATTCCAGCCTGAAGTAACCAAAATAAAAAGCAGTTATGAATAAGAAATAAAATATCAAACCGCGATGGAAGACGCATTAATAAGATGCGAATATTTACGTTAGTAGTAAATATAATTCCACCAGCATATCCAAGTACAGCCGCTGTTAGGACGACGCAGAACTTATAATTCCGTAGTGCAGGAATTCCGTCGAGTATTGCAGTGGTTACGGTTTCCATGAGTGCGAATTGAGAATCCAGTCCAAGAGTTAATAGCATGAGAAAGAAGAGAAGAGACCAGACAGGAGCCACCGGTAGTCTAGCGACGACCTCAGGGTAAACGATGAAGGCCAGCCCTGCACCTTGGTCAACGACCGAGGCAACCGGTACATTTAGTTCATGAGCCAGGAACCCGATGACGGAGAATATGACAAGACCGGCGAAGAAGGAGGTGCCAATGTTGCTGACAGCTACTATGAGAGAGTCCTTGTAACAGTTGTTGGTGAACTTGTTGTAGGAACTTAGAGTGATTAGGCCACCCCAGGCTGGACTCAAGGCAAAGAATATCTGGACAGCAGCGTCGCCCCAGACCTTCGCAGACGTCAGGCGTCGCCAATCCGGTGTCAGGTAAAATAGGATCCCTTCGTCGGCACCAGGTAAAAGAATGCCGCGGATGAATAGGGCAATCTGGTTAATTTTTTTTACAAATTATTATTAAAATCCCAAAGGCCTGAAGTTGGTCCAGACAATCCTTACCAGAACAACGTAAGGAAACAGTGCAGTAAAGTAGACGACCTTGCCAGAGCTTTGCACGCCCTTGCTGAGACAAAGAAATACAATGACCCAAGCCAGAAAAAGACAAGCCGCCAATGGCAGACGAATTGATCCGGTTTCTTCGATTCCACTACTCAGTCCTAGTACGTGATTACTGAAATATACGTATTTGTCGATTAATATCACACAATCGATTATACAGATCTAACAGGACAATACGTACTTAAAATATTCTTCAGCTGGCGGCCGCCTTATGGCTGTTGTTATATTATGCATAGTTAAATTCATAGAAATCATCTGAGTGGAATTCAAACAATTCCCTTTGTAATACGAGGTGTTCTGTGCTGCGCATGTCTCAGCAGCTTCCGGTGTGAAACAGTCTATTGTACTCCAGGAAGGATCGCACATACTCCAGGGTAGCTCACCTCCTCCTAAGAACGCATGAAGAAAAGAAACCACGGTATAATTGTAGATTAGGATCTGGTTGACTGAAGATGTAGAATTTCTATTAACGACCTTACCTATCACTGATGCTATCATGTAGTACAGAGTCCAAGCAATGATCAGATTGTAGTACAGCATTACCACTGAGCTTACAAGTACCATGCCGTATCCGAGTCCCCGAAGCAGAGGACAGAAGCGCTTGTAAGCTGCTACGGGTCCCAGACTCGCGTATTGACCTTGGGTATAACAATTGATTACGTAAATAGTGTATTTATTATTTATAATAAATAAAGTAATTAATTTAGTTCACCTAGGGATAGTTCCATGAACATCAATGGCAGTCCGGCTATGATAAGCATCACTGTAAAAGGAATAAGAAAGGCACCGCCGCCATTGGAGTAGCAAAGGTACGGAAATCGCCAGACATTTCCAAGGCCAACGCTGTATCCTAAAAGTGACAGAAGAAAGTCGAATTTTCCGGTCCATGTTCCTCGTTCAGGATGTTCTTCTTCGCCAGCCTGTAGTGGCGCCTGACTGTTTGCTACCGAGTACTTGTCCTCATTCTGTAGAAGGAAGGTTCACCGGGTTCAAGATAACTGTCATAGATTAAGGTAAGACTGATCAGGAACCAAGATGACTTACGTCCCAGCTGTCCAGGTAAGGTCGTATCCTAGGTGGCGAGTCCTCCATTCTCTCAGCCTTAAAACGTAAAACCGGATAGCCAGTGCTGCTTCAAAAGTCAATCGATCCTTCTTCTCTTCATGATCTCCCCTCAGACTCTTCCCTCATTGATGACTCGATAATCATTTCACTAAAGTACATTTGACTTCAATGACGACACGAACTTCGTGCAATCCTTCCCAGCACATAATAAACTGTAATACTGATATCCTTGCATGTTCCTTATTTTCTAAACCTTTTTTAAACAGGAAACGTTAGACATTTTGAATCACAGATTCTCTCACTAAGAAATTCAACTGGTACCCGGTGATCTTCTTCTGGGTGAATTATATAAATTCCTAAGGAACACTTTAATACACTTTGGAATTGTTGGGCACGGTCCGCTCCTTTTTTTGGGAATTTCTTGATTTCTGTCTTCCTGTCCGTTGTAAGCTGTCAAGTTCTCCGTGCCCCGGGAACCGTGGCACTGTGATTCCTCGCGGATGATGCACCACCGCCAGATGATAATATGATCCCCTATCCAGCGGGTTCACCCTTCTGTGTCGTGCAGTTGTCTGCAACTCCAGTGCCGTAGGGGTTGACAGCTAACGAGCCAGAGGATATCAGACACAGAGACAGGGTGAGAATCCGATGAAGAGACGATCAGATGACGAGACGGACGCACAGATAGACGGACAGAAAGAGGAGGACAGACGGGCGGACACAGAGGGGTTGCCCACGCCCGGCCAGCTAGCCAGCCTGCTTATGGGAGCTTACGCTTTGCCAGCACCCCCGTTGAGCCGTCAGCCCCGAAGCATCGATCGATATTACTGCTCCTGCGAGCTGCGTCCTACTCTGAACCTTGCAGCCCGCCGCCGACTATCTTCCAACCCCCCAAGTAGCGTACACAACCTTATAACTATATATGCAGAGATGTAGGAAGGCTACGTCGTCGTCCTCATCCTGCGTCCTCTAAGGGGTGGCTTCATTGGTGTGGATCACCTGAAAGAAATTGGCCTTGAAAAGAGCTGAATTGAATATTGAAAAATTTAAGGGTAATCTTAGGAGGGATTTTTTATGATGGTGGATGGATTGCGGGTGGGGGGGGGTGATGGTGTTTTAGGGGCGAGTTTGATACTTATTGTTAATAATGAAGTTTCTGGGAAAGAGTTTGGTGAAAGTCTTACTGTTTGGAGCACCCGTTACACTTTGAGTCTCGGGGGTTGTTGTTGAGATTGCGTGGATTCGGCTGGTTTCGGGGTAGGTTAGGTGCGACAGGGGTAGAGGGTTGAAACGGGGAGAGGAGCGGATGGCAAGGTCGGCCTTGATCGAGGCCCAGCCACATCTAAGCGGAAGCTTCACCCACCATCAGCAACCCCTACGCTTCGCAACCTACTCCCGTTTTAGCAAATATCTTTCGGAATCCGTATTGCGTGCCGTCTGATGTCAGCTATTAAACACCGGTAGCGTTATTTTCATCTTTTCCCTCCTTTCTTCACCTTCCTACTGACGTCATGGAAACGACTGACATATCTATTGAACTGTAAAAAAAAGTTTGTTTAGTATATCAAAAGAAGATAAGCTAGATACGTAGATTTGTGTCTATATAATGTACCGTCCCAGATGTCAAAGAATGCAAATAACAAAACAAGAAGAAAAATGAGAAGCTCGTTATCCGTTATCGAGTATAAAATAAAATCGAGATGAGGTAATACAGGGAAACGGGACATTGATCTACATTCTAAAACGAAGGCTTCTATCCTAGAGTGGCTCTAGAAACGTGAGCCCTTTCTCAACTGATACATAAAAGCTTCGAGTATCCCGGATCAAGCGCAGCATCCAAAGGAGCAGGAAGATCAGTGAAAATGTTCTCTCACGTGAAGTCCTGATACTCTTTTTCTGTGTAGAGGAAGGAAATTTTCAATGATCAGCAAAATTTTTCATAAATTGCCCAATTACCACTCCTTTCAGGATAGATCCCATCTGTGGAGTAAAAATTATAATTTTACTTACGTATACCATATGCGTCGTCGCATGGACTTAAAATTGCTGTCAGTTTTATAATTCAGAATGTATATATATGTATATATACATATATGTATGTTAGCATTGTAAGACGAATGAAAAGCTCGCAGAAAGCTTTTATATATTTGTTAGGAGTTAATGGCTTCCTGTTCTCAATGATAGGATCTTCACCCACCTCTAACTGACAATGGTTTCCATCCTTTAATCCCCAGCATAAACCAGTGATGAGAACAATCTGCGTTTTCTATACAAACTAGAACAGGCTTGTTTTCGCCTGCAATAGAGTCGTTGCTGAAAATAATAATTTTGGAAATTAGGGAATTATCAGGCAAAATTCTCCGCGTCATCAAACCCAGAGAAAGAACCTCGGGAACGGAAGGAAATAATTTGCTTAAGTAACGGAAACTAATAAACCTATAGTCATGTCCGTTATTTGTCTGACTGTACAAATGTAATAGTGGGTACTGCATCCCCCGTTAGTCTTGCACCTTCCTTGCGCGGATCAACTAAATCATGCATTCTCTATCATTAATAAAAGTGTTTAAAAAAAAACGGAAATTCAAAGTACGATCTAGTTAACTCGGGAATGGTTGCCTGCTACTGCTCGAACGATCAATAGGGTGATCGACTTCAATGGCCTATAGAAAATGGTTTACTCTACACAGCTTTGGTTGAAGAGTTTTCTGTATATTGAAATAGTTATCGACTTACCGTTCGTTTTAATGTGAGAATGTACAAATTTTCGTTCATTCATTTTCAATAACGAATCATCGTTGACGGAAATAGATTAAACGCGTACGATACGAATTTAATGGTGTTTTTTGTTTGACAGAGTTCGCGTGCATCGAGTGCATAACTTATAGCCTTATGCGAGCGAAACTGTGCATCATATCACATTTGATGACTGCAGAAAAATTTTCCGATGGAAAATGTAACAGATTACATTATATTCTCAGTACAAAGAAATGTTGCCAAATGTTGCCTATGGAAAATTTTAGGTCATACTAACGGATCATTGCGACTGCTGCCATCTATGAGCAGAAGCCGCTATTACTTCGTTAACTGGGATGACGAACTGTGCTCAGTCATTTCGGCAGTGACACTATGGACGCCGTCGTGATCGTCGGGTGAAAACAATCGTCCAGTTATATCCGCTTGCCTACCGCGTGTTTGGCGCAGCACACGGGAATTCCTATTCGATTTATCTGCAGCCGATGGTTGCATCTTTTTGAATCAACGTCCTGTTGACCAACGGCTGTATTTACTTGTGGTTAGTAGTATATACGTTTGATTACCGTCGCCTTTTACATATGAATTATCATAAACTTGTTCTTAGTATAGCTTACCTTCACTGTCTACTATAGTTACTTATATCTATCCTTTTCACTTTCTGTATTTCGGTTTACGGGGCCCTAGCCCCAGATCGAATAAATTGATTTTTCTCTCTCTTTTTCTCTCCTGAATAATATTGTAGGAAGACAATTTTCATAGGGGTATCTTATTGATAAATAATATTTTGTGTGATTATTATAGTGATTTACGTGTTTTATTGGTCATTCACCATTCTTATGGCATACATTGTGTTCGATGTCTTTAGAAAAATTTACGAATTCAAAAAGTTGCAACGTATCATACGAATAACGACCGTTGATAATTTGAAATTAAACGTTGTACAATTCCTGGAATGATGTTGGTATCGGGTTGTGTTTAGTTCGTGGACGCCTCCACAGAGTGCGCCGGGTGATAGTCTCGTGAAATGGCGAGTGCGCGTTTAGTGTCGAGTGATGTGCAGTGCTTTTGTATTTATTATATAATAATAACGCGATAAGACAGTATTAAATTAATGAAGTGATTGACATATTGTGAATTGTGTTTCCATTGTGTGATACTGTGAAGTTGTGACATTGTCGAACTACGAGGAGACGGATGGAAGTTCAAGATTCTCTTCCAAGGCTTCAACGGACATTGCTGTTACGACGTGTGCTGTTGGACGTGAGTTTTTGATATTTAAATAGTTTTCAAAATATTGATGCATACTATGAGTGTGATAAATGAAATTCTTTTTCTTATAAAGTTATAACAATATTTATGAAATGTATCTCTCGTTCGTCTGCATCACTTGGATCCGCGATGCTTGACGATACGATAGCGTCTTTTTTAAACTCGGCGTCCTTTTTCCAACGGTCAAAGGGCCAATTTTACAAACACGATTTATTGTTTAAACTCGATTAAACTGCCTGATTAGCCCATCGGATACTTGTATTCAGACGATAAATTGTATTTAAAAAATAAACCGTATGCGAAATCGCCCAAGTGTCGTAATTTAAATATAAGAAAAACAAAAGAGAAAAAATACGTTAAAAGCGCAATAAGTTTCCGTCGATTTTATCCGATTTACATAGCAACAGACTAAATTGCCGTGAAGAATCGAAGATCGAGGATCGCACCCCTACAATTAGATTGAAAGGAAATGCTTGTCTGGACGCCTGAATGCTCCAGGGCGTCCTAGTGCCATCCTTCGCTATGTTGCGCAACGTTGCAACGGTAAACGAGTCCAATAGATCTTTGCAGGCGGTGCACTAGAAATCCTCCACAACTCGAAGACGAGAGTCGGTGCATGCCGATGAGCCGAGCTCTCTAATCAGGATGCAAGACCCGGCAGCACCCTCTGGATCCGGGTTTTCCAGGAGCGTGGATACGGGGAAAACGTAGAAAAAGGCACAGCGTGACTAAGGGGAAGGAGAAACGAAGGTAAAAGCATGTTCAGAGGACGAGGGTGTGTTAAGCCCAGGAGAAGATCTAGCAAAGGAAGAAGAGGACAAGACGGAAGCACGAGGTGTTACATTCCATCTGAGATTTTCAAATTACAGGATTATCTCGTGGAAACTAGCTGCCTCTGCAACTATCTAAGGCGCTTAACGTTCTAGGACACGATGGCGGTACCCGAAGTGGGAGCAGAGCCGGATAGCTACGTGTTATCCCGATTTTACTTTTAGCCATCCCCTCATCGCTGAGGGATAAGGTCGAGCGGTCTGGACGTCAATGAAAAGGAAGAAGACACAAAATGACTGGTACCCAGTCGCTACGTGGAGTTCATGATTCCAGAAATTCTTTTTTCTTCCATTCAATCGGTAAGCGAACTTCGTACAAGCTATCTCGTTACCAACCTTATTGTTATTATTCACGGAAGTCGCATCTAGTTAACGAGACTTCAATGCGGATAAGATAGACGTGCCCTCAACTTTTCTCTCTTGTAATCAAGCGAGACGCTGGGCAAGTTCTAACGGCGTCTTTCTGCAACAACGGTATCGGCGAGAGAACTTTCTTTGCAATTCCTTTTCGATTGAATGATCGTACCGCAGACTCCCTCTGTGTGATTAGCTTTCATTCACGTTACGCAAGGTTAAAGGGAGATACGAATACCCATGAATAGAACGAGTAAACAGAGAAATAGAATCCTGATTCCATAGCAGTATCTGTAATATTAATACGAAATACGAGATTTCAAAGGAACGATAGATTTTACATGTAAAAGTAATAAACGTCGTTGGTGATTTTTATCCGTGGTGATACTTATAACTGAAATTCGGTTTTAAACGTATCCCAAGAATTTGGACAGGCGTCCATGTACTCGTAAACACAGTTAAAAATTGTACGGATCTAACGAAATTTATATTCGCGCTTAACAGCCGCCCTCCTGCCCAATAAGAATAATGAAGAGGACGAATATCGAAATTTTTGGAAAATTTTTTTTTTTTTTAAAACCCATACACGTGTTCGCCAAACAGTAAAATTCCATTGCATCGCAGCGGGATCGTCGTCCTATAATCCGTTGCGTCAGTAGTTGTATCAAACTATGGTTCTTTTGCTATCCTCGTGGAAAGCATGCTCGTTCATGCGGCACAGCAGGCACAATCAATATGTCAATCGATCCGGTACAGGAGATCTTGTAAAACCACGAAGTTTCTACTATCCGAGATTCCCCCCGGTAGTCGTGTCGCGAAGTTGGCTGCTTCCTGGTGTGCGGAAGCTTTACGTAAAACCAGAGGTACCTGTCGCAACGTGGATTTCCCCGGTAGTTGACGAAATTTCGGAACGCAGGCAAGACGGAACGAAGAAGCGAACTGGGTGAGTCTCATGGGGGCGTTACGAGCTGAATTGGCTCGATCGGTGATCATCGACTTGCCACCATATCCGTCCCTGGTGGTGAAGTCGGGTACTAGTCGCACCTCAATGATTCTCGATCGTCGCTTGTGAAATGATCGGCATTTGCCGTGGCTAATTGCCGTAGAAAATTGTCCGTTCCCATATGAGCGTGGTGGGAGCGCTGTCAAAGGCTTTAAAAGGCATTAGTCAACGAGCGACTTTAACGATCTCTTTGGCGCATTGACGAGGAAGCTGCGAACTTGATTATGTACCGGTTACTGGGACTCATATTTTTGTCGGGCTGCGCCCTTGGGAAACCTGCAAATTACGATGAGTATCTTGCTGTCGAAGGTGACGTAGCGTCGGTTGGATCGCTTCGTCGTGAAGTCAGAGCGCCGGCACCCATCGGCTTCGCCACTGAAGTCGAGGATCTACTTTTCGCTGGTACCTCGCCCAAGAAGTCGGAGGACACGAAGAAACACTCGAAGAATGCTTCAGGTAACGGATCAACATCACTTTAACTCGTACTCTCTTGGCTCTTTGAAGACTTTTCTCTTATGGCTGAAAGATCAATGAAACTTGAACTAGGCAAATCCGACGAGGGTGGCTACTACAAGGCTTATGGCAGCGACGCCGAGGGCGAAAAAGGATACGTCAAGCAAACTTACAGCAAGGGAGATAATGGGTACAAGACACTAGACACTTTCCATAAGCAGGATGGCGATAATTATGGCTTCGAGAAGCATACCGCCTTTGGCAAAGCTCAGGGCGGAGAGAACAAGGGTTCCCATGGACACAGTGGCAGCTACAAGAATCACGACGGCGACGACGACCACGAGGGTGCCGGTGAGCTATTGGTTCTTTAGTGTATCATCCTCGACGCTTCCCGATCGAAGGATTTTAATATTGCATTTATTCTCAATCAGGCACAATTGTCGAGAGTCATTACGTGAGTCCGCATGGTGGCGACGCTGGTCACTACAGTGGCGAAGGTGAGGGTGAACATTACAGTTCCGGTGGCGAGGGCGAACATTACACTTCCGGCGGCGAGGGCGAACATTACACATCCGGTGGTGATGGCGGTCATCACGTATCCTCAGGCGATTCTGGGGACGGAGAATATTCAAATGCTGGTGGGCATAACGAGCAGTATTCCACTGGGGGTGGTGAGGAGGGTGCTTATGGAAGTCACGGATCTTATTCCAGCGACGGAGATGGAAGTCATTATTAATTAACCAAAGATTAGCAGTATCAGGTTACTACAGTGCGTAGACTAACGTAGCTTAGACTAGATAGAATCCAAAGCATCAATGTCCTGTACATATATTTAAATTCGTCTCATCCTTGTTAACCATTAAAGCTGTTAATTAAAAAGAGCAGTCGATTATTTTTTTATCTGCAAATAGTATACACTGTATAACCAACCTTCTGTATACGTTCCGAACAAATGTGGATAGATTAATACTTCGTTGTCACCTTTAAAGATAGTTTAATCCAAACGACCTGTCTTCAAAGCCGGACTCTGATCGATGATCGTTCTTAATTAACCTCATTTTATATAAAGTAATATACGCATCTGCTTTTTCCCAGAGCACCAGAAGGCCGGATTCGTAAAAAGGTCAACCGCGCGATTCGTTCGAATATCCTATTCACGTTTGGTAACCCCAGGACATCAATATCCGTTTCCTGACAAAAGGAGAATCTCTGAAAAATGATACTTCTGACTAGCAAACTTTGGAACACGCCAATAGCCCCATAGTGGTGCCGGTTCTAGAACATTCTGCGGTATACACAGTGAAATATGTACCCGGTGATTCATTCGAAAAGCATCACCCGAACGTGGCTTTACTGTAGGGACCAAGACGCGCCGACTTCAGCTGGTACGTTCGGGTTGAATAATTCAGTATAGACTGACTGTAGGAAGACCAAGCGACCAAGGGGATGGCAGGCCGTCGCCTAAGCTGACAGAACAAGAATTTTTCTCAGAAGAAGGAAAAAACGTGTACACCAGTCACGCGACGCACGATCATACCACCCTAGTTAACCAGGAAGCTTGTCTCCGTGTTGGGCTAGCAAGCTCGCCAGTGTGAACATTCGTGTATTGCAATTATTTATAACGAGCAAAGTTTCCCTCGTTGCGTTGAAATTCGGATTGTTAATTGCACGTGATAATTGCTATTAATGATTGCGCAGCGCCCATAGCATTTTTATTTTTACTGTATTTCTTTTTTTCTTTCTCCACCTACCTGGCTAGGACGATTAAGGGTTGACGATTTGGAGGTAAAAAATTTTCAATCAGTCGTTTCATAAGAATTGCAAATAGCGTTCTACCTTCATTCTTCATTTATTCAAGTTATGTATATATATATATATATATATATATATATTTTATGTATGTATGTATATATATATATATATTTCACATATATATATATTTTACATCTAACTAATGTCACGGCCTCCAAGGTCGTTCGTTTATGCCGTCGTCCTAGCGTGACGTGATCGACGCGTCGCTCCGTTGCACGAGAATGATCAATCGAGCAGCGTCTGCTTTAAATTGGGAAACAATTTCATTAACAGCAACGAAGGCTCGCGGAGGATCCTTTGTCGCACGAGAGGAATCTGGTAGATTTATTCAGCGGAAGAGAGTGCGGTGTAAGGGATGCTGGGGTAGTAGGGGTAGTTGGGGGTGTCAGTGTAAGAGGATAGGTAGATAGATACAAGTCGGGGGGAAGGTGGGGGGTTGAAAGAGTACAGAATAGAGTATGAATGTGAGCCAGTCGGATGAGCGTAGGGGTTGGCAGGGCCATCAACTGATTGCGAACCCCCTGGGAAATAGGGGTTGAAGGGGTGACTGTAATTAAGCAAATCTGTAAAAGACTTATTCAGCTTTAACGCCATTGGCGGGAGACTGTAGTAACTTGTGATGCCACCAAAAGGTGTTTCAAGGAGCCACTACACGGTAGTGGGGTTGAAATAATATATCGAGGGGTGGCTAAGAATTTTTTTTTTTTTCTATTCGTCTACCACCCTTTGGGTATTCGTGTCCGATACGGTTCTGTCTGCCAGGGGTTAATTCTTATTTTTAGTATGGGGTGAAAAATTTCATATTCATCCCTTTACGTTGACTCTTAGATTCCAGCCTGGACCCAGGTGCGTATCACGCTGGACGAACGAAGGGTGGCTTAAACTATTCGCCAGGGCTCAGAATTCCACAAGGTTCGAAGTACTACCTATATCCCTTATCTTTCCTTTAGTTTTTACATGAGCTTACGGAGCATTCCTCTTGGCGATATCCGATCCTCCCCAAATCGTCTAATCTCTTATCTGTCGACGAGCCACTCATCCGGATCGCCAAGTTTCTGCCAGCCGTGAATAAGACTTCCTAGTGGAAATTTTTATCTTGATTATTCAGCGTCTACAACCCCGGACCGTAGAATTGGGCGTATCCTCACCAGGGCGACACTGCCAAATAACGTCGTAAAGACTGCCGACCCATGTCGTACTGCGTTTCGATTACGAATTTCGTTTCTTGGTGATAGTGGAATTTACGAATGGAATAAAAAAAAAGAAAATCGGATCGAGGGCTGGAAAATATTTTTCTTTCATACACGAAAATAGATCGGTAGGATTTTTGAAAAATTTGCCAAACGGGAAGCTGATGGAAATACTTGGTAAATATATATATATCTATATTTCGCTGACGTTCAAACTCAATAAATCGTCCATCGGTTTATGACGTTATAAATGGCGTTGTTATTTCACGCCAGATATTACGTTAATACGATTAATGGTGGAATTAGACGTTTTATCGATAAGTGCATCGAGCACGTGGCGTCGATGACAAAACGTTCGTTACTTGTTTATACCTTATATCAACATCCAAACTGGTCCACCAATCCGTAATCAGATTTTATTAAGTTAATTATAATTATGCCAACGTCCATCAGAGTACTTGAAATAGCGGATCCCGATCGAGGATGGTCTATATATGCTCGTTGTGATAATTGAAAGCCTGATGGCTGTGAGCCTTTATGATTAACACGTCAACGTCGTGATGAATCTGATTAAAAAATATCACAATGGTAGATCATATCGAAAAATGCAATTTTTTTGTATACTTTAATTTATCGTTTGAGTCTTACATTTTGAAAAAAAAAAATGGTGCAATTATCAATATACTTGACGGTGTACCCCCCTCCCCCCTATCCCCACTGGTTTTTTTCAGTGTCGATTGCTAATTTATTTTTCATCATCGACACCTGCCTCAGGGAATTTTGTTTGTTTAGCCTTGAAAATGAATTCGGTATGATTCACCTCACGTATCTCCATAGTTACGTAACGGCGTTGAAATTTATTCGAAATTCGGCCGGTGATTGCTAAGGGGGTTTTAATCGAGAAGGATTGCACTGGGCATAGTGGATTGCCAATTGGCACAAGAGCCAGGATTTGCATTAAGACGGGACTTGCACTTCCTGCTACCGGCAAATGGTACGGTATAGGTACCGATTGAAGAAAGTCATCAGATCGTAAAGGATTAGTGTATCCCACTAATACGTAATCGCTTAATGCATTACCTAATGAAGATAGTCGATTCGCAAGTAGCTACCACTGTATTTGCAATTTAAATGGTGGTTCTGTTTGATAACACTCAGGGTTCCTATTCCCATCGGAATTTATTGTGCAACTATTATTACCGTCATTAGTTGATTTACCTGTCAAAGTGGTTAGTTAGAATTTACGGTGAGATAACGTAAGTTATCCTGTTAAGTGTCCGCGGGCCTTAGTAAGAATTTATTTGCGAAAAGTTGCAATGTTAGCGGGTGCAAAAAAGGAATGTGCAATAAAGTGCGATAGTGCAATCGAACTAATCGATCCGTGTAAATATTTCGACAGGTGAGAATTGGCGGTCGAATGGCGTCAGGAAAGTCAGGGACCGTTTTTAACCGAGTGGATGTAGATGGAATTCGAGTTGGGCATATTGCTTAGGAATCGAAGGGAAACATGGTAATTGTCTTGAGAAAGTGTGAAAGCCAGTGCCCGAGAGTGAGGTCCACAGGCGTGAACGATGAAAGCGATCAGAAGTGATCAGAATGCTCGAGAATGACGTGGAAGCGGCCCGGAAGTAACGGCTGCGGAATATTTAAGTGTCCCGTAGTCACGGCGGACTTATCAGTTTTGATTTAGAGGTCCAGCGAGATGGGAGGCGGCGCGAGATTTTATCTAACGTTGACCGTGCTGTGCGCGGTGGTAGCTGCGACATGCTGGGCACGGGACGTCAGGGACTCGAGGAGGGAACGCCGGGACACCGATCTGGTGGCCGCGGCTTCCGGTCACGACAAGCACGTGGAGTCTGGCGGCGGTCATCATCATCATGGGGATCATCACGAGGAGCATGGGGAGAAAGATCACAAGGATCACAAGAGCGAGCATCATCATGATAAGGGTGACCACGGTGAACACAGCAAGGAGCATCATGCCGGTCATCACGAGGAGCACGGGGGTCACAAAAAGGAGCATCATGACGAGGCCAAGAAGCACGGCGAGCATCATGAGCACGAGAAGGGTCACAAGGGTGGAAAGTTTGGAGAGAAGAAGGGTCACAAGAAGGGCCACAAGACCAAGGGATATCACAACAAGTTTCACAAGGACGAGTATCACAAGGAGCACAAGTTCTATGATGACTATCACAAGGGTGGTCATCATAGCAAGCATGGTAACTTCCATGGTCATCATGAGAAGAAGGAAGGCCATCATAAGAAGGGTGGTCATCATCATTCCGGTCACGACGAGGAGCATCACGGCAAGAAGGGTCATCACGATAAGGGACATCACGACGAGGATCACAAGGGTCATCATGGGAAACACGGTCACGAGGAGCATCATCATCATCATGAGGAGCATGGAAAGAAGGGCGGGCATCATGGCGGAAAGAAGCATGGTTACAGCAAGGGTCACAAGGGTTAATCTCTATGCGGAATTGCCCGATTTGGATTTTTTCCAGTTTTTTTTTTTTTTTTTACTTGTTTCCGGTGCAGCCATCCATGGAAGTATCTTGGACTTTAGTTAAGTTATCGTGGACTTTCTGTACAGTACCTTATTCCAGTACGGCTGCTCTGGGTCACGTTATGTTATGTTTCGTACAATAAAATTATTTTATTACGCAACTTCCTTCCACGGTGCGCAATTCCCTGCTATATCCATCCCAAAGATATAAAAAAAAAAAATAAAAATAAAAAAAAGTACGGAAAACTTCTGCCGCGCGAATAAATAGCCTTTTCCAACTTCGCGAGGTTCGCGTGCAATCGAGTGCAGGAAAAAATCCAGTGTAGTCGCGTTACGTCATTTATATGTGAGAATACGTGATAAGGTAGGTATACGCTTTTACCTGAAATTTCATTAATTTCGTTGGTACTTTGATTTACGGTTTTAACGTATGAATCGAAAAGCATTGTTTGTACACTTGATAATGACTTTGTAAAGTGCCAAGGGAAAGATCGATTTGTTTCGTGGTTTTATCGACGTCATTAAATTCGTTGTCCGCTGCGGTTAGCATTGCAGTAGATTGCGGCTTAAATGCCGATTACTGTGCAATTTATCATTCTCTGACGAAACGTTATATGATACGTAATGCCGAATTCCTGTTCAATGGATTTGAAATATTTCGTCATACAGCACCAGAGAGAAAATTCGTATAATCAATTTGGCAATTGGCTCCTCTCATCGCGGTGAAACGTTTCTCGGAAAAATGTTCACGCCTGTTTTAATTTGCATGTGCTAATTTGTTATTGGTCCATTAAAAAAAAAAAAAAAAAACAGCTGACAGGGGCGATCACGACGATAAACAGAATCGAAAAATATTATTTAATTAATTAAAAAAATGGAAAATGCGAACTTTGCGCGTCTGTTGGAATTTTTTTTTCTTCCTGTTGCAAATTTGAGTATCGAAATGACCTATATCCGCGGGGATGTCAGTAAAACTGAAGATTATTATTTATTCACTTAATTCGCTTAATTCATGTTTATTTGCACGTGTACCGGGACACGTGGATCCGAGTGTGTCTGGGAGTCACCGAATGATCATTTCTGATTTAATATTTGTATACTCGGCTAATATTTTATAACGTTATTTTGACGTATCCCGTGATTTCGTTTCTTTACATTATTTTGCAGGATGCATTTACGCGAATTTTTTATATAGCGGGTAATATTTTATAACGTTATTTTGACATATATCGTGATTTCGCTTCTTTATATTTCAAATATTTTGCACGATGCATTCACGCCAATTTTTTTTGTTATTGATCGGTATTTGCGATCGTGATATCCTTGTTGTTTACGTTCTATGAACAAATTTGAGTGGCTGTATGAAATACGGGGCGTTCGAACCGATGAAAATATTTCGCGAATAATCTATAACCACCTGCGGTTATTTGCATTGTTAAATGCTAGGAATTTCATTATCGAAAAAAATGTAATGATTCACCTGTATCTACAGGGTATTTAAAAGAAGGCTTGGTAATTAAAACACCAGTACGGGAATGGTTTCTTTTAATCTGGGAAACGTTTTTGGATTAGGTGTAAAAAAAAATAAAATTCATATATGCGTATACACACTCGACACCCAGTGGATGCTTCGATTGGATCTGAAATGAAATATTTTATTTCATCGCGTACATACAAACCCTACGTTACTGCCTTGTTTTTTGTGCGTTAACTTACGCATTTACAGGTAAAAGTACGTAATTACGTAATTCGATTTCGTTAACTCGCTATTTGCGACCGTGGCTAGCTACAGGGCAAAAGTTCATTTCGAAATTTGATCCTCGATTATTCTGCACGCGAGCACGTGTAATTGACAAAGGGAATGAAACAATTACAATAAACACAAATGTTTACAGAGGGATTGAAACTTGTAAAATCCAAAAAAAAATAATGATTCGTATCACGGTCACGTAAAATTTTTTATCACAAAAATTAAAAATCGTCTATATCGAAAAAGTTGCACTAAAAATTGGCAAGAGGACCATTTAATTCGTATGTTTTCTACGTTTCGCAATGTCGCAAAAAAAAAGGGTTAACGATACGAGCGATGCTATAAACCATCGAAGATTTAAAGAGACGAACAGAAAATCTTTCGCAAAGCGACGGGTTGGTTAATCTTAGATAGGAAAAGAATCTTTGTAATTTTCAACGTCTTCGCTGAGCTTCCTCCACGAAGCGCTAGTTATTTTTAACTACGTCTAGTTATCTAAGGAGAGCTTACGTAAACTATTGGTGCGGGCCTACCTAATTGATTGTCACCGGTAAAAAAAAAAGTTGTCCAATCCTTCGTCGCGCAAAATCGCGTGGCTGTCTGGTCCGGTCTCTTCTGTCCTTTTACGTATATAGGCGTCTGTGCCACATGACTGGGCATCGTGGCTTTCCTGCGAAAGGGAAAATCTATCGTGACGTACAGAGATCACGAATCCCAAGCAAGTGGGAGCTACCGAGTATCGAAAACCTTCATATAAATAGTAACCGAGTCATTGGAAGACCAGTCGTCTTTCGTACTCGCGGGCACTAGAATGGCTGGCCCGTCACCACGAGGATTTTACGCAGCAGCGTTTCTCCTGGTCCTTTGCCTCGCCTTGTCATTGGCCAGGGAGGACCTGCGGGAGAGAGAGAGACGGGATGTAGATCTTGTAGCGGCAGCAACCGGACACGAGAAACACGACAAACACGAGGAGCATGGGGGCGGTCACAAGCATCACGCGGATCATCACGAGGAGCATGGGGAGAAGGGTGAAAAGGGACACAAGAGTCATCATCATCACGACAAGGGCGAACATGGTGAACACGGCAAGGAGCATCATTCTGGTCATCACGAGGAGCACGGGGGTCACGAGAAGAAGCATCACGACGAGGCCGGAAAGCATGGGGAACATCATGAGCACGAGAAGGGTCACAAGGGTGGAAAGTTCGGGGAGAAAAAGGGTCACAAGAAGGGTCACAAGACCAGCGGGTATCATCACAAGGCGCACAAGGACGAGTATCACAAGGAGCACAAGTTCTATGACGACTATCATAAGGGCGGTCATCATGAGAAACATGGTCATCATCATGGACATCACGGAAGCAAGGAGGGTCATCACAAGAAGGGCGATCATCATCACTCTGGCTATCATGACGATCATCATGGGAAGAAGGGTCATCACGACAAGGGACATCACGATGAGGATCACAAGGGTCATCATGGGAAACATGGTCACGAGCATCATCATTCTCATCATGAGGAGCATGGAAAGAAGGGCGGTCACTCCGGCGGGAAGAAGCACGGCTACAGTCACGGAAAACATTAACGGCTCAAGCGCATGGCCAAAGATCTTTTGTTATCTAGTGTGTAATTACTGTTAAACATTGTTGAGTAATTGTTACAATAAACAATTTATCCTTTCAATAATTATATATCTCATCATTGTCATATGATGCCGCTTGTCAAGGTGGCGTATGAGCTTCGGACTTTGTATATCGTGAATTATGAATTTTCTATAGCTCATGGATAAAATTTCAGTTGTCGGAGCTCCGTTTGGATTAATTCGGAAAATTCGTCGGACGAGCTTTACGGATATACATTTTTGTTGATTTTTCGGGGATGCGCGAATCGCGAATTGAAAAACAAAGGTATACGAATAAACGCGTTATATTTTACGAGCGTCACTTTAATCCTGCTTGATGAGCGCGGAGGCTTGTAAATTCATCGAATGCACAGGGCAAATCGAGCGTCACGGTATTTGAAATTTTCAATAATTATTTTCCAATTAGGCTGCTCGATGGCGCGTGCAGAATTCCGCGTACCGGAAGTAAAGGAATAATAGGAATTTATATGTGTGTTTATTCATTTCGTGCTTTGGTCATGCGAGTTTGGTAATTTTGAAAAGTTTTTTTACAATATTTTAAGAGCCTAATTCAAAAGTCCACTTCGTGCTTGCATACATTTATTCGTCGGCCACGTGCTTCGCCTGCATCGCTTCTATCGCCGATTGTGTATATGCACTTGCCGAGAGACTCGACCGAGGCTCTTGATTTAAATGAATTCCCATGCTTTTGTCAATTTCGACCATCTCCATATATATACGTGCACACGTGCGAAAAGTGCATAACGTCACTTACGGATTTCATTCGGGCAGTCGATGCATTTTCGCTGACGCGAAGGATCCTTGTTTTACCCACGGCCACTTTGGCATATGTTCACCGGAAGTCTCTATCGACCGGACGAACTAGAAAATTGCTAAAACCGGAAGTAATATCGTTTCGATTTGAATTCAACGAAACAATAATAGATATTAATATTTCATACAAAAGTGCCATTTTGATAATTCCAAAATTTATACAAATATTCGTGTAATCCGGTTCGATGATGAAAGTGCATGGATTATGGATAATTTATTATGCAGTCGATCGGAGATTCAAGATGGCCATCGACCCTGCCAAATGGTCTTAATGGTAAATTAAAGCACGCGCCGGTGCTTCGAGGGAACGTTCGTAGTGCATGGACGACTCTGACTCTGATAGTGAAAGTGGATTTAGTTTTTGTCAAAACGATGACAAATACCGCTTACCGATTACGTTTTGTACTGTTGGATTATATAAAATCAGTATACACCGGTACGTGCGTACTTTCAGGAGTATACGGGATTACGAGAATCGACGGAAAAAAAAAAAAACCGAAAAACGTAGTCGGCTGCATTACGGCAATTCCTATTCCCCACAACAAAAAGGCCGAACGGTATTTGCTGCGAGCAGCAGTTGGCTGTCTTCGAGTCATACCTTAGAGGTTAGGTAAAATAGTTTTTGGCCAGAGCGGTGAAAATGGATCGGTGAAAGGAGAGAATCGAAGGATGCACGATTTATAGCGTTGTCTAAGTTCTTTTATAAATAGTCAACAATAACAATGAATTATGACTAAAACAACAGGGATAACAATAGCAACAGCTCAAGGATCCGCGCACCTGCTGGAAAGTGCTCGCGATACGTAAGATCGCTAATCAGCTGGTGGTATCTCATTAGCTTAGTGTCCCTTCTTGAAGGACCAATGCTTGTGATCTTCATGACCACCCTTCTTTCCATGCTCATGATGATGATGATGATGGTCGTCGTGTCCGCCGGAGTGCTTGTGTCCCTTGTGATCGTGATGATGATGACCCTTCTCATGATGGCCCTTCTTTCCGTAATGATCCTCGTGATGGCCTCCGTGATGATGACCCTTCTTGTGATGACCACCCTTCTTGTGACCGTGCTCGTGATGATGTCCTCCGTGATGCTCGTGATGACCGTGGTCGTGATGCTCGTCATGGAATTCCTTGTCCTTCTTGTACTCGTCCAGTTTCTTCACCTCGTGATGACCGTGGGTGCTGTGTCCCTTGCCGTAGTGACCCTTCTCCCCGTACTTGTGACCCTTCTCGCCCTTCTCGCCGTGATGGTGCTCCCCGTGGTACCCGTCATGATGGTGATGACCCTTCTTGTGACCACCGTGCTCGTCGTAGTGGCCATGATGTCCCTCCTTGTCGTGATGACCCTTGTGTCCCTTCTCGTGCTCGTGATGACTCTTGTATCCCTTATCACCCTTGTGACCGTGATGGTGGTGATGATCGGAATGATGCTCCTCGCCGCCACCCTTTTCGTGATGATGATGATGGGTAGCCGCAGTCTCCAAGTCGCGACGGTTCCTCACCTCCCTCGCTGTGGCGACAGCGACAAACAGGGCCAGGACCAAGAGTCCCAGCGACATGGAACCGCGAAGGGCAACCATGATGAATATCAAACGATTGGTTGACCCAGTCCGCCCAATTCAATGTTCCTCACCTCTCGTCGAAAGGTGATGTGATTGTACCATGCCACCTGGCCGTATTATTTATATCTTTGATTTTTCGCGAGCGAACGGTGGTGGTGGAGCACGGTCAGCCAAAATGGGGGCTGCCTGGGATCTCATTGTTCGTTACCTACACTCGCGGGTAGGGAGTAGAGATCTATTGGTTTCCCCGGGTGTTGCATTAGAGAGTCACTCTTTTTGCAGTCACACATCGCACAACTGGACTTTCCTATTCTGGGGCTTGACTTGTGCGATCTCCTTTTCGCTCTGCACTCTGCTTTCACGGTTTTCAACGGGCGACAGTCGCATTAAGCAAAACCGTATTGCAATACCACGTCTGTCGGTGAAGGAATTATGTAAGCGCTATTGCGCCGAGTCATTGATAAGGATTTGGCATTATTCGTCTATTAAAAATTTCTCACACGTTTCCGTTGGATAATATGCTGAAATTATTTTCATTGTGATTCACGCAAACTCATCTGGTTTGGTCCATGGTTATTTTCATGTGACGTTGTCAGGTTCGATCGGTATACCTATAATCGTAGGGTGTCGATAATTGACGATTGATAAAAGTTTTTTTTTTTTCTTTCCATATATTAGATAATGGCGAGCATGCAAATTTTATTTTCGCGATGATACGAATTTTTTTACTGACACTGCTGACTGCTGAAATATTTTTGTATTTCGCGTCTATGCATGATCTTTTTTTTTCAATTGGCCAACTGTTACTTTGTTAAGAATCTGCATGACGTTGCTTAGGTAATTATGGTAGAAATCTAGGAATTTGAAATTCCAGTGTGGGACGAATTTTTGGGTTCGACATAGAGAAATTGCTTTAACGAGGGCGAAGTACCTATATTAAAAGTATGACAACGATGGAGAATCGGTCGTTGTGTCTAATTTGCAAAATTCATTTAACGTCCATGCGCATCCCCTTCTTGAGACTGATTAGCAACAATCAAAAAGTGGAATCGCCCTCTTTTTCTAACATTTCATTACGTACTCTTATTACAGCGTGGACTTTCCAATTCTCTTGCATGAATTTGCAATCGTTTGCAAAATGCGATTTGCGGTAAATTTTCACGGCGTTATAAAATTCTTCGTAGCCATTAACACATCTCTCGATATAAAAACTATAAGTGAAATTTTATTTTCTTCTTCGTTACGGCTTTTATTAGCTTTTTGAAATTTCACGAGTTTGTCAAAAAATTATTTCCCTTATTTTTATACGTGTGTCGGCTGCACTGCTCGTCTATTCGCCAGAACACTGCTTGAAGTAATTTTTGTTAGTTATTTTTATGCATTCTATATTTTATTGTCCTTTATTGATAATACAGTCAAATTTGAAATCTATAATACTTTCTTATCACGAGATTCGGTAATTATCCATGAGTTCTTCCCAATTACGTAAATAATCGTTACTTAATTTTGTCGACTTTTTATCAGCGTATCGGAATTACGTTAAGCCACTAGGAGGTATCGTGTAATCTATTGATTCGTAACGCCTCGAATTTGCTGTAAAAACTCGAAATTCGAAAGTCTTCCTTTGTCCAGCTTTACCTCTATCAATACTTTTAATACTATTCTTCATTCGTGGAAATACGTACTCTCTGCAAAGAGGTGAAATTCTAAATAATTCACTTCCTTAAATAATCGATAAAGGATTGCCGCATAAACTATCACGTACTTAAAATTTCATTAAATAAATAATTTTGTTATAAATGTTACTTTCAATGGAGGGTCTTCACAAGGTAAAGTCTACCATTGATAATTAAAAAAAAAAAAAGGATGGAGGAAGAGGATAGTGATGTTTGAGATAACAAGATAAGACTCATGGATTTCGTAAATATTTTCTGTCGTTTAATTAATAAAATCAACAAGGGTAAATTTTCCCGAAGTGATGGTGCCTAACAATAGTCAACAGAACAAAAATCAACAAATAACAACGACATTCCTTGTACTGATATTCAGCAGTAGTGTCATCAATGGTGATGTCCATGATGACCATGGTGACCATGATGACCATGATGACCGCCGCCGCTGGAGAATCCGTGATGCTTGCCATGATGATGATGATCTTTGTGGCCATGATCCTCATGATGCTCATGATGATGTTCGTGTCCATGCTTGCCATGATGACCATGATGATCCTCGTCGTGATGACCATGATCGTGATGTCCCTTCTTGCCATGATGATGCTCATGATGACCAGAATGATGATGACCGCCCTTCTTGTGATGACCCTCGTGGTGTCCATGATGTCCATGATGATGACCGTGCTTCTCATGGTGCCCGCCCTTGTGATGGTCATCGTAGAACTTGTGTTCCTTGTGGAATTCATCCTTGTGAGCCTTCTTGTGGTATCCATGGGTCTTTTCGCCCTTCTTGTGACCTTTCTCTCCCCCATGTTTCTCGCCCTTATGTCCATGTCCCTTCTCATGATGCTCACCATAATCACCATGTTCATCATGATGATGTTTCTTGTGACCACCATGCTCTTCATGATGACCCTCGTGGTGCTCCTTACCATGATGACCATGATCACCCTTGTCATGATGGTGGTGGTGGTGGTACCCCTTGCCACCCTTCTCACCATGTTCATGATGATGATGGCCATGATGGTGATGACCACCACCGTGCTCGTGATGGTGACCGTGATGACCGTGATGACCGTGATGACCGGAAGCGGCTACTTCCAGGTCCCTCTTGTTCCTCACATCCCTTGCGGAAGTGATGGCAACCACCGCGAAAATGACGGCCAAAGCCAGGCACGGTCTCAACGCTCTACCCCTGGACATGTTAGTGCTTTGAGAACTGAACATGCAATGGACTGACGAACCACCTTTAATCCAAAGCTTATATAGTTGGAGCTGGTGGCTTCTATACGTAATCGCTTTCGTTTAGTTAAGGGGACTCATTCACAATCGGAGGTTCATATTTCGCAAACACAGATTGCACGGACGCCGTTTACTATCGTCTACTACACGCGGGAGTGACTCCTATTGGCTCTGTCGCTGCCCGACATATTTCACATGGAAGCGCGTGCTGTTTTATTTTCATAATTATACATTTCTTAATTAAGCCCTTATACAGGGCATGGATTTCTGTGGAAATCATTATTTTTCTAAAATATTTCATGCACGATGGTATATCTGTATGGATCGATGCTCGCGAATAACCATGAAGCAGGCTCTACATTTTTTTTACTAAAAAAAATTCGTATTATTCTACGTTTCGAATTACGTTAAAAATATTTCCTTTTTTTTACCCATCACTTTTATACTAGTCTCAGACTCAACTGCAGTAAGGCTCTACAGTTTGCCGTGAAGATTTAAATATTTTTCTTGCTGGAAGATAAAAATTCGTTAGATTCTCCAAAAAGATGGGACGATCAGTGAATATTTCCTGTAACACCAAAGGGACGAAGGGAACGTGATATGGCGACGTTGACAGATTGATTCATCGTTGTCCCTACGTCATCGGCAGTTTCAGATGGCGTCAAGGGAGACTTCCAGTCACGGTGGCTGGAAGTTTGAGCAAGCAAGTAAACATGATTTCAAACGGTTACATAACGTAGTTGGTTAGCAACGTATTTCCACCAGAAACCTCCATGACAATTTAAACAGGTTAAGGAGACGCCGCTTTCGCAACGGATTAATCAGCCAAGGAGAGAACGATTGCTTCCCTAATATCGCCGATTCTAGGTACGTCCGTACAGATATATAATCCGAGCGTAGCGGCGAGGCTTACCATACTAGAAACAGCAGCGAAATCAACAGCTTGATCGTTACGGGAGCAAAGGAAGAATGAGGTGTTACCTGGCGCTGTGCCTCGCGGCTGTCTACTTCCTCGCAATTCATGTGGTAGAAGCACGTGAGATTTCCAGGAGCAGACGTGACCTGGAAGCGGCGGCGTCGGGTCACCATTTCGAGAAGGGTGGTGGTTCGGAGCATCACTCTGATCATCATCATCATCACGGGGAGAAGGGCGATAAGGGGTACAAGAGTCATCACGAGCACGAGAAGGGACACAAGGGTCATCACGATCACGAAGGCCATCATGGACACTACGAGAAGCATGGGGGTCACAAAAAGGGTCATCATCACGATGACGGGTACCACAGCGAGCATCACAAGGGCGAGAAGGGCGAGAAGGGTCACAAGTACGGGGAGAAGGGACACTTCGCAAAGGGACACAGCACAAAGGGTCATCACGAGGTTCACAAACTAGATGAGTTCAAGAAGGATAAGGAGTTCTATGACGAGCATCACGATCACGGCCATCACGAGCATCACGGTGGTCACCATCACGAGCACGAGCACAAGAAGGGAGGACATCACAAGTCCGGCCATCATAAGTCTGGCCATCACGAGGGTCATCACGGAAAGAAGGGCCATCATGAGAAGGGTAATCACCATCATTCTCACAAAGGTCACAAAAAGGCCGAGGGACACGAGGACCATCACCATCATCATTCCGGTCATGGAAAGAAGGGTGGCCACAAGGAACACAAGGAATGGGCCTTCAAGAAGGGACACTGATCTATCGATTCTCCTATCTTATCCTTATCACGTTAATTGTTATGTTTGTCTGTCCGCTGAATATTATATTTATTTTACAACTTAAAATAAACATTTTAGTATCGTTCCCTACTGAAATTTAAATTTCAACGTCAGAGCTATACTTCTTCGCATTAACCGTTATCCAACCTTAAACCCAAATATTCATGTTCTCCGGTCACCCGTTATACTCGTGGTTGTAAACGATCATTTCGAGTAGTATAAAATCGCGTGAAAAATAATTTCGCAAAAATTCCTCCTTTCTGCCTCCCGTTCGTTTACGTCACTCAACGGCGCATTTCAGCCGGTAATAACTTTGACGTGCGTCATAACAATTCACGTGCGAATGATATGTCAGTTTCGACACGTGCATTAAGTCCGGAGTGTTTCTGTTAAAATGAAAATGTACACGTACCTCGGGTACGTGCGCGAACTAAATTCGTGTAACGTGGACGCAAAAGCTCCGAGCTTTTGTCGTTCTTACCAAGAGTGGTTATGGCTAACGGGAGCTTTCATCGCGCGATCAAATATACATGTTGCCTATGAAAAAGTTTTTTTTATCGTCCTACAAATTAGGCACTGGACTAACGTCTCGTGGCTTACTTCACATCGTTGCGGAAATTCTGATACCTCCGTTACGAGGGCTGAGCTTGCAGACGTATCAAAATCCACAGCAAAGCCATTACGCTCGCAGATCGTTGCGCAAAATCATAAAGAAAGTCAATGCGCCAAGTGACTGATCCTTACGTTATAATTGAACGAAGCTATTTACGTTAATTTCTTGACAATGCAATTTCTATTATTCGCTTCGATGACTCGAGGTGGGTGAGAAAAAGTTTTTGTCTTTTATTTCGAATTTTTTTATCTCTCTGTTTTGCTCATAAAGATTCCGATCGATCGACTCCTATTGAGAGCAATGACACAGCGGCGGTGCACAGTAGTTTCTGGAAAATTTTTCAAGATAATTTTTGCCTCGGTGAAAGGAAATTAAGATTTCAGATTAACTTACAGATACCGCAGTGCCATCCAGATTCGTTAGAAAAATCATCGGTAAAATTCATATTCGCGTCTCTTACCATTGACTTGACAAACCGAGTGAAGAAGGCTCCAGAATTTTCGAGTTTTGTATACCCGCCGCGAGTGCGAGAGAGACAGACTTATGGGCGCTCGCGTGCGTAAGACAAGGACAGACATATCGAAAATCGAACTCACGGGATACCCCCTTCTTTAAATATCGGATTCTCACCTCAAAGCATGGCCCAATGTGAAAATCATTCCTCGTCTGTTTCTCACGATAAATTCGTGACTTTACTTAATAAGAGTAGACAAAAAAGTTACGACCTTTCCCACCGTTAAAATACCTAGTGCAATCGCTCGAAAATTTATCAAAAATATTTGTTTGATTTCACGCAGCCTTTAAATGGCTTGAGATACGTCGACGCGCCTCAGGATATCTATAACAAAAAAAAATAAGGTCATTTTTCATCATACCTACCTCCTACCCAGGATACACGATCACCCGTAACAAAAAAAAATTTCCGATCAATTGACTCGCAGTAATTACGCAAGAGGATCACGGTGAAACGTCATTCAGGAAGTTCGGGACGCTGATTTTTCTTTGAGCCACCAAGAAGAGAGCAGCTCCCGGCTGCTACTTGAAACCTACTAAGAAATAACGAAAAATATGTAAAACATCCTTCGACCGATTTCATCCGAGTAGTTAACGTAAGTCCCAGCTGGCACTTTGGTACCGTCGGTAAAACAGAACGTGACTAATATTTTATTTGTAAAAGTCATCGTCAGTAAGGGGATAGATGTGAACGCGTCGAAAGGATATCTAATACGTCTCTTGCGTAATCATGTCGAATTGGATTTCCCGAGCTGGACCATCGCGGGATCGATACCTATTGTTCGCCGTATGCAAGTAAAGCCGATGACCATAGATGTGGTCCCGGGAAAGTTGTCTCTCGCGTTCACCAGGCGTATCGCATTGACGTCGTAACAGCATCGTCGTATCCGAACGTCGTTCCCGGGCCGTTCCCTAACGTAAGATGCCATTGTACCGTGTTACGTGGCCGACCGCTCTACATTATCCAATATGTATTGGGAGATAAAAAGATGTCTGGTACTTGATTATCATCGGAATTCATTGGGTTAAACGGTACGTGGATCGTAGGGGCGTATATAAATATCTAGAGGTGAGCTACTCGGCTCTTTAGTATTATTTAGTGGTCCGTGAACAGCAGATGGTTGAAAATAATTTTAATCACCCCCTCCCCCCCAACCGTAATTGTGTATCACATATGACAGACGAGAGCGCACGACAAGAAGATGGACTTGAGGTGTTTGGTCGGAGGTGTGTGCTTCGTTGCATACGTGATAAATCTCGCGATCGCCGAACCGATCGTCAAGGAGGAGGAAAAGATCTATGAAAAATCATTGGCTGATCATCAGGCACAAACGACCGGTTACTCGTATAGTCACGAGGTCAAGAGCCAGGAACCGGATGGATACGAGAACCAGGTGGATCATCCTGGGGGGCTGGGTGGACATGGAACTGAGGTCATTAATGGACTGGGTCAAGTTGGGAGTCGTAGTGATGATGACGATGCGCCTGTCAAAGATGGGAACGCTGGGTACAGTGTAGGATTGGGTTATGGTTTTTCTGTTTCTCATGGTGATAACGGTCACAATGATGGTCATCAGTATGATCGTTATCAGTTGCCAAATGATAAGGATCGGCATTCTACGGCTGATGATGATAAGCCGAATATTTATGATCGTTATGCTGGACATTATGGATCGACGGATGACGCTGTCGTTACCGAGCTTGCGATGTACCCACCGGCTGGGTCCAGTACGGGTAGTGGAGCTTCGAATGATCGTTATGCGACTGGTCCAAAAGGCAGTGCGAATGTTCAGGCGGATCTTGGTGATGTTCAACCTGGACTCTTTGCTAGGCATGCTATTTCTGATAATCATGCTGATGCTGTACCTGTACCAGGTGGCTATATTCAATCTGGTACTGTGAACGTCCAGCCTGCATCTGGCTCGAATATAAAGGCGGATTATATTGGAAAACTGAAGCAAGCTTACGACGTGGGAAAGGATGGAGAAATCAGTGGGAATGGTGGTGCCGGTATAGCCTATACTGCACCAGGGACGATTGGCAACTATAAGCTGGATGGTATTGAAGATGGAAGTCCAATGGAATTGAGCGATTGGCTCAAGAGTATTGATCTTGGAAAATTGGGAAAATCGTACGCGGTTGGTATCGAGTCACAGCCAACCGTGTCGAAGGTTACTGCGCCGAATGGTACAGAAACTTTCAAAAAGCCGCTGTTGAACAGTGTTGAGAAACCATCGGCGTCTGCGACGTTCAGTGTTGAAGTTCCCAATGCGCCGTTGCTGGCTAGCTTTATTTTGCCGAAGATTCCTGCGGTGGGAAGTGTCGAGAAAGACAAGGCGCCTTTGTTGATTCACGTTCCCCCGACAGAGGTCTCCACTGGTCCTGCTCGCTACGAGGTCAAAGAGAAAGAAGAACCGGAAGCTGGTCACGAACGGTACCAAACGGCACCTACGGTAACGGAAGAGGTTGCTGATGATAGTAGCCATGAAAGTTTGGAAGCACCCCAGGAAGGGGACTATCATGTGGAACATATCAGTTATAATACTGATGATGGCCATAGTGAACGGCACAGTGACGGAAGTCAGGACGATGACGGGGATTATGGACGTGATAAAGATTTTGGTAGTTATTTCGGTGAATTTCTTAAAGACTATGGAAATCACAATGGGCACGATGCTACCGGCCATGGTGATTATGAGTTTGCAGGTTATGGTGATCATGATGGTCATCTTGGATATCATAGTGAATATGACCGCTATTTTGGACATTTTGGGGAACATGGGAACGGTGGCAATGGTGGTCGTGCTAGTCATGGTGGAGGTGGTCATCATCATGGTCACAAGGATCATGATCATCACCACAGTTATGGTGATCATGGTGATTATGGTGATCATCATCGCGGAAAAGGAAATGATCATCATGATCACGATTATTACAGTCATGGGTCTAAGGGTGACAAGGGATATCACGATCATCATTTCTTTGACCATGATGATCATGGTCACCATGATAGTGATCATTACAGGGACTTTTTCAAGGAACACGGTGGACATGAGAAGAGTCATGTGGATGAAGATTCCCTACATGGTCATCATCACGAATGGGGAAAGGGCGAGAAGGGTGGTCACTTCGGCGGGAAGAAGGGTCACAAAAAGGGTACCACGTCGAGTGGTTATCACAACGTTAAAAAGAAAGACGAATACACAAAGGAGCACACATTTTACGACAATGCCCATCGCGGAGGACATTATACCAAGGATGGTGACCATGATACCCATTTTCATGAAAATGATGGTCATCACAAGGAGGGCAGCGAACACGATTCCAGTTACGAGGATGATCACTTTGGCAAGAAAGATCACACTGATAAGGGACATGGTATCAGTCATGACATTGGTTACGATAGTCAGGAAGGTCATCATTCCCATCATGACAAGCACAAAGAATACGGTGATAAGGGTGCCACGAATCATGGATCGCATCATAGTTTCTCGAGCGCTGATCATGATGATGATGAGCATCATTAGAATTAATAAGAAATGCCTAAGCTAACCTAACCTAATCTTTTTCTATGAGACGTTTTTTTAATTGTTTTACTTGTTTTTTTATCGGATTCATAAATAAATGAAAATATCCCCAAAGAGTCTAAAAAATTATTTCACCAGGGATTTGATCCGTATAATAATTTTATTTCATTAACTGAAGATTACTTCTGGACAGGACAGGAAACACGACGAGTAACAAATATAACAGGCAATTAAAAAAATCAATAAATCTTCTTTCCATAAGAACCAGACGAGACACCTGCTTCTTTACCGGCCTCGTGAGCATCCTTTTTGGCGTATTCGATTTCGTTGCCATAATGCTCCTTCTCCCCTTCTTCCCGGTCGTGTCCCTGTACGGTGCCATATTGATGCCCATTAGTGAAACCACCCTTCTTGGCGTGCTCGTCTTCCTGATGAGCAGCATCCAGCTTCTCAGCCTTCTCGTGGGCGCCCTTCTCAGCCGAATGATGAACCTTTTCGGAGCCATACTTTTGCTCCTCGCCGCTGTGATGCTCATCGTCGTAGAACGAGGTGTCCTTCTTGTATTCGTCCTTGCGATAGACGTTGTGAAAGCCGGTAGTCTTGGATCCCTTTTTGTGACCTTCGCTCTTGTGATAGTTCTCCCCTTTCTCACCCTTGGTACCAGCCTCGCTCGCGGCGTATTTCTTGGCCTCCTCCTCCTGGCCCTTCTTGGCACCACCAGACTCACTGTAATGCCCCCCGTCCTGAGCCTGGGCCACGGCACCTTTCGTACCCTTATCAAAACCCTCAGCTGCCTTGTAGCCTTTCTCGCCCTTTTCACCCTCGGCCGCTTCCTTCACAGCCTTGAAGTCCTCGCCGGCACCTTTTTCGAAGGACGATTCACTAGCGACTCCACCACCTCCTCCTAGACCCACTCCCCCAAGACCGACCGTCGCTGGTATGAACTGTCCATGTTGAAGACCAACCCCGTTGATGCCTCCGTACCCCAGAGAACCAGTCTGCGTTATTCCGCCCCCCAAATTCGAAATCCCCAGACCCGAACCTGCTCCCAAACCCCCTCCTAGACCAGTTCCTAGTCCAGACAGGCCAATCCCGTTTTTTGAAATTCCGTAACCAAGACCACCTACCAGACCTCCACCTCCGATGTTACCACCTAAACCCAGACCACCCCCTCCGCCTAGGCCTATACCCTCGTCGCCGATTACTTCGTAGCCACCGAAATTATTGTAATTCCCCAATCCGACTCCACCCCCAACGCCACCCCCGATGCCACCGCCTGAAGACAAAAAAGAAATGTTCGACAATATATAAATTACAAATACAAAACTTCCATCAGGTCAAGCTCTCACCAGTGCTACCAATGCTATACTTGGTAGGAAAGATAAATCCGGATCCTCCAGATAACTGATTCAGGCCGCCTAGTAAGAACAATGTGCAACCTCAGTATATCATAAAAAAAAAAAAAAAAATTAAAACCTCCAAAACCTACCGGATAATCCAGATCTGATTCCTCCAAAGCCACCGTAGGATCCAAGTCCTCCACCTCTGTTAAATACGTATCCACTGGCCGAGGCTTCCAAGTCCTGAGAAGCAGCATTGGAAACGTACGAGCTTGCACTAGAATCTTGAACCCTGTTCTCATGTCCCAGAACGAGATGAACCAGGCACACGATTATCACACACTTAAACTTCATTTTCTCTTGATCCAAGAAAAATCCAACGAACCACCTCGGAAAGTCGAAAAATATTTTTCTTTGCGCACTGTGTACTCGTAAATCAAGATCCTGGGACCGATGCGAATGAATCGACTTATCAGAGTTCGAACTTTATATACGAAAATTCTTTGGCAACATACATGACGCAGCCAACGATTGCCACACCGTACAAGTGTATAATATGGATCGGTGGCTAATCATCCAATTGCTAATCAGTGCCTGATTCCTCATGTGCAAACGGGTAGTGCACATCCGTTCTGAATGAAAGAGAAGTTGCACATCCAATAACGACACCGTAGACGTTGTAAACCAGCCCGAATGACCTGACCCAAAAATCATCACGTTTCTTCATCAGTTATTCAGGTCAACGGCGAATGATTCCGTGATGATTTCGTTAATGGAGAATTTCTTCCACACTCATTGTCTTCGCAGTTGCACGACTCGAGGAAACACACGTCACGCCTGTGATATCCACGAAGGACATGATAAAGAATGTCGATTAGAAAGGCGATCGGTTTGCCTCATTAAAGTTTCTAACGTCAAGACGTAAAGATGGTTTCGATTGATTTTACAAAATTATCCTCGCAGAGTCAATAACGATCGATTAGTATCGTTTCGTCGATCGATCGATTTCAATGCTGTATTATCGGTGCTCGTCGCTTTCCATATTTTTCGTGATTAATTGTGAGTAAATCATTCGATAATAAAATTTCGATTTTTTTTTTTTTAATTAATAAAAGCAAACGAATACGTGAGATTATTACAAGTCGCAAGGAAACGATAGTCGTCACAATCGAGTTTCTTTGTAAAATGATCGAATAAGGTGATTGAACTGGGGGGTAAGTTTTTTTTTAAATTTCTTTCTAAATATATTGCCTCTCACAATGGGATATCGCCCTGACCCAATTACACCTGAAATATTCGATCGCGAAATTGAAACGTTCCAAAAGAAAATGTCTGCCCGTCACGGGCACAGAACACAGTGAACTCAGGTAAAAGGAACGAGTCGTTTGATTCGTATATCTTTTTTTTTGCAATTTATTACTTTATAGTAAATTTAACTGTATATACAAAAACAACAGGTATAACTAGAGTTGGTCGTGTTTTGCGGATGTGACGTAATCAGTGATGGTGACCGTGACCTTTGCTGTAGCCATGTTCTTTGGCCTCGCTGCTTTCACCCTTAGAAGCGTAATCAGCCTGTTGTTCGTGATAGGACTCTTCGCCCTCTTCACCCTTGTGACCTTCCTCGGCGCTGCGATCATGCCCTTTCTCGAAGTGGCCCTCGTTGCCCCCTTCGGCTTGATCGTGAGCAGAATCAAGATGGCCACCCTCTTTGCGAGCGCCCTCGGCAGCTGCATGATGCTCATCGAAGGCTGCATGTTTGTCGTAGTGTCCGCCTTTGTGATCTTCGTCGTAGAAATCCGTATCCTTCTTGTACTCGTCCTTGCGATAGACATTGTGGAATCCAGTGGTCTTGTGACCCTTCTTGTGATGAGCTTGATGACCAAAGCTTGCGCCCTTCTCACCCTTTTCCGCCTCGTTGTGATGGCCGTAATGACCTTCGGCTTCGCTGTGAGCTTTCTTGTGACCTCCCTCTTCATCGTAATGACCTGTGGAACATTTCACAATTATGATTCATCACGTTTTACCCATCGTGACTCGTGACTTACCCTTGTGATGTTGGCTGTCGTGCTCGCCCTTTTGACCCTCGTCGAACCGATGATGATTCTTGTAACCCTTCTCGCCCTTTTCCCCATGAGCGGCATGTCCCTCAGCTGCGTATTCTTTACCGGCGCCATGTTGGTACGCATCTAAAGCCGCCTTGTAAGGTCCACCAAGTTCGGATACAACCTTGGTAGGCAGTTCGACTTCAAGGCCAATGATCTTCCTGGGCTTGTCAAATCCTTGAAAGCCATAGTTCTTGGTCGGCACTTCAAAGTCACCGTGACCATGATGATGACTATCCCCATGTTCGTATCCGTCATCAGAATCGTCATCATCGTCATCATCGTCATCATCGTCATCATCGTCATCGTGATACTTTTCACTAGCACCTTGGACCTGGTACGGGACTTCATCAACTTTGGCAGGCACGTAATAAGGTGCAAGAGCTTCCTGCTCCTTCGGCGCAACTGGCAGAATGTATCCGGACTGAACTGGTGCATACCCAGCATGATTCACGTACGAGGCACGATTGGGCTCATCCTTGACATAGGCAACAGGTTCTTGCTGAACGTAGACCACAGCCGGCTCGTAGCGAACTGCTTCCGTTCCGTAGGGTGCAGACGCAGGTACGGTAGCCACGTACGATACCGGTGCAGGTGCGTCGTAATAATGTCCACTGCCGTGATCGCTGTATCGAACATAAGAAACCGGAAGTCCATGTTGACGATCGTAGGAATACCCGGTCGCCGAGGTCTCCAAGTCGGACATCTTCATCTTGGACACTGTCATCCTCTCCATTTGAGCCGGCAGCGAATTGGCTCCCGCCACCAGCATGCACACCGTCACAATAAACACCCCCATAATTGTCGATCTAGCTCGGTAGACGTTTAACTTGATATTCGACGAATCCACTTTTATTCCCAGCCGAAGCCCGAGAACCGAGAACCTTATGACTTTACGTGGCTGGCTGCCGTCTTTATATATGCCGCCTAAGTCACTAAGGACCGTGAATATATTATCATTGTTCGTAGCGTCATACCAGGGCCGCTAATAATTCAAGTACAACGCGCTATTGACAGTGTCCTGGCCGGCATTCATGGAATCGAACGTTTTGCGTAATTTAGTGGACCGCGCAAAGTACCTCAGCGAGACCGCCGAGGGGCTGAATCGGTGGCTCCGGACAACGCAAGAGACTTTAGCATTAGTCACGGTCATTCGCCGTAGACCGAAACCAATTATCCAGGATCTAATAAAGGCTCGGACACGTTTTCGCCGTTTAATCAAATCGTATCGCCGGCCAAACGTGTTCCTTGCTCCACGCGCAACCTATGCGAAATCATCGATCGTCAGATACACGGGGCGAGACGGTAGGTCCCGAAAGGCTCCAGACCTGCAGCTGCAATACGGAATTTGCATCTGGCAAAGATTTCTAACCTCACTTTTCTCGGTATTAAAATTGCGCTTTGCATGATCGGTTCGCCGAGCATTCGATCAGGCTTGCACCACTGGCCAGCGTAAACGTGTATATAACCTTGAGTGCGCAATAACGAGCTGCTACGTGAAATCGTGCTGCTTGTTGAAACAGCCGAAAGACCGTCCTTCCAGGTGCATTCCAGAGCTGGTCCAGCCGGCCAATGGGACGGAGGGATCGGCCGATTACCGTAAGATATAAAAGAGACCGATTACGTTCGGGGGGTTACAGTTTATATTGGCGCGTTTTGCCGAGAGCGTATTTACACAACGCGTACATCGTGATCAGGTGTGAAGGCGCGATAGAGTAATACCCGACTGTAGCACAGAGTATCGGGCACACGGGTACTAGGTTGCAGGTTCAAAGATGTGGAGGGGCTGGATAGTGGCATGTCTGATAGGCTGCTCCTGGGCCCAGCCGGCCAAACAGGAAATGGGCAAGATGTACATGTCCCAGACAAAGCAATCGGATCTGGAGTCATCAGCCAGTGGGTACGTCTTCAAGAACGTACCAGCTGAGAAGTACGCCAAGATCATCGAGGAGAGTCTGGAGGGTCTCGAAGACTTCGGGGACGCACCTGCTTCGGTCGCACCTGCGTCTGCGGCCAAGTCCAGGTCTGACGCCGAGTTCCTTCCGCTTCCACTTGGTGCTGATCCCGAGGCAGAGATGCTACCCGTTCACTATACGGGTCTGAAGCCACCCGGAGTCGATCACATGGAACTCACCTTCTTGGAACCAGTCATCCTGAGTTCCAACCGGAAGAGCACTCTCGTGGAGGGCTCCGCGGAGGCTGACGCTGCTCCTACGACCCAGGTCAAGGCTCTCGACTTCGTGGACGGCGCCGGGAAGCAGTTCGCAGCTGCCCAACAGGCCGCCAGGGGGGCCCAGGGCGAAAAGGGTTACAAGAAGGCTGAGGTCTTCGACGAGGGCAAGAAGGGCCAAAGCGCCAAGGAGAATCAGAAGGGCGAGTATGCTGAAGCTGCTGGGGCCAGGAAGGCGCACTCTGGTAGGGAGAATCATTACACGGGTCACAAGGATGCAGCTGCGGCCGAAAAGGGGGCCAGCTTTGAGATCGAGGGTAGCCACGCCAAGGGCCGTAACAATAAGGGCTTTCACAATGTCTATCACAAGGACGAGTACAAGAAGGACTCTGATTTTTATGACAGCGATCAGAAGGGCGGTCACTTCAAGAAGCATGGCCGCTACGGTGAAAATCATGCGGTGCTGGAGGGCGCCTATGACAAGGGCGGTAGCAGCGACTCTGGCTTTGCCCAGGCCGAGGCTGCTAAGGAGGGCAAGGCCGAGAAGGGTCGTTCCCAGGAGGAAGCTCAAGGTCATGCGGCTAAAGAAGGCTACGGCGGCTTCTTCGGTAACTTTGAGGAATTCGCCAAGAAGAGCGGCGCCGCCGAAGGTAAAAAGTATGGGTTCAGCAGCGGTGACTCCGGCAAGGCCCGTTAGTCTCAGCGGCTGGATGTACTCTGAGACGCTATATGATTATAGATAATGTACAGTAGATATAGAGCTTACGTATTAAGCTAGGTCTTCCTCTCCTTTTTTTTACGTTATTATATATTTATTTATTTACACATACGCGCTTGTGAGTCACCATGTATCTCGCTATTTATTCTCAACGACGTGCAATAATATTCTCAAAGTTCTAACCTGAGCACGGTCTGTAACTTTTCTACGTGATTCTTATTTTTTTTTACTATTTGTCCTGTGCTAAATTCTATACAACTTTTTTTTTTCTATGCATGTACGAAAGACCGTTTCTCGTTGGATTTAAATGAGAAAGAATAATCCACTGGTCGTTGTATTTTTATTGTCCCACCCCTTAGGTATTACGTCCTTTAAAGTCACGTGGCGTATCATGCAATAATATCACGTACACACAGAAGTGAAAGTATCAGCAGCTAACCAACCGTACGGTCAATGAAACGGCAGATTGATTTCTATTTAAAAAAAAAATATAAATAATTTTTACGCAATTTGTTAATAAATAAAAAAACGAAATAGCTATTCAATGCATAGGACGAACGTGTCGGCATTATCCGCAGTGGAGAAGAACGCCCCCCCGAGAAAGACAGAAGAAAATAATTAATAAAAATAAAAGACAATCGATAATCAATAAATCATATCAGTCGATTACATCCATAGATTGGATACGGTAACTGCATTCTTTTTTTATGTAAAAAAAAATTATTTTTTTTCGAAAATAATCCTGGAACCGTTACGTCACACCGGCTCTTTTATTAATCGAAGGTAGTCGGACCTCTCTACCTCCCCAACCCCCCTCCCAGTCCTGATTAATGGATATTAATAACGTTCGCATTCCCAGCTCAGCCTACAATTGCATTCTGACCCAAACAAGAATAAAAGCTCAGCTGCAATTGTTGCACCGTCCGACTGCACAGGGATGCATCAGTCGTCGTTAAAGACAGCAAGCCGAGTGCATAGCGTACCAGTGTGTTCTGGAGAGAAAGAGAGGAGCGAGTAACCGCAGGAAAGAATGTTCTTTCTCCATAGAGCCCGGCGAGTAGCTGGCTCTGTGCATTCATCAACAATAAGCCGCGGGATCCAGGGATGCAATGGGGCGAAGGGGACGTGGAGCATGTAAATGGGGAGTGTAGGTAGGTCGTATAGGTTGTAGCTCGTATAGGTGGAAGAGAGTAGGAACGACGTGAGGTAGTAGTCGGAACGCGTTGCGAATACATAAATCAGCCAGTCTGCAGGCTGCCAGCCATATCACTTCACACAACGGCTATGAATGAATAGAGGCGCTGAGTTATCGTCTGGTCGCCTTCCAGGGTGGCTGCGTGGACCAGCCTAAGGCTGATTTGGGGGTAGGATGCCGACTGCACAGCCCCGGGTTAAAATCAGGCGCGCATAGTCCCAAACTCAGGCCGCGCAACCGTGGCAATAAATTCGCCGAGATTCAGGGAGCGTTTGGCACCTTTAAAGGAATGATGAAGAGAACTCTGTAAATCGGAGACCGGAAGTGGCTTCGATCGCGATAAAAAGAGGAGGACTATTGCTCCAGCGCAGTCTTCCGGATCGATGGGAATTTGGTCGCCCGTAACCCAGAGGTGTGACAAGTGACGTTCGTTCTGTCAAATATTAAATTTTAACCTCTTTTTAACGCCGGATCATGATGCCTCTCAAAATTAATGGTTATACTTTTATGGTCTTCCGTAACACTGTATAATGGCTGTGATACTACGGAGATTAATTGCCATACCCATTAAATTTCATTATTCACTGATGGACGTTCGCGTTCACGATTCCCATCGTTACCCGTCGCATCTACGTGTACTCGGCCGAAATCTTTCTCTTAAATGTCCAGTGAGTCCATTTGGTAATATTAGAAAAAAAAAAGTGAATGTAACCTATAAGAAATTTCTTTATTCTAATTATTATTATTTATCTTCCAGAATCCTCCCAGCTTCACGACCAGTCTCGCCATGCCCAAGGACTACGAGAACGTAATGAATCTCATGTGCGAGAGTTACTTCAAATACGAGCCCAGCATCGTCAACATTGGACTGTCCGGTCGTGCACCTGCATCCCTGATGCACTTTGTGCAGGAGCACTTGAGAGAGGGAATGACACTGGTGGCGAGAGGACAGGACAATTGCATAGTAGGAGCTGCTATAAACGTCGGCTCTTGCCCATGGGATCCTGAGCGTGCCATTAGTTTTGCAAATTGTTGCGAATGTGGTCCAGCCAAGGATCTGATAAAGTTCTACGCTTACGTCACGATGCAGCCACGTCTCTGGGAGAGATTTTGCGTATTGAAGATATTCGAGTGCTGTTACGTAACGGTGCATCCCGATTACCAAGGTCAGGGACTGGGCAAGAGGCTCATACAGGAGAGTTGGTACCTGGCGAGAGATTGCGGCTACAGCCTCTTCCGTATAGACTGCACCAGCAGGTACGTGTATCAATGGTATAAGAAATGCGAACAAGTGCGTTTTTTATGATGATAATAATTCATTCTTTTTTTTTAGATACACTGCCAAAATTGCTGAAAACTTTGGCTGGGAGTGCGTCTACAAATTGCCTTACAGAAGGTACATCGAGGCCGACGAGCTGGTGTTCAAGTACGTGCAAAGTCCACACACGGAGGTGCAAGTCTTTATCGACAGAATTAAATTCTGCAAGGACTACTGTCAGCCGTACAAGAAAAAGTGCAAGAAAACTTCCGCGCCGTCTCTGAGGAAGAAACGTTAGCTCTTTAAGGGGATACGTACCACGTATTACGTGATAGTCCAATAACTGGATTACTCCTGTCAGCTGGCTAATCTGTTTAATCAGCAGCACAATTCGCGCCTTGGCGTACTTTACACGCGAAAGTAGCAACGGGCAAAACAGAAATTCACCGAGGGAAGAACTTTCGAGCGCTTTACGAGGAGACTGGCTACCAATTCGTTTAATTAGTAAGATAGATGTTACTCTTACTCAATGCACTTTTCTATGCTTGAGAAACAATTGTCCTCTGTTCTCTTTTATATTTTTCTTGCACGAGTGTAAAACTTTGGTGTTTTATTAAAAATTCAAACGCCCTGATTTGCTTGGGTCCGAATGGATTTCTTGGTGATCTTGAGTACTTTCTGGACTAGGTTCGAGTTAAGGGATGGAGACAGAGAGAGAGAGAGAGAGAGAGAGAGAGAGAAATGAAAAAAAAAAAATGTAAAGTTGAACTTAATGGCCGACAAGTTTTTGACAAATGGACAAAGGGTAGTCTGCCTTTTCTTGTGCTCCAGTATCCATTACTGCTGGTGGCAGCAGTAGCACCGAGCAGAGCTATTGGTAGCACTGCTACCACTACTACAGCGCCATCTGTAACCCCCTTGCAATGCTCTACGGCTTGTCGGAGTAATTAAAGTTTACAGCATCTCGGCTTACTTCAATCTCTGCTAGCAATTACGACCCCCCAGCTGTTGACGTAGGAACTGGACCTATGCCATTCTGGTCCAGGGTTATTTGACACATACCGAAAAATTGTAACTTTTTTTTTTATACATCGAACATGCTGTACGTTTCGTTTAAAATTATTGTCATTATCCAACTATTGTTATCAGTCGTAATTTATCATGTTCGATTCGCAGAATCACCAGAACATTGCCGTAGTTATTATCAGGCCGGAATTACAGTCGGGAAACTTCTGAAACGAGTTAAACCAGCATTCGAGGGTATTAAGTCGATTTTCATGTAACCGCGAAATCCATTTTAGTTGTTATTACAATTGCGTTACCGGGAATTGCAAATATACCTTGAATATCCGTACCGCATACCATCGCCAATATTATCCCAGTAAATCGTCCTTGCAGGAGCTTCTTCTTTCCGTTAGACTGGCAGCGTGCGAGTTCTAAAGTTAATTGGGATAATTTTCACAAACTGTAATCACCTTATAAAATCTATTGTAATACGTAACATCTCACACTCCGCGTTTAAACAGACTGCGCTGGTATCTCGTTTTCCTGGAATTTCCCTAATATCGAGCATTGTTCCTCGAATTGAAATAGTTAAGCGAAGGGTGTACCTGGACTCGTGTGTATAGCAAAGAATGCACATGCATCATACCTATACACGTATATACCAAAATATCCTACAGGATACTGAATCTGTATACAAATTTTCTCTTCTTATCCATTCATAAGTATTTTAATAATTTTACATAATCTTCCTCAATTTATTCATCTCATTAATATTACGTAATCGATACTATCAATTAGCTATGATAATAACAGCCTCAGGTAAATTCAAAGAAAAAACATAGTATCCAATTAGCGTATCCCTATTCTTTGAATGTGTCGTCTTGCAGCTGCAACTGGCGGACAGTAACCAAAGAAACTATTGGATTTCTCTGTGTTACGTCTTGCAGTCCAAGAAAAAGGGAGTTGCTCCTGGTTTCATTTTTATTTCTGTATCTCCACTGGCGTCGGACTACACCTACTCTTTATCTTTATTTTCATTATTTCTCTGTGCTCCCTGGTCTCCCCCAACACCACCCACGTATCTCTCATCTCACAGTATTTTTATCCACAGATATTTTCCTTCATCCGGCAAGAGCTGTATAGCCCGGTCACGCGGTGTACACAGAAAAGCTATACAGAAACAGAAGCCAGAAAATTCTTTAATATTCGATAATGCTAAATCAAAGCATCAGTTACACGCGATAACTTTATCTACATAATAATAGTTTAATCGTAAAAGAAATTAGTCACGAAACGGCCAAGCGTAACCTGCTCTCTTTGACGACTGCACTATCGCGTGTAACGATAATGGTACCTAGTACTGTTTAGTAATATATACATATATGCATATAAATAGATATACGTTATAAGAGAAATAGTATGTAATACATATTCTTGGAATTTAGTAATAATTATATGGTACCTTTGAAATAATATGCTAAGATTTATAGTGGATTCCACGTAATCCTTACATACTAATAGTACAGTACGTACCTAGCCTTATTGTTAACATATGTATATATACGAATGCACTGACATGTAGCATATCGATACCACGTACTGGGTTCGTACGGTGAAAGGTCCTCTAACGAGACTATTGATTAAAATCGTGTAGAACTGTAAGTGCGGTACTGCCGTGTGTCTTCGCCGACGTCGCACACCTTCTAGAAATAAGATTTCGCCAGATTAAAAAGTAGGAGAAACTTGTCGAGATGCGAATAAGATCATGCGCCATAAATAAGATCCGAGTCTATTTAAAGTTTTTCAATTATGTTGATATCTACCTTAACCAGTCGACCAAGTCGGCCATCCAGGCTTCGACTAACCCATCTAACCCAGTCACTGCTACTGATGTTACAGCTACTTGGCATTGCTACTACTGTCCTTACTCGGGAAGCTGTTCATCCCTCTGGTAAAGGTTTCATAAATACACTTTTGTGAAAGCCGCCTAGAAATTCAATTGGAAAGTTGAATTTTGTAGGGAGAGCTTTAAGTGCTTCTTTTTATAGCACGAGGAAAGAATTTCTTTATGTTCCGAGACTCAAGATTTTTATTTAATGTCTTTCTTTTATTTGTTTTTTTTTTTATCACAACCCTTTTTCCATTGATTTGACATACTTTAATTATTCTTGGATTATTTCACTGTTTTGGAGTTATAAGAGATTTTAGGTAAATACAATTTGTAATGTGTATGGAAGCTCTTGCGTGGACGACTGTTGTCAGTACTGAGTGTATGGGAATTGTAATGATTATTTTGATCAGACTATTGTCATTGCTATCGTCATCGATCGTTCATTCGCTATTTGTTGAGGATCGCGTGCACGAGTGCCAAGTAATGCTGATTGGTATGGATTGGACGGTACTTATTACTATGAATTGTGGGAGATTGTCGTAGATATCAATGACTGACATTGATTTTCATTGGGCAGTCAAAGCTGTAGATTATTAGGTCGCGATACAGGATCGTCCGATTAAAGGGAAATAGAGAATTTCCGGTCGTTTGTAATAATTCAAAATGTAGTATAAGTATATCATCTCGAAAAAGTAACATACTCGAAATTGGGTGCGTTGGTAAAGTTTTGGAGGATTAACAAATTTCGGGTATGTTCTTTTTTAGATTTTATGGAATTTTGTCACCGCTTCCGCATTTTCCGTTAGGATGCCACGTGTTACAAAACGTGTTTGTGTGTATACAAAATGATACGGCGAGACCGACAGGGGTCGTTTCGAAAATACCAGCCGTGGGTCGAAAACGTTGTAATTAGTGGAGAGAGGCGCTGTTCCAATTTTACGAAATATTTGGCGAGATTAAAATACCACCCTTCCGCCCCAAAAAGACAAGCAGCGTCTTTACTCTTCTATCGGTGCGTTAAGAAGGGGTAGATAGTGTAGGGGTAGGTTGACGGGTATACGCGGGTCGCGTCCTCGGGAATTGAAAATACTTGGAATTCCATCAATGCAGCGAAATGTGATGGCGTATCTCGTGAATGCGGGAGTGATCCTGGTAGAGGAACAGTGGCGCCATCTACGAGAGAACCGGTTCACTTTTTTTCTTACCGTTCAAAAATCAACTAGCCCATCTTCGAACGATCCCGGCCCGTTGAAATAGCGACCCTCCTAGAGTCACTCGAGATTTTACTCAGACTCGTAGGATCCTTCGTCCTCGCCGTCGTAGGAGCTTCCATCTATCCTTCACGCCCTTGCGTCACTCCCACGTAAGATTTCTTGGGCTTTGTTCTTGACGCGGATGCTGGATGCCAAGAATCTTTGGAATTACGTCAATCTGGTAATATTTGAAAATCCTGAAATTTCATTGGACCTTGAAACGGATACTTGGGACATTCTTGGATCCTCTGACGATAACGGAACTTTGTTGAAGATAAAAAAAATTCGAAAGTTATCGAAAGCGAAATTATCTCAAGGATCAACCGAAAGTCCTTAACCTTTAACGTAAATACATCGACTCGGGCTCATCCACCAAATTCCCAACCCTTTTCATTCAGACGTTTCGACATTTTGAACGGTACGCTGCGCTCCGCTCGTCGGCCTGAACATTCGGAGTACGTAAGAGTAACCCTAGAACTAGTAAACTTTCTCGATTAAAAGTTAATTACTTTTCAACTACGGACCACGGGGTTTCAATCAAGACGCGAATAATTATCGCTGCTCGTCAGAGCAAAATTCTAACGATGATTAGCCCCCTTAAGCATTCACTTGTATATTTGCTATCAACGCCAACTGTTGATTACGTATAAATTTTATTTCTTTATAGTTTTCTCTCGCCGTCTTCGAGCTAACAGCGTGAGTGTCAAAGACAAGGGAAGTTGAGGATCGACCCGGTCTATCAGAAGAGAAAAGGACCTGGACCAGGGTTCTCGATGATGACCTCAGGAGTCTCCAGCATCGGAGGGTGAGTACATGCTGACTCCCATAAAAGCCCACAGCAAGATATCAGGTAGTTGCCGATCACGCGTGTAACATAAAAAAAAATCAGCACTGCTGCCAACATAAAAAATAGTCAGATCTAGGAATCCTTCCATGGCCTTCTATACGATTTCCAGACGCACCAAACGACGTGGGCTATTTTTTTTCCTCGTTCATCCCATTAGCCCATTTTCCAAGACGTCCCTCAGGGTGCAAAAGGGAATTAGCAGGTGCCGTTGAGATATGTTAAATTGAATAGGGATTCCCCAGAGGATGGAGTTCACGGAGGAGACATAACTCATTCAGGAACTCAGGTCGAACTCATAGAGCCCAGCCAGTTGAACAGAGCCAGGGACCCTTCGGTGTATCTCGTCACCGAATTCAACCATCCCACTCCTCTTCAGGAAGCCACCACTCCCCCCCTATCCGGTGCCTTAACCAGCTCCTGGCAGCCCGTACTCATCCGGTACCAGCCTTACGAAAGGCCTGTTAACCCCTTTGCGCGCAGGAACGTCCTGAAGTTGCAAAGCCGGTAGGGGAAATTGGTGGCAGGGGGGGTTGGCGAAGGGGGGGGGGCGGATCGTGCGTGTGACGACTCTGACGGGAATGTATAATTAATAGGTGCGGGTTACGCGGCTGTAATTATAACGCTGTTAATTATTCAATTGTTCAGCCATTTGGACAACCCTGACATTAGTTGTAGACGAAGCTGCCGTTTGGAATTTCATGGAATTGCCATTGCTGCCTGAACTTGGCTATATATTTATGTAATAATCGATAGGAAATTTTTTTTTCAATTTTTTTCACCGAATTACACGTGGCTACGTAAACGCAATGAAATTTTTTTTTGTTTTTTCGTTTATAAGCTGTGCGCAAGATTTTTTTTTTTTTTATCTAACACGGATTTCCTCACGTAAATTGATACGGGAGGTGGCTCGTCGTATTTTGAAATTTTGGAGTTAAAACCCGACGGAAGAAAGTTGAAAAAAAAAAATTTAAATATTTTCCATAGTTAACCCGACTGCCAGACGTAGGACAGTTCATCGTGACTCCTGGGGTAGTGTACGTTCTTGTTATTCTCCAGGAGTTCTCAGGGTACCTAATCCGAGTAGGGGGAGCACTTTTATTAATTAAAAGCCGTTGTTCGGCCTGGCGCAGCTTTTTAATCGAGTTATTGTTTAAACAGCGACAGCTAACAAAGAGCCACTTAGGCGAGTTAAGTTAAAGACTCGGCCAGGTAAACATATGAAATAAGCGTCTCGCTAATTAGTTCCGTACCGGGCGAACAAAAGTTTCTCTAGTAAAGTGTAGGGAAAATTTATTTTTATTAATCTAATTCAGGAACTGTCACGTAACGGAGATTCCGCAGTCTAATATCGAGCGTCCTCGCGCCGTTACAAATTGGAATTCCGTTCGTTAGGTAAACCGAGTTTGGTAAATATGGGGAACACCGGTTTATAGGAAAGGATCCCGTGTCTATATGAATTCGAATGGAAAATTCATTTCTGGCCGACCCGTACAGTTTTAACAAGGCATACTCAAAGTCCACGTGTTCGGGGCAGGGAAATAGATATATGTATATCGTTTACTGTATGCGTGACGTCATTTTTCACTCACGATCGCAAGGTCAGCTATCGATTCTTATAACGTTTTTCGATTCCCTTCGAGTCGTCACTCGGCTTGGAAGCTTATCGCGTTGCTCTCGAAATATTTTGAAAATCCTATTGATTTTCCGCGTGTCTTTCGGAAGTGCAGTGTTGTGCTACAGTGCAGTGCCCACCTCAGTGTCTCCTGGATGCAAGTCTTGGCGCCTTCATGGATCGGCTGAACCAGCTCCGGTGAGTACTCCCAGGTTATTAATCGGTGGAGGGATTTCGATTTTGCAGCTCAGGTAAGTTTGTAGTAAAAAAATATATATGAAAAGCATAGCAAGTACGTAAATTAGTAGGTAGACAGGAGGATTGTCGTTTCGGCAAATTAGATGTTTCTTTCCCTGGTGAAAAGCCAAACGCGTTCATAGTCGGTATCTCGTGAGGATACAGAGAGAAAATCCAGGTAGAGAGACCGGAGGCCAGTAATTAAATGTGAATTATTTAGAGTCCTGTTTTTTTTCTCGTGACGGGTCAACTGCGAATATCAAATTTCCTCACCGAATCACCCAAACAGCATCAACGTGTTTATTTTTGGTTGGTTTTGTCGCGGAGTTTATGAGAGAAAAAATTCATTAGCAATTTAATAAAGTAAAAATGACATTTTGTTTTTTCATTGCTCTCAGCCATACTGACAGCCGATTACTGATTTTAATGACGCAATGAAATCGAAAAATTATTTTCAAAGTCACTGGCTATCTGATTTTTTTTTATTGGTTAAAAAATAGTGAATTTTCAAGAAAATCGAGAATTGCCGAATTCGGGAAGATGGCACGTTTTTCCAGAAGACTGGTAAAGTCTATCGACTGAATCTAACGGCGGAACAGGAAGACTTCTCCTACAGGTAAAATACTTTCCACTTGAAACTTTTTATGAAGTAAACCGTATAAAAAAAAAATCATTTCGCTCGCCCAAGCATAGCAGGGGTACCAACCGGGAACCAGTTGGGCGAGCAGTCGAAGCGTTGGTAATTGATATTTATCGTAGCACAAACCATATAGGCAACCCTGGTGTTCCCTACCTCCGCACTCTTCCGCCCACACCTCCATCCCCTATTGAACTGGGATTTTTTTTCATGGGGATTATTCACAGACCGATCTGCAGCCTGACCGATCCATAATAGTTGACTAACAATCCAGTCAGGCAGACAGCCGGGCATATCGTTGAAAACAGCGGGATCGAATACTCGGAGTAATTAAAGATTTTATGAAATCGATCTGGCGTAACATAATGGGAGCTTTTATCGAGCTTTTAATTATAAGTTCCACGAGTAAATCCCAGACCAGGTCACTCAACCGGGAAAAAAAAATATTATCCCGGATATCCGGTGTTCGACCCGGTCCCAACAACCCACAGCCATTGGTCATTAAGACCCGAAGGCAGTTCGACCAAAATATTTTCAGGGCAGTAAAATAACCACGGTAATAGGGATTTTTCAGATTATCGTATCTGCTACCACCACGATAAAAAAAAAAGCAGCATTGAATCCAACGGAGTTTTAAGTCAGCCCAAAATCAGCCCCTGGTTCCTATGTACGTATTTTTTCAATTTTTTTTTTTTTTCACAGTACCAGCCTTAGCCAGATACAAGGGTTAGTAAGAATTCTCGTTGGTCCCTGGGTGTACATGCTAATTCAAAGAGGGGTTAGGATTCTCACTAGCTGTATCTACCGACCCTCGACAGATAACACACTTGGCAATTTCAGTCACGTTTCTTTACTCCCAGTAAAACCACCCCTTCGCTCCCCCCCTGTTCCTCCCCTCCTTCGACCGATGCTCCAGCATCTTCCCCCAGACGCTCCGACCCCAGCGTACGGTAACGCGTGGCGAACATGCCGGTGATAGGTATAAGCTACGTTCCTCAAGGCGAATTAGCATGATAAACGCCAGGACGATTTTGTCGGCGCGACTATTTCCGGAAAGTCGTTTCCGGCCGAGCTGCGAAATTTTGAGGCGCCGGAAATTTTCGAGCGGACCCCCCAGGGGCTTCGTTGGAAGAAACTGAAAAAAGCTATCGCACTGCCGTAGGACCCCCACGTGAATTTGGGAGAGCGGGGTCAAAGGGCCTTTCCTTTATCAAAAGCATTACTGACCTCCGAGGGAATGTTTTCTAGCCTGGGATACATTACGCGAGCCCTGGGAGCACGGTACGCGGAGTTGGCTCGTGTGTTTTTGTGTCTCCCCTTTGTTCTGACAGTCATTAAAAAAAAGGGGGAAAAAAAATTCGCCCTTTTTCGGACTCTGCGAAAGCTGAAAGAATCCTCGCGTTCCCGGTGCGTAAAATGAGCCATGTGTATTGCGTCAGACGTATGTGACACATGCGTGGGACTGTAGGGGTTATTAGTCGAAAGAAATATTACTACCACCCTGGTGGTTTGCGACATATCCGAAGCACCATAAAGGCTCTGGGCGAGCATCTCTGTATATTTGAGAGAATAGCAGTGGGAGGAAGGAGGGTGGAAATAGACGAAAAAAGAGTAAGCTGTATACCGAGTTACGCGGAGAAACGTATGTGATATATCGATAGGATGGGACGTTGGTGGGACGTGTGAAATATAGATTTTTATTGGTAGAGACGTATTTTGGATATTTTTGAAAAGATATTTCGAACCCCGAAAAAATTGCAGTTACTCGACTTTGCACGGGTAGATTCGAGAAAGGGTATTACCTAGGATTTCAGATTTCTCTATGTCCGTCTCTCTCGTACGCACGTAAACGCCGATGGTTTCGTCTCTCTCGCACTCGCGGTAGGTATACGAAATTGGAAAATCCTTGATCGAATCGGTCAATTCTGATAATCATGTTCTATAAACCCTACGCACTCGATTCCTATAGTTTGCTGTTTTTCTCGGATTTTTTAATAAAAATTCAAAGACCTCTCGGCCCCTTTCACCACGTTTCTGGCCGATGAATAATCAAAGTGGTCCCACGACCCTTATCAAATCCCGCATAGCGCGTCTGAGCTGGATAATCCCGTGCGTGGACTTTGACCTCGAGTTAAGGGTTGCCAGGCGGTTAATGGGACAATTTTTTCACTCGACCCGTGTAATTCGCCCGACGGCAAAACGGGGGGCTGGTGCTACGGGCAAATTAATATCGTAAGTTCCACGAAAATTTCTGCCCTCCCGTAGCAGTACACGCCTAGCGTCAGGATAGGTGGAGAAGCAACGAGACAGTGTAAGGAACAAAAGAAAGAAGAAATTGAAAGGATGCGAAGTCTCGAATAAGGGTTGCGGGTAATCAAGGTACCTATATATACATATATATATATAGTGTATAATGCCCAACGGCTAAATTTGGTAAGTTCTCTTTGAAATCAGGTGATTTTATATTTTCAACCCTCGCTACGAAACTACCCCCATTATCATCCCCCGTAGACCCTTACGTCGGCTCTCTACAAGATTCCTACCTCCCGTAGTCAATCTTACCCGATGTTTTATTCCTTCATTAGGCAGATCGAGCAGATTGAATTCTGCAGTTGGCAATCTGCGTAAGACCCACTCACTCACTTTGATATTCCCACCACCCCTAACCCTCCTCATTCTCATCCCCCTAATACCAACACCACCCTACGCCACCCTTGCCGCTGCTACCAACCTGCCGGGACTTTAGCGACTGAAATGAAATCAATTTTTTTTCCCAAGGATTTTCATTAGCTAACAATAAGTCTACCCCCATTTGCGACACCCTCTACATGGAAGTGGTTCGAGGAAAAGGAGGGCGGAGAGCGGGGGGGGGG